ACACTCAACATCTCCCCGGTGTGCCAGTACAAGACTCCATTCATCTCATCTCATCTTGTTCGTTCCCGTGGATCTTCCTCTTCTCACTGACCGGCACCGATTGCTCTTATCGCTTCCCTTTTCCCTTCCCTTTTACCCTTTTCCCCTCCCCCATTGTTCCAGCCCATCGCCTCCGCGGCCCCATCTGGCCGCCTCTTCGCTTTCTCGTCTCTCTTCCTTTCTCTTTTCTGTCTCCCCTTTATTTTGCCTCGCTTATGGCCACGCAATTCCGTTTCTTGCTTTGAGCTCTTTTTTCTTAACTTGCTCTTTTCTTTTTTCCGGCTGCTAGTTTCCCCATTTTCCCGGTCGCTTACCAAAGACCTCATCGCGCAGTCTGATCTTCCTCTGTGCGGTTCACAATCAACGAGGCAGCCTATTGGGTTTCGGACTCCGCCCACGATAGTGGCATTTTCCGAGGCGTCCGCTTTCGAATCTTACCTTCCCACCACAACTTCTCCCACCGCGACCAGTCAAATCCGATCGCGACTTACCCCTCGCATTCCCCTTGAACTCATCCCGGGTTCAGCACCAATCGTATCTTCGCCTCGTTCAGGAAGCGTCTACCGCGCAGTTTCTTGCTCGTGAAGTAGACATCCACACTCTTCTGGTTGGTAACTCCGTACCTTCCCTGTTTTGTGGTGGTCTGAGCCACCTCCTGTCTCTCCCCTCTCCCTGAATTAGATCGTGGCTCATTGTCATGTCGCCTCTTCTCTATTCGATTGAGCGCTAACAGGCATTTGTCCGATCTGTCAGATTTTCTCCTCGCCACCCTCGCAACTTGCCCGAACTCGTTGATGAGTTTGACTCACCGCTCCTATCACCGGACCTCTTGACCATATTGCGAAGAGGCAGATCCTTCACACGTGGAGCATTTCTCGCTCCAACTTGAGCTTGGGGTCTACTGTGCTTGAACCCCCTAGTCCCACAAGAATCCCAGAGTTCGCTCTTGAACTGTAAGATTTCCCTGGAAGACGCAGCCGGCTTCCTGCTCGAGCACTTGCTTAGGCTTGCTTGGAAACTGGCGGAAGCGAGCAATTTCATCAAGAACAAACCTAACAAACGCAGCAGTGATCAGAATTACTTCATGATGTCACAGTCGAATTATATGTCCAATCAGTTCGGCAACCCCAACGAAGGGGTTGACCCGTCGGAGCTTAGTATGCAGAACGGTGGATTTATGTCCTACCCATTCACATCGCAGCAGAACTTCAACTTTGGAAACTCAGGTATCGATACAGATGAGTTGCTGGACCTGGAGATTAACGGACAGAATGGTATGCAACAGAACTTCCTTCAGGACCAGCATTCAGGTGCCGGGATCTCTATGAGTCATCCGGGACAGATGTCTCAGATGTACTCGAACACGCCCGATGGAGCTCCCATGAACAGCCCGTTCATGCACAGCTTCAATTATGATCACTTCCGAACCATGAACCAAAACGGCCAACCTGGCTCTCATCTGCAGGGTGGATCCCAGTTCGAACAGAGCTATTTGGCTTCCAAAGGCCGCCCAAGTTTGCAGGCTGTGGACCGCGCTTCGCTTGATGCGCGCAGCCCGATGACTCCGAAGACCCCAGCCCTTGGTGCTTTGACCCTGGGAACCCCAGAATCTGGAAGCTTTCCTACGCAACCCATCCGGACTGGCCTTCAGCATCGCCACCAAAAGACACTGTCCAACCAATGGGACGGTACGCCAGGAAGTGCGCATTCTTTCGTGGAGTCCCCTATTTCCTCTCCTGGCCACCCTCACCACGCGGGAATCTCGGAGATCCTCAAGTCTGGTAAACATGCTTCCTTGCCGGCCAAGGTTGATGCGCATATGCCCGGCAGTGCCCAGGACTTAGAATCCCAAGAGGCCAAGCGACGCCGTCGGCGGGCCTCCCATAACCTGGTCGAGCGCCGGCGACGGGACAACATCAACGAGCGCATCCAGGATCTTTCCCACCTCGTTCCTCAGCATCGGTTGGAGGATGACAAAGTCCGGAAACAGCTTGTCAATAACACAGCAATGTCTGCCACTGGAGCCACCCCCAATGCCGCAACGTCTTTGCTGGCTGGAGGCAATGGCCGCCGGGCCACTGCGGGTAACATCACGATGGGTCTGCCGATTGAGGAGAAGGAGAAGGGCCCGAACAAGGGCGACATCCTGAACGGTGCCGTCGGCTGGATGCGTGACCTCATGTGGGCCCTACATGTTAAGCTCCAGCAGGAATCAGAGCTAGCTGAAATTATCAGCAACTTGGGTGGAACTTGGCCATTTGAGCAAACTGAGGAGGAGAAGCGGATGAGAACGGAGATTCTCGATGCTTTGGAGAAGAACGACCCTAGTTCGTTCACTTATAGCAGGGCACCCGGGAGCGGGCTGCGAGTACCGAAACATACAAACATGGCAGGGGACTCTGTGGCCGGCAATGGGGCTTTGAGCCCCCAGAGCCTGAGCCCCCCGTTCAACGGCGGCGGTAGCAACGGAGGCTCCGGGCAGGCTCAGTACTGGAGCAGCTCGGGCCACGCGGGCATGAGCTTCAAGGAGGAAGACGAGTATGCGATGGAGATGAATTAGATACGTCTCCGCTTACTATCGCTCGAGCTCTCATCTCCTCAAACGAACGCATGTCATGAGCTATTGCATACAAGGGCGTCAAACGGACGGGTAGTTGACCGGCGTACACGGAAGCCTTCGCATACCATTTAAGGCTAATGGGCCAGTTGAACTTTCTTTTCGTCATTTGTTTGATATTTCTCGCGTGTGGTTCTCGTTATGCTTGCCTGGGATTGGTTGTCTCGGTTTATTATTGTTATTATCTCTATCCATTGCTTAATTCTTGGTGGGACTTTTCTTGTTGAGTCAAGTGTCTTTACGTGCTTGTGTCTTGGATTTCTAGCTAGCTGTCTTGGGTTGCACATTCCTCGTTGTTCTTTTGCGCATAACCGTGAGCAAGGTCGGAACACGACATATCTTGCGTCATTTGGTTTTCTTCCCTTTTACATCGATACCCTTTTCCCATTGTCCCGGTTTCCCAGTTTCCACTTTGCTATTGAATCCTTAATATCCTTTTGGCTATTTTGACCCCATTTCGGATGTCATTTACGGCTGCTATCTATTCTCATGTTAATTTACATAGCCTGATTCATTGATACAATGGTGCATTCGGTGCATGCAATTTTGAACTCTACTCATTGCTCATTTTTCTATAAGTTACAACGGAAGTCTCTGCAACCATTGGCCCTGCCACAAACAATAAAAAACTAAGGATGAAGTAGTAGATGGATCAACACGTGTCCTGCACGCTATCGAACAGGCACATGAAGTGTTCTAGACCCCATTTCCTAAGAGCCGGACCAGCAAATGATAGCCCAAGGATGTCTGATGTCTGTCGTAGCGCCCGCCATCATGCACTGTCTCCGGACCATGATTGCCCAACTACTGTAGGTACCATGAATCCTGGTGAGATCGGGCTGGATCCATTGGATGGGTCCATACATACATAGACAGACACGTCACATGCATTTTTTTCCCCTTCATTTCTACTTGCTTATTCCTATGGTGCATACAGCTATCCACCCTGCATGCATATATAGTACATGGATAGTGCGAATCTAGTAGCATTCAATACATGCCAGTATCTACTATGGAACAAGCAAAAATCGAAGTGAAAAAAAGGGGGAATACTACTTTCAAATTCATCATGAAACGAACAACAACCTCTTCCAACCCTATCTCTCTCTCTCTCTCTCTCTCTCTCTCTCTCTCTTTTTCTTTGTCCCGTCTATTTCTATCCTTATCTCTAGTAGAAATATAGGAAATAAACAAGAAAGATTGATTCCAAAAAAGGGAACAAGAAATAGAATGAAGAAGGACCCTTACTCGCCCCTCATATTCCTAAAGAAGTCCATGACTCCCGTAAACACAACCAGAAGGATACCACCACCAGGACCCAATCTCAGCACCTTGGGCAAGAATCCCTTATACAAAGCGGCGAATCCTTCCTCCTTCATGACAGTTCCGACGGCCGGCCAAGCCCAGTTATACTTGGGCACTTGACCGGGGACCTTTGAGGTGTTCTGAATGCGGGACTTGACGACATCCATGGGCGTGTTGAGGATCGTACCAGCCGTACCACCAATCGTACCCGCGATCAGATCATTGCGTGTCTGCTGGCTCTTGTTGCCCGGCTCCGCGGCAGGGAGCTGCGCCCGCACCTGGAAGATACAGCCGAAGTAACCCGAGTTCCAGAGGATGTGGCGCCACAGGGTGGATTCCAGACCGTTGTACATAGCGAGGGGACCCTCCGCGGCGACAATCTTCTTCACGACGTCCAGCATGCCGTTGTATTTGCCGGCCGAGGCGCGGTCCTGCAGACGGATCTTGACCAGCTCGAAGGGGACGACGACGAACGACTCGGTCGCTCCGGCCGTCGCACCGGTCAGGATCGCCAGCGATTGCGTCTGCTTCTCGGCGCCGAACAGGTTGCGGTAGAAGGCGCCCCAGCTGTCGTTGGCGGCGAATTTGGTCGCACGCTTGGGCGCTTCCATTAGGATGGGGGCGGAGATACCGCGGTACAGGCGGGAGAAGCTGTTATGGGGGAAGAGGGTGGGTTAGTTTGTTGTGAGTGGGAGGTGGGGGGAAAAGCAATTGGCGTACCCCTCGTTCTTGACGATCTTGCGCAGGCAGTCGAACATGCCATTGTAGTATTCCTCACCGGCGACCGCGGTGCCCTTCTGGAGTTGACTGTGAGGGTGGAATGGGTTAGTGGGCGGGGATTGATCGATTGCAATTGGGAAGAGATAAGAGAGGTAGAGCTTACACTCGGGTCTTGACCACGTCCAAGGGGTACCTGGGGGGTAAAGGGTTAGTGTTGGCTGGTCGGAATGCGTCGATTGAGGGTAGGAATTGCGCACATAACCAGAATCTATTGCAGAGTTAGTCGCGTGCTCCGGTAAACTGGCAACGGGATCACACCATACGTACCTCGGACACACCGGCGACGGCACCGGCAATGAATTGGTAGCCGAAGGGCAAAGGCTTCTGGGTGTTGTTGTTCGACATGATGAAGAATTGGCCAAAAAGCAGGCGTGCAGACGAAACAACAGACGGGGAAGACGAGTCGGGAGGGGAAAAGAGAAGAAGAAAGAGGGAAGAAGTGATGGAGAATGAGATTATCGAGGGAGGAGGCCGCAGTCGGAGAGGGTCGGGGACTCACCGGGACGTCGCCCGATCGGGTAAAACACCGCCCCACGTGCCGCCCCACGGGGCTTTTGACGCTTACTTATACCTGCCACCGCATTCATCGCTTCATTATCATTGCCATTATCATTGCCCATTAACATTTCGCTATGCATGCTCTCATGATCTACGTATCAATTCATTTATATCATAACGCCAGGGCTATCAGCATGCCCATACCCATGCTCACCATCCCCCACTGCTGCCGCAATTGATCACTCCCACTCGTGGCCTGCTCCTTGGCCACGGTCTCCGTCGCCGTTGACACTGCCGTACAGCTGGATCCGCACTGGTATCCCGACGGACAACAACCTCCTCCGACGGATTGCGCACAGCTGAACCAGCCCGTTGCGCATCGTCCGGGCGAGCTTGTTGTTGTCGTCGTCGACGCCGTCGTCGTGGCTACCGGAACTACAATTGTTACGCCGTCGCTGGTGAAAGTCGTCGAGGGCGTTGCCGGGCAGGACGTCGTGTCGCAATCGCGGCCGGTCCGGCAGCATCCCCCATTGTAGACGGCAGAGCAGGCGTAGAATCCGGTTGGGCAGACTGATGCCGTACTGGTAGTCGTGGTCGTCTTGGAGTTCGTGGAGGTAGATACAGTGGTAGGTCGAGAAGGAGGCACCAGATCGCCCGTTGTTTGCGTTGCAGTGGTTTTAGGGATGGTATGTGTGGACGTCGATAGCATGACGGTTGAACTTACTGTCACCGTAATCGTGAAGACGCGCATACCTGAGCTGTTAGCCTCAACAGCGACACGAAGAAAGGAGATTTTCCGACGATGCAGGCCACTTACATCCCCCGGTGACACATTCGTACCCTGGGATACAGCATCCCCCACCCAGAGACGATGAGCAGCTGGAGTATCCGTCCTGGCACGATCCAATCGTACCCGAGCATGTCTCGCCCTTCGGACAACAGCCTACATCTCCAGATCCAGTGTCCTTGACCAGGACGCACGTATCGCCCGTACTGCAGCAGCTTTCGGGTCGGTCGATCGATGAGCATCCGTACGTGCCGGAAGGGCATTTGAATTCTCGCCGAAGAAGCGGTGAGAAATGTTCACTCCACCCGCGCCTTTCGACCTCAAGGTCACTCGGGTAGGAGGGTCGAAAGGGATACGAGCGAGGCTGAAAGTCAACCTTTTCAGTTGTGTCGAGATTATAAGGCTGTGTTTGCGATAACGAATCATTGGCGTTTGATCTGTTGCCTGCTGTATAGGCTTCGTCGAACAGCCAGTAGTCGAGGTAGAACTTCTCGCCTTCGTCATCGGTCATTTTATGGACTCCGCGAACAGGCTTCTGAGATAGATATGACTCGATGAGGGCATTGTGTTGGATAATCGCATCTGTATCTTGGGAGTCGTTGGGAATGGAGACATTGCTTGCGGAGGCTTGTCCTGCGACTGATAGCCCGAGGATGCAGGCCAGCAAAGGTATTGACAACATGAGGTCGCAGTTCCTATAACTGAGCCATAGTCAGCGTCGGAAACATTGGCAGGGATGAATTGCACATACGTAAGCAGTATATACTATCGTCTCTACGGACAGAACTATGTGCAAAACAAGCTGCCCGAAGGAACGTTATCGGAAGAGCTCCGTGATAAGTCAACCGACAAGGTGACAGAAGGGAAACGACCGGGATCAACTGCAGATCATACCGGCACTAAATACACGAAGCACTAAGCATGAAACTAACAGTCGGGGGGCAACCGACTCGACTCTCTGCCCAAAGATTGTGTGGCTGGGAGCGAGTGGGAACAATTAACAAGGCGACGGGGGCCTCCACCGGTCCCGATCGGGAAATAATGCCAATGAGTTTAGTTGAAAATGGATACCTGATTATGCCGGCAGTATATGGTCACCGCTTTGCGTCATGGCGGTGGGCCCCGTTCCATGGGAATCAAAAAGTGGAGAGAGTCTCAGCTTCAATCCATCTGACAGCTGCCTGTCCACGGTTCAGGTTATCATTGGATGATGAAGAATGTAAATGTTGGAAATCGGAGAATGCAACTGTTGGCCGAACTAAGTATAGAAAGGGAAGAGGGCTGAGAAGGTGCGCGGGTAATGGCGAGCAATATAGATCCAACGTAACCCATGTTACTCCCTGCACAGCGCCATCTACTGGCGTCCCGATTAGTGGGAGGGCGCTTGCTACTCACAATGGCAGGGATTGCTACCCCCCATCTCAACCCAGCAATGGTTCTTTTAACGCGGACTGTCCCTCCTCGGACTCCCTCGATTTTCTTTCATTTCATCTTCTCTCATCATCCCTTTGCCTCTCTCAACCATGGAAGATTCATCGTTTGAATACCCCAGCGACATTCTCTACACACAGGAGCCTCTCTCGGGATACAAGTTTGGCGGATACCATCCCGTCCGCATCGGCGATACTTTCAAAGATAATCGCTACACTATACATCACAAGCTCGCGTGGGGAGGATTCTCCACCGTCTGGCTTGCCCATGACAATCTGTGCGCCACAAATGCCTTCTTGTCCCAAACCACATGAATAAACACTGACAACTTGTCAAAGGCGACACCGATGGGTCTCGTTGAAGATCAAAACCGCAGACACTTCGTACAGTTCTCAAGAACTCCAAAACCTCCAGCAGCTGGAGAAGATCGCCGCTCCAGACGATCTCTCGTCCAAGTACATCCTCCACCTGCTAGACGCTTTCATTCAGCCAGGCCCCAACGGCATCCACCAATGTCTTGTGTTTGAGCTGATCGGTCCTACCATCGATCGCATCATCACTGACTACCGCGAGCTTTCGGATTCCCTCGATCCACAGACCATTCTTCGCTTGTCGAGGCAGCTCCTCAAAGCCATTGAATTGGTCCATAATGCGGGGGTGGGGCAGATAGGTAAGCTCTACCTGTTGATTAAACCTTGAGTGTTTCCTTAACTAAGTCACATCAGACATCAGCGGCAGAAACATCGTCTTCAGCGGTAGGAATCTATCCTATGCATCGGAAAAGATCATCTTTGCGGTCTTTGGCTCGCCCGAGCACGAACCAGTGACCCACCTCGATGGTACTCCGCTGCACAAAGGCTTCCCAGCGGCACTTTTCGGACCGGTGAGTTGGGAGGACTGGCTAGAAGAGTTTGCTGAGGAGCTTCGCATCTTCGACCTTGGAGAAGGGTTTGCGCAGGAAGAGAAGTCGCGGATACTCGCGCAACCAGGCCCTTCGCGGGCTCCAGAGTTGATCTTCACCGGAAGGTCTGATCACAGGACTGACCTGTGGCATACGGGTTGCATGGTATGTGGATCATCAAGACAAAATCTCGAAAAAGATACTGACCCAGAACTGCAGCTATTCTTTTTCGTCTTCGGGACATACCCTTTTGACTCCGATGTAGAGGATATGGTAGTGGTCGAGCAGATGATTGACCTTCTGGGGGAGTTACCTCAGGAATGGCAAGCTACCTGGGACCGCATGCGAGAAGAAGCAGGAGATATGATGGATTTCCAAGGTGAGTTGGATTTATCCTGATAACAATGCTTATTGCTGCACCTGTTCAACAATATGCTGATTCCCAGATAGGAGATGAGGTATTCACTCTGGAGGACCGCTTCGATAAAGAAGTGGCTGAGCCAGAGCTTGCTCCTCTTGTACCGATCATCCGAGCATTGCTGGAATTCCGGCCTTCGGAGCGCATTACAGCTCCTCAAGCTCTTGGTCTTTTGGGGGCTCAGGGTCAATGAATGATGTCATGAAATTGAGTTAGCTAGTCAATTTAGCATCTGATGTAGAGAAGAGAATATATATATATATGTTTTGAAATTTATACAGCGATTAGTAGCAAGAAAAGAGGGCCAAGAAGAGCATCGCTAATAGCACCCACCTGCAATAGCACCCATCAGTCTTAAAATTAGCTAGCTCTCTCAGCAAGATGAACCTTCACTACTGTTCCATCAATAGGCTTCGCGGTGACCTGCATAGTCTGGAAACCAAAGTAAGCCACGATGCCCACGACTAGAAAATCGACGAGAACTTACATTAAACAACTCTGACTCCACCTCATACTGCCCCTTGGCATCCAAGATAGGCGCCCCAGTCGCATCCCGCGCAATTGCGCCCACCCCCACCTTCTCGAAATCGAAGCGCCGGACCGTACACGCCAGGATTACCCGGGCCTCCAGGTTGGCTAGCTCTTGACCAATACAGTTGCGCGGGCCGCGCTCGAATGGCCTCCACGCGCTGGCGGGAATACAAGCGGTTGCGACCGGACCATTCCCCTTATCCTCTACATTATCCGTGGATAATCCTAGACCAGTATCTGCGTCTCCCAACCACCGCTCTGGGATAAATTCATCTTTTGTCGGTCCGTAAACTTTCTCGTCCCGATGAACGAGTGTCGAGTTGTTATATACGACCACTCCATCTAGACAGAGCGTCTTCCCGTCTGGTAACTGCACGGTGAATCCTGTGCCGGGTGGCATGTACCTTGCGGAACCTGATGGTGGGTATAACCGCAGAATTTCTTTGATCACAGCAGAAGTGTAGGACATCCGCTTTAGGAGGTCGTCTCCGCCCGGGGCAAGTAATTTCTCTTGCACGGCTGCCGGGGACGGATCTGGTCCGAAAAGGTCGTCTAGCTCGCGGCGGAGTTTATCCAGCACGCGTGGGGTGCGGCTGAGGACATAGAAGGACCACTGCAATACGATACTGGTGGTATCGTGGCCAGCGAAAAGGAAGCTCTTGAGCTGGTGGCATGTCTCCTGGATGACACGGGTATTTAGTTGGTCGATGTCCTGTAGACTTAGGGAGAGAACACTCCGGGAGCGTTTCTCCGTCGACTTGGACTTGAGTTCGTCAAACTTTGTCTTGATATGCTCAGATATCAGATGATCGATGCGTCGGGTCAGGACTCGACGGCGCCACAATACTCGGACGTCCAGCCAGCCCCACTGTATACCGCTACCGCTACGGTATGAGGTCGTTAGCTCACGGTAGAGGCGGACGAGTTCATCTTGTTTGCTGCGGTCGAGCTGGGCATGGAAGTCTTTGTCCATGGTTACTGCGCCTGGGGAGTAGTTAGAACAAAAGCGTGCCACATTGAGATAGTTGTGTGGCCTACCGATGATATCAAAGGTAAGGCTGACGCATCTCTCATCGAGGGAAAGTTCCTCTCCGCTACGAGCGTACGCGTCAAGAATATCAGTGAACTGTATCGCCTTGTCCAAGATACATGGCAGCAAGGTAATGAGATGCTGAGGCGCAAATCCTGGGTTAAACCGCTTGCGTAGACCCTTCCAGTGTTCCCCCTAATGGCATTTGTTATCTTAAGAGAATATACAAATCAAGCCGGTGAGTATGGACTTACCTCCTGCGTGATAATGGAATACGGGCCCAACAAAGGCTCCAGCGCGCCCATAGTTGGCGACTTCTGCATACTATACGGAAAACTCTTGGTACTCCGGGAGACTTGTTCTGCGATCTCATGACTTCCGACCACACACAGCCGAAACTGTACAGGCCGGAGATCGAAAAACATGAGAGGAGGATTCCCCAAATGTTCCTGGATTTCGCCAAACACGATGTCTGGTCGACGGTGTTATCGTCAACTATACCCATCCTATTCATACAACGATGAGAGGTTTAGTTCAGCCTACCGATGTGTCTTTTCTCCTCACCTCGGACAATAAACTCGTGGAGCGCTTTCATGTGTCCCCAGACGAGGGAGGTGGGTAGTTGCGGCCAGTCAGCATACTTCTTGAAGCGGGAGTAGCGGATCCGGGTTATGAAGTAAGAAACAACCAGAGGCAGGAGGATCAGAAGAATAGTTTGGGCGAACATGACGGCCGCTTCATGCTAGTCTAGGGACAGGAGTATTTGATCATAAAGATCGACATGAGATGGAATGTGGTGGGATGGGGGAATAGGTTCGGGAACGAGAATTTTTCTTGATTCTGGAGTTCCACTTGCCCATGGGGTTGTCCCGTGCCCGAGTTAGTGGTGGATGACAACAATTCGGGTAAGCTTATCGAATCTACTTAGTGTCTCCCCATTACTACACTAAATTGCAACCTGGCATCGTCCAAAGAAAGGATTTTATTGATCTTATGTGAGTATATTCAAAATACCATTTCTCCTTTCCATTTCCCCGCAGTGGCACTTAAGTTTATTGGAAGGATCGTCATGAGGAAGTTCGCTCGAATTCGCTCAGCCGCACCAGTGTGCTTCTTCTCCAGGGGCATGGCCAAATATATAGTAGGGAAAGAAGTGGTTATCATCATTTGCCACAACGTAAAGTAATTCAAGAGCCATTGACCAACCTATATAGAAACTGAAGGTAGATAGTCTCCGGAACTATAACTGGATGCTTTTTCAGTGAACAAGAGACAGGGTAGAAAGCAATCCTTGTATTTAGGTTTATTGAAATAACTATCCACGCCGCGGGTCGTGAAAGAGAAACATCTCTAGGATGCAGTCGCCATAGTCATACTATCATCATCATGGGCAGAAAAGCCTCATCAAAGTGGACTGAAAGATGCGGGGATGTAACTACTACTTGAAACCATGCCATCAGAAGGAGAATACTAAGCACACCGGTGCTCGTCACACCTTTGGCGCAGCTGAGCGAACTCTGTTACGCCCACCTTTCAGACGAACACATCCCTTGAGCCAACATGGAGGAATACATACCCCAGTGGAACCATTTCACCACTTCGGTATACCGTACTGTCTTTTGCAGTAATACTTTGCAACAAAATAATAGCGGTTCATGAGTACTAGTTGAACTATAGGGAGGCACTCTTCTCCCTCCGATGCTTCTTGTCTACTCCGTATACATTCCTCTACTATTACGTTCACCCTAGAATTTATGTGATTGACAACATTTACTATGGGTTCAGACTTTCAATTAAGGCAAGTTCTAATTCTTCGATCAGCATGATTCCAGGTAAGGTTGAGTGCAGATGGTAGTAGAGCCGTGTTCCACAGCTGACGCTATTAACAGTTGATCAGAAACTACTGTTATATCAATAGTCAGACTCTGTGATTTCCGCACCTTAATGGCAGATAAGTGGGAGAGTGGAATTTATTTCCACATTGAAGCTTGCGCGATACCACCTACCATCACAGGATGTTCCAATACTACTTCTCCATCCACCAACCTGCCAATTACCCCATTCCAGATTATCAACCAAGCACCAACCACCGAAGGTGAGGATAGGTGAAGATATCCGTCTCTCTGCGGGTTAACGTGAAATTGAAAAAAGCAGCTCAAAGCCTCCCAGCAATCGCTCTTTATCCTGCCGCAAGAGTTCCCCATTGCCTGCATCTTCGATCAAACGCGTTGCCTTTTCCAGTTTCGCCGGATATACCTTTCCAACTAGCGTCCGAACGATTTCCTTTCGGGCCGCGGGATTGTCGATTGCAAGCAAGATCGACGCGAATATGTGCGTTTTATTCACAAATCTCGCATCTCCAACCCCATTGAGAAGGCCCTGCATCTTGCGATTATATAGCAGCCGGTACCATCTCAGCTGCTCCGCCGAATCCTCTTGAGATTCCAAAGACCATCCACGCTCTACTGGGTCCATATCCCTCATAATCCACTTAGGAAATGTAGCGTAGCCTAGGAACCGTGGCATGGTCTGCACCCCATCCCAGTCAATGATTCCACTCACGTTACACTGCTCATCGATACGAATGTTCACGGAGTCGAACTGCGGCACTGCAAGCACGAAAGTCTCATCCGTCTCCTCTTTTTGGCTTGTTGACAATGGCATACAACCGATCATCATTTCCAGCATTATAAGGCAGCCAACGTCAAACGGGCCTTCTTCTTCTGTGCCCCCGGGCGAGATCAAGAGACGCTCGCGCAGAAAGTCCACGGTTGACTCATAAGGGCCATACTCCGCATACTGTACATCAGTCCCCACCCCTTTTCGCGAATAGTAGCACGGAAGCACCCGAAGATCGCCATGGGCATCTGGTCCCAACGTACCAATTCCGTCGAAGCAAAATCTGTGCAGCTTTGCCATGGTCTCTGCAACACAGTCTAGTATGCGTAGTCGTTTCTGGTCCAATGTCATCGTGCCTGAGTTGTCGAACCAGGCATCCGAGACCAGGGTTCCCGGGATGAAACTCTCAACGATGTACGATGTACCCAAAATGTTTTCTGGTGAGGCATCGAAGTCGTATACTTCTGGCATAGGGAAATGGGCTCGCTTTTGGATAAACCGCATCATTTCCACCTTCGCAACCAAGGCACGCTTGGCAGTCTCTGTGCAGTGACCTGGACGGCAGCTGATGGGTAGGCGGATGATATAACGCATCTGGTCGTCGAATTCCACCACATGAATCACATTACGACTGCCTTTGTGACAGGAAAGCACACTCGCAGTCGTAAATGTGTCTATGGTTTGCTTTCGGCGGACTTCAACGGCTAGAGTAGTGAGTGCGTCACGGTTGATTGTGAGAAGATCACCGAGTTGCTCTGCCGCCGAAGCTGGATGTGGCGTGCTGGTACCCGTGACACTTCTATCAGACATTGCGAATGCCATAATGATTTTCTTAATGGAGTCCAAAAGGATGAGATTGGATCGATTTAGAAATGTGAGATAAATCTCGAAGGTGTGGCCCTGAACATAGCGAAAGCTAACACTTTTGACCATACGTATAAGGTAGGAAGCATTCACTAGGCCTTTGTAACACCCGTGAATTCTTTCTCCAAATTCATTACGTTGCTTCATTAAGGTCTAACATATGAACAGCCACGCACGTTTCCACTAAGACTCCAAGAAATTTCATGCAGCCGGAGTGGTCGAGGCTCTGCTCCTCGCAGGGAAAAGGCTCCACACAAGTTATTGTCTGCTGTGCTTTAAATTCAGTCAACTAGGCCCCACTCATGGTTCACTAGTACTAGAGGTAGTCTTTTGAGAGAGCATTGCAGTGTAGAATATTCATTAGGAGTACCATCCTTGCAATGACTTGAACAGTGATATCCAGCAGAGGTACCACCTGCTTGTGTCCAAATAACCCTGAGGATTTTGATTAACTATCCTGCCTTCTGAAGAAGAAGCAATCAGAAGAAAATGGCATTTTATGTGTCAATAATATTTCTTTAACAATCACATGATCGCCAGTTGCACCCCCCACCTCCCGATGCACTCGCTTCTGCTTGTGCATACACTTTGCCTCGCAAGCTTCGCTATGCTATTGCAGGGAGATCAACTTCATCAACGAGTATCAATGACTATAAAGCTGCTTCAGCGGTGGCACTGAATCTGTGGACACTCCCCCGTGCTTCGAACACTACTCGATTCGCCTCCAAATTGTTGCTACTACGGATGGGTATGGGGTCCTCTTCCGCTGGCGTTCCCCAACCACCTCCACCGGGACTAGCATTGACATTAGCCAAGGGGTGAAGCAATGAAGAAAACCGGAAGCTCTTCTACTTACGTGTGAATGATAATCCGCTCTCCAGGCTGCACTTTGAGCTCCATCTTCCCACCGATGTTGATCACTCGTTCAGTTCCGTCCAGCTCCTTCTTCACGTACAGATTCAATCCCGGCTGGCCAGACTCTCCACCTGCCAGCCCATATGGCCGATAGACGCGGCGTTCACTCAGCATAGATGCCGATAGGGGAATGCGGAACTCCAGCTCTCGAATCACACCGTCTCCGCCGCGGTAAAGTCCTTTGCCACCTGAGCCCTTGCGGATGGAGAACTGTCGCAGAATAACTGGGTATCGCAGCTCATACACTTCTGCATCGGTGATCCTAGTGTTGGTCATATGAACATGGACACCAGATGTACCATGCCAGGTTGGACCGGCACCAGATCCACCACAAATGGTCTCGCCAACGCCGAAGCCCGGGATGTCGTTACCGCTCTCGTCAAGTCCACCCATACCGAATGAGATGATGTTGCAACATCCTTGCGAGGCTGCACAGGCTTGAAAAGCTCCTAGGACGACATCGGTGATACGTTGCGATGTGATGGGATTTCCGGCGCAGACAGCTGCGTACCCAGACGGGTTGATGAGCGTGCCGGAGGGAATGATGACGTTGATCGGAGCCAGACAGCCTTGATTCAATGGAATGTCGACATCGATAAGAGCGCGCAGGCTATAGATAATTGCCGAGTGGGCTATTGCTTTAGGGGCATTCAGGCAGTTGAACGTCTCTCGCCCAGTGCCAGTAAAGTCAAACTCGGCAGATCCTGTCTCTGCATCGATGCGGATTTCTAAACGAATTTCTGTACCATCGTCCATGAAGTCGGAGAAGCGAAGGGGCTGACCAGCTGCCTTTTTGCCAATGGTCTTGAGCAAGTCTCGTACTGCGGTCTCGGCATTCTTCTTGATGGCGTTCATGTAGAAGTGGACTACATCAAGCGTATTCTCTTGCACAAGACCTTCCAGCAACTGTGCACCTTTCTGGTTGGCTGCAATTGCCGCTTTCAGGTCGGAGACATTGTCTTTGTAAGTGCGAGTACCACTGCAACCTGGGTACGAGGCTGGCTCGTCATACAAGAACTTCCGCACCATGTCCTCGTCGAACCGGCCTTGCGATACCACTTTGAATCCCAACGTCATGGCTCCTTCCTCATATAGCATCTTACTGTCCGAGGGCATAGAGCCTGGCGCAATACCCCCGATTTCAGCTGAGGTTATAGTCAGCCACCATTTTGTTATTCACATGCGATGTTCCTTACCATGGTGCCCTCGAGAGGCGACATAAAAGATGATCTTGCTGCCCTGTTGGTCCCAGACAGGAGTGATTATAGTTATGTCAGGAAGATGCGTTCCGCCAGCAAGTGGATGATTGGTCAGAATGTGATCTCCTGGCTTCAAATCTCCGCCATACTGTTCATGCTGATACCGTACAGCATACTCCATACCTGAAAATGGCACACATCAGTGGTCTGTCGACGAATAAAGGATGATATCACCTACTGCCAAGGTGCACTGGGACATTAGGTGCGTTTGCAACAAGCTTTCCATCAGGTGAAAACACTGCACATGAAAAGTCCAACCGCTCTTTGATGTTAGTTGAGACAGAAGTCTTTTGAAACATCCGGCTCATTTGGTCGGCAACCGACATGAATCGATGGCCAAAAATCGAAAGCTTGATTGGGTCGACCACCGTTGCATTGTCGAATTGGTTCTTGACCGACTGAACGTTCAGAATTACATGGCGAGATAAGATAGTTGCTGATGCATGAGGCTCAACGACAATGGTTTGTGTCTTGTCGATGATCATGGCTGGTCCTTGAATGAAGCTGCCCGGCTTCAGGTGCTCCAAGAAAAAGACTGGAGTGGTGACCCGCCCGACGCCAGCAAAATACACCTCTGTGGAATCGTTCTGGCTCTGCTCCCCAATGACCGATGTTGTTATAGATCGCAACTCGGGCTGCGGCGCCTCTGGGGGGACAGAGATGGCCTTGCCTACTCCACGTACTCGTATGTCTTCGACTAGGATATTGCGACCTGGGAAGGTAAAGGAGAATTCGCGTTGATGCTCCTCAATAAAGGCTTCTCCAAAATCTCCGTTATCTGGTCTGAGTACCATGAGTGTATTATCGGTACCTTGGTATCGTAGATTGAGGTACACCTCATATTGTATGCGAGTCTCTTCAATACCGTCTACAGTCAAGGCTTCCGTGACCTTTGCCTTGAGAGCTTCGATACGGCCATTGATTGTTTCCATTGCGTTCGCGGTAAGGGCTCCAGACGCAGGCTCTTGGGCCTCATGCACCACATCAGCAAGAGCCATACCGTATGCGGAGAGAATCGACGAATAACAGTGGACTATGACGGTCTTTATAGACAGGGACGATGCAATTGCGCATGCATGTTGTCCACCTGCGCCTCCAAAACAGGCCAAGTTATGTGCTGCTGTGTCGTATCCTCGAGCCTCGGTCAATGCCCGGATGGGCTTTGCCATTGATTCGTTTGCGACTTGAATGAATCCCAGTGCAATCTCCTCTGGTGTCTTCTTGTGGCCGGTCTCTGCATTGATCTTGTCTGCCAATTCGGTAAATTTCTGGCAAGTGACCTCAATATCAAGGGGCTCGTTCTCGTTAGGGCCAAAAATCTTGGGGAAGTACTCCGGGAGCAGACGACCTAAAAACAAATTCGCATCCGTCACAGTCAATGGGCCTCCTTTGCGGTAGCAAGCTGGCCCTGGATGTGCGCCTGCAGATTCTGGTCCGACTACGAATAGCCCGTGACGCCAGAACAGGATGCTGCCACCACCAGCCGCGACTGTATTGATATCTAGCTGCGGAGCCATCACTGTCACTCCTGAGATGGTGTTTTCGAAGGTATGTTCCAGCTTGCCATCATACCGTGAGACATCAGTACTGGTGCCGCCCATATCAAACCTGGGTATTAGGTCAGCTAATGTCGCTCGTTCTCCTGTTGTCACCGGGGGAAATGGCGTACCCAATAACGGGTTTCCTGTCTTCTGGGTCAAACGAGGTGCCTGCGTAACCTACAACACCACCTGCGGGCCCCGACAAAATTGCGCGCAAACCGGAGAACCTAAGCACAGTGAGTTTGACTCGGGTTTCCTAGGTGGGAAGAAGGTAATACTTTTGAAAGTTTACCAGACCACCGTCGCTTTGCATGAACTCGCAGCGCGTGTCTGACGATTGTAACTTATCCTGAAAGCCGGATCGGAAACCTTGGATATATCGTTGAATCACTGGCGTTAGGTAGGCGTCTGCCGTGGCTGAAGCGCCTCGGGAGGTCATTTTGATCATGGGAAGCAGCTGGCTAGAGAGCGAGATTTGCGTAAATCCGATCTCGTTGGCAATCCTCTCAATCGCCAATTCATGCTCTTGGAATGTATACGAGTGTACGAGACAGACAGCAATGGAGCGAAATCCTTCACTGTAAAGCTTTTGCAAACTCTGTCTTATCTTCGCCTCGTCGAGAGGCTCCAAGACGCGAATGACCTCTCCACTGACACCCTTCTTCAGATAAGGGTCTGTCTCCAATGCCGCTTCAAGGCTTTCTTTATCTGGCGCAGGGTCCTGTTGATAGCCCTCTATAGTGACTCGCTCATCAATCTCCACCACTTCTTCATAAAGCACGTCGGGTCGCTGGATGTTCAGAGCAAAGAGCTTAGGACGCGACTGAGTCCCAATGCGGAGTGCATCTTTGAAACCCTTTGTTATCAGAAGCGCCACGCGTTCTCCTTTTCTCTCTAACAAAGCATTTGTGGCCACCGTCGTTCCCATACGGATACTGACGCCGCCAAAATCTGATGTGGTGAGTTTCTGGTCTCGGGGAAAGCATTTGCCTGTTGCTTGTTCGAGAATCCGGCGGATGCCTTCAATTGGGGCGTCTGCATAGTTAGCTGGATCCTGCGAAAGCAGCTTAACAACAATGTCTTCCTTGCGGCCATCTACAATCCCCAGACAATCGGTGAACGTGCCACCGCGGTCTACAGAAGTTAGCTTTCCGGTCACTCATCTCAGGCCGGGTAACTCACCAATGGCGATTTTGATATTGAGTTTCGATGAAGACATGATTATTGACTGAATATTACGGCAAAATACATGCGCTGAATTGTTCCTCCCAATGACCGGTGTGGCCTTTATAGACTGGGGTCCGGCATTCATCTCCAGCAGTGCCTCGCTCCAATGCCGGCGCTATCTTATCGTGCCCTATCATGCGACCTTAACGGTCCTTCGTTATCGGCCTCGCTCCGACCTTCCCCTCGCCTTAGCCTTGCGGACCATGGAGTGCTGATAACAAATGCCGACGTCGTTATCAGGTGCATCTATACGATGCTATAAAATTGACACTCGAAGACATGGTTAGGATGATTCTCCCACCTCATCGATCCATATGCTACACTGGTCGCCATGACTGCCGACCAGAAGAAACCTGGCCTCGACAGCAGCGCCCCCAACGAGGAAAACATCAAGCATGGCCAGATAGATATCCTCGACCGTCGGTCGGAGCAAGGGGAAGATGTTGCAGTGCAATTTCTAGCTCAGCTCGATCCCGCCATCATGGCGGCACCCATCTCCGACACAGAAGCGCGCCGCGTGTTGTGGAAGATTGATTTGATTTTGATCCCACTGATCATGGTCACTTGCGTTCTCGCGGCAGTCGACAAGGTCATCATCTCCAATGCCGCTATCTATGGCATGGAGACTGATACCCATCTCACCGGCAACCAATACTCCTGGGTGGGCTCGATATTCTACTTTGGCTACCTGCTCTTCGAGTACCCCGCTGCGTTGCTCATCCAGCGGCTCCCCGTAGCCAAACTCTACGTGGGCATGGTCTTTGCTTGGGCAGTCTTGATGCTGTGCACGGCCGCTACGCAGAACTTTGCGGGTCTGGCGACAGTACGCTTCCTCATGGGTATGCTCGAGGCATCGGTGTTTCCCATCTCCAGCATTTTAACCGTCATGTGGTGGAAGACGAGTGAGCAACCTCTCCGGGTGGCCTTCTGGTTTAACCAGCTCTCATCCGTCTTCTCTGGAGTTGTCAGCTACGGCATCGGACACACCCACACAGCACTACACCCCTGGCGACTTCTCTTCCTCGTACTCGGCGCATTTTCCATCCTCTGGTCAATTGTCCTATACATCTTCCTACCAGACTCCCCAGTACAATGCTGGTACTTCTCCGACCGCGAAAAGTTCGTATGTCTAGAGCGAGTCAAAGACAACAACACCGGCATGGAAGATAAGACGATCAAATGGTATCAAGTGCGTGAATGTCTCCTCGACCCAAAGACATGGCTCCTAGCTCTTTTCTCGCTCGCTCAGAACATCCCTAACGGCGGCCTCGTCACCTTCTCCGCCCTCATCGTCACCGGACTCGGCTATTCGTCCCTGATCACCACCGTCCTAGGCATCCCCACCGGTGTGCTCGCCACCGTATGGCAGATCCTGCTCTCTCTCATCGCCTCCCGCATACCAAATTCCCGCTGTTTCATCATCGCCGTCTCCAACTTCGTCCCTATGGCATGTGCCATTCTCATGTGGAAACTGCCCCGCTCCAACAAGCATGGCCTCCTCGCCTCTTACTACGTCTTTTACACTTACTGGGCGCCCTACGTGCTATCTACTTCGCTCCCCATGGCCAACACCAGCGGTCACTCAAAGAAATTGACATTAAATGCTATCTTCTTCATCGCATACTGCGTTGGGAATATCATCGGTCCGCAGGTGTTTCGCTCCACAGACGCCCCGAGTTACTCGCACGGATATGAGGGCTTGCTAGCTTGTCTGGTTATTGCAATTGTCGCGATCTCAGCCTACGGAGTACTCTGTAAATGGGAGAACCAGCGACGGGACCGTGAGCAGCAGCAGCAGCAGCAGTCTGTTAGTGTCTCGGAAGATGCAGCATTTTCGGACTTGACGGATAAAGAGAAGAGATCGTTCCGGTATACGTATTAGTGTAGCATAGGACTCCATTGTACCAGGAATGATACTGTAGAGAATAGTAATACTACTAGCAATAATATTGAAATATTGCTGCAATCCAAATCCCGAGTAATGATATTCTTATTCATCTCGAACTACCTACATCAATCACTACTACCTAACTAGCATACTAGCAACATTATCCTGATCACCTTCGTAATAAAAACACCCAAACCCGCCTACTCCAAACCCACCCCCTTCTTCCACTCCACCAGTACTACTACGTAGTAGTATATGATCAACCCATCCAATGACCCCCCCTTTAGATAGCACCGAGCGGGGTAACCCGAGACACTACGAATCATGTGGCCAAACGCTAACCGATAAGAATCCTCGAGTAAGTAATACCGTATCAAATAGCAGCATAGTAGGTTCTACTATACGTCGGGTTCTATAACCCGACCTATGAAGCCAAGCCCATGAATTTTCGAAGTGGGGAAATAGTAACGGGGGTTTCCTTGCAGATTAGGATAGATACTAACTAGGCGGGAAGGTGGGAAGGTCGGAACGAGGGCCCGGGTTGTGTCTGGCTCTCGCTATTGCTATTGCTCGTTCTTATCTGATCATGTCTGTTCTCTGTCGGAGAGGTTATCTTGCTATCTATCTGCTGGGAGCTTTTATCGTGATAAGGGGTTGCGCTACTATGGCGGTTGAGGAGAAGGCAGGTCGGTGCGACGTGGATACTCACTGTTGTCCGAGGATGGCAACTGAGGGGTTGTTGCTAACTGTTCTCCGATGCACGGTATCATGATTTGATGAGCTTCACGAGATACTCATAAATACATTAATATGACTCCGGTCACGAGTAGCAAGTGAGAAGAGCTACTTACTCATACTTGAACTGGATTAAACTGAATTTGAACCTCTACAATGGACCGAAATACACGAATTCTCATCGTCGGAGCTGGCTGCTTCGGCACCTCAGCCGCTTATCATCTCGCCCAGCGCGGCTTCACGTCCATCCGCGTGCTGGATCGATATCCTGCGCCGTCCTGCGAGGCCGCCTCCACCGATATTAGCAAGATCATTCGCAGCGATTACAACGAGCCGCTGTATGCACGGTTGGGAATTGAGGCGATTGCCGCCTGGAAGTCTTGGGACTTGTTCCATGGGCTGTATCATGTCCCTGGCTGGATTCTGAGCGCATATAAGCTGTCGTGTGCGTTTGTCGAAGGGTCAATTGAGACGTGCACCAAGCTCGGGGTGGAGGGATTGGAGCGCCTGTCGACGCAGCAGATCCGGGAGCGATTCCCCCTTGTAACGGGTGAATTGGATGGGTGGAATATTAACGTCTGGAATCCAACGGCTGGTTGGGCGGCGGCCGGGGAGGCCATGCGACGCATGGCTGTCGCGGCGCAGGAGCAAGGGGTTGAGTATGTATCTGGAGAAGAGGGCTGGGTCAAGAGGCTGTTGTTCGATGATAAGAAGCGTTGCACGGGAGTGATCACGGCGGATGGCTCCACGCATGTCGCTGACTTGGTCGTGGTGGCTGCCGGGGCTTGGACGCCAACATTGCTGGACGTGGTGGGCCAGTTGACGGCCAAGGGCCACAGCGTGGCGCACATCCAGCTCTCCCCCGCGGAAACAACTCACTATTCCACATTGCCTATCATGGATAATCTGGAGCTGGGCTACTTTTTCCCGCCGCAGGCAGATGGGGTGTTTAAGATGGCGCACAGCCAGTTCATCACAAACATGCAGACGGATACACGGTCCGGAAACAAGTCGTCTGTTCCCCACACCTTTGTAGAGAATCCAGAAGATGATCTCCCGCTGGAGATTGAAGCTCAGATGCGCCGAAACCTTCGTCGTGTTCTACCAGAACTCGCCGACCGTCCCTTCTGTTATACTCGTCTTTGCTGGGACGCTGATACCGCTGACCGCCATTTTCTGATTTCACCGCATCCTGTTCATCAAGGGCTGTACTTGACGGCCGGAGGATCAGCGCATGGTTTTAAATTTCTGCCCGTGCTGGGCAAGTACATTGCCGACTTGCTGGAAGGATCGTTAGAGCCTGACATTGCCCGGCAGTGGCAATGGCGCGCAGGCCAGACGGTGACCGCGAAGAATCTCGCCCATCAGGATCCGGAGTTGGAGTTGAGTGACCTGACAGGATGGAAGGGGCGTAAAACACGTGAGAGTGGTCCGAGGTTGTAATAATCATCGAGATAAAGCAGGTATTGCATGCTAGAATGAATGAATCTATGTTAGCGCTAGCTTCAACCCTCCAAGCATCGTCATCGCATGTTCCTATTCAAAGCGCGCTGTCTTCCCTGACATGGCGCCGTTGGCAAATTCATTTTGGTTAAGGTCACGGCGTCGCCAGACCATCTCTATCACTTCTCTTGCCGGTGCGATATTCTAAATCATTAGCTTGTGACATGGTATATATGGGTGGACAGACGTACGCCAAACCGACGAATGGCCTCCCACTCTTGGAAGATTTGCAGAACAATGACTCTGTCGTTGTCGTCCGAGACACAGCAACCTGCTAGGAAGAGAGGCCATAGAGGGAGGACGGCAGTGCGCATCATGTTGGACTTGTGCGCCTGAATAAGATTGAGAATCTGACGAACATAGCGGAGTTTCTCCTCCGAGCTGAATGATGAACATGAAGAAATTGATTCAGAAGACGAGCATATCTCGTACAGGAGCAGTATTGCACCCAGGTGGTTTGCTTCAGCAATGACCATGCACTCTTGCCCTGAGTGTAAGTTAATATCCCCATGAGGTGGCGTCTGACGGAGCACCTCCAACGAGTGTTTCAGCCCATACACCTTCTGAATGTCCAGCTCATGTTCTTGCCATGCCAAATCAGTCACTTCATTTATTAAGAGAAGTAGCGCGTGGCTAAATCCCATATAAGGGTCAATAATTTCTGAGGATGGACTTGAAGGCAAGGCAGAAAGACATGGGTGTGTTCGTGGCCCATCCCATCGAAAGGCCGTTCGGGCAAGAACGAGGTGGAAAGCAAAGTAGCGGTCAAAGAAACCAAGAAGCTCCAGACTGTGCTGCGATGATGTTTTCCAATGTCGTTGCTTTCGTGCAGACATGACATCCTGGAACCCGTTAAGGTGTGTCACCCACGATGAACGACTATGATCTGAGATCTAATGGTGTCAATTCTCACAACTAATTGGGTGCATTATGGTGAAAAGGTTTCAATACCTCAAACCAACAGAGCATCAAAACAAGCCCCAAGATCTCATCCATCTCCCAATCCGACCAACTGTCTCGATCTAGAAGAGATTGGAGGTAGAGTAGCGCACGATGATGGTGCTCCAAAGCAGGGACACGATACCGTACTTTGGAAAGACGCAGGGTATTTGCGGAAATTGCCAACGCCGCATGATAGATGCCGTCAGAGTTGAGGGCCATGGGCAGGATCAAGTATCGATATGGATTCGATTGCACATTGTCGACCAGGGTTGAGCTGCTGCAAATGACTGCCTCAAAGAATGCCAGTAACATTTGGTCCTCGCTGGATCGATTCGAGGCCGTGGCTGGCATTGTATTCAATGCGGGTGATAGTAGCAGCCGTCGTTGATGACTGGGTAAGATCCCGCCATATACCGTTTGGTACTCCATACAGAGCCGGTTCACGTCGTCAGCGGACGTGTTTAGAAACATCCACTGCTGGCGCGACGCATTAGGCACAGTATGTCGCACCATCTCCAGACCCTGCTCATCTGAGACATCCTTTCTCTTCCGGCCATTCTTCGACCATACTCCGGCCCTCCCATGACACACGCCCTTGGCGATCGATTCATCAAGCCAAGTCAACTGCAAGCTGTATTCGCAGCACCGGTTGTTTCGCGCGCAGCGACGGCAGACGGGGTGGGTCTCTTTGCTGATGTGTTAGCTTACACTGGCTTTTCAATCCAAGAGGAAACTATAATACCATCACATTTTACCCTCCGGGACCTACAAGCCCAGCAGCCTGTCCGAGTGCGGGAGATGGTCGAGGGTGCCATGAGGTAGAGAGGAATTGGCGCGGAGAAAAGGAGTGGGTTATCCGAAGCCATTTATAGGCCACGCGGGGAACACCCCGGCCTTATCAGCGAAACCTTAATAACACATCGGAAAAGTATATGCCCTTGAATAAAATGCAGCTCGAGGAAGTTGCTTTTTCATATTCCTGAGTACATTAAGAGCTATAGCTGCACTTGATGTGTGTTGATTCTGGCTTGTTGTGAAACCCCAATCCTCGGTGCCCCCGGTTCTCTTTCAAATGACTGGACTTGAAGATCGAGGTCTTGAGGCAAAGACAGCGAAGGCCATCTGTTCTATTGGTGCAACCACTTCCATGTTGTGAAAGAAGAGAACTGTGCATTATCAAATCCAATCAAAATGACCCAAGCATCATGCAACTGAACAGATGCTTGAGATATCCAGCCACTGGTGTCGTGATTATCTCTAAAGGTGTGCTGTAACGTCATATTTCGTAAGATGCTCCCCCGTTCGTCCGATGAAGCATTCCACATCTCATCACTATCTGGCACGCTAAAGTTCCAAATCTGCGAGCGTAAGAAGTTCACTTCTTCGCGAACCACCGTAATCTTCGGCATCAGGACTGACTACCTGGTTCGGTTCACATAGTCGGCATAACTTATAAAGAGCCAGCCCAAACCGCTTGGCCTCTTCCACACCTACCCAAATAAGAGCTACTGGCGCATTAGGGGATGCTGAGCTAGCATGTTCGGATACGAGAGCAATCCCAGTTGACGACAGGTTTCCACGAGCGATGTGTAGCTCGTGCTCAGATCGCGGCAGGGGGCAACGAAGGTTCAGGTTAAAAGTTGTCTCCTGCCTGGCTATGAGCAGAGCAAATATAAGCTGAAGAAGGATGCTCTGGTATGTCGGCATCGGCCAAGTTTCATCTCAAAACGCCGTGGTGTTGATTCCGAAACATGCTAGCGGGACTACGATAGAGACGAATTTAGCGTCTGTTTGACAATTCTGATCGAGCTATTGTCCCTACTTCCTGTATCTGTATAGCAGACAGCAATTTGCGATGGAAATGCATTACTGACACCGGCTGCATGGATGTCCACCGTCACCGCGTTCTTTTTGAGCATGGCACTTTTGGCAGGCCTTTACTGCCCGAGACTGGGGAGGCTTCCTCTTAGGGTGATATTTCCGAACATGACGGCGTAACAGATCGCTGATAAGCAGTCAGTTTTAGAGCAGATGCCAAAGGCTGGTAAATATTCCAAGCACCTCCGCCACGTGGACTTAGGGGATTAGTTAGTTGGGAAATGAATGATAGACTTTGTTTAATATATACTGGCTCTAGACATTGTGTGTTTTTAAAGCCAGTAGTACTCAGTAATATATCAGATCAGTATCCCACTCGGTCTCCCACCCGGGTTGACATTGAGGAATGCCACAAATGGACTACCACTCTTCAAGACCTTCCTTAGCAAGCTATAGTGTTCAGACTTCACTACCGTTGACGGTGCAAAAAGAATCTCTCCTCAGCCCTCGGTTCATGGCTTCAAACCCTTGGGAGAAATGGAGATCGTGATTGCTGGAAAAAAGTTCCTGATAATTGGGACTTCAACTAAGCATATCGTTAACCAAGAATGTACTGGCTTTATCTTGACGGTTGAGGACTTTGGTCAGGGTCGAGATGGTCTTCTTAATGCAATCTATGTTTATGTGGAAGAGTTGAAGCAGATGGCAGAGCGCTTCCAAGCTGCGATTTGCAACCTTGGTAATGCTCATGCGCATACGGACATGACCGATCTCATTAGCCCTCGCTATCAGATCACCATGGATGGCAAACAGGCTGCTCGGCTCGTCCGTGAAATTAAGGTCGACTATCTTGTTCCAATGCATTATGATTCGTGGCATCACTCAACGCAGTTTGGAAAAGAGCTGCGTCAGGTTTTCCAGGAAGAAGGAATCAACGACCAGGTATGCTGGCTCAAACCTGGGGAGCCTGTCAATGTTCTATGATTATGCTATCCACAGCGAGGGTCCACGATATGGTCGCGGAACTCCTGTTTTGCCTCAAACGACCATGTGTTACCGCACGTGTCTACAGCCGAAGATGTCATCTCTTACTAGCAAATACCATCCAATTACTCTGGTCTTCGCTTTCTAGACCCTTTCTCTTCTCAGAACTTCATACTAGTAAACTACGGTACCTACAGCTTCAATATATTCTCTTACAACATGTAGTACTACTATTATTAACAACTGATCGAAAGCATTAGCTGCCTGGACAGACCATAGTGGGCAGCGCAGGGAGGCTTGAGATGTATTACAAACATTGCATATCGCAGGATCCAACAAACCACCGTGGTCTAGCATTGTATGAAACGAATAGACTATAATAGTAATACTAGATAAGTTTTTGGAAAGGAACAGATGATTCGGCAGCCCGTGACCTCAAGCACGTGGCCTCAGCCCCAGTGGGCTCTTTCCAACCCTCTTCTTCCTCGTCCTCTTCCCCAACTTGTCCATAGACAGGCAATCATTTCATCATCGCTAAGAATTTGCAAGTCCTGTGTTCAATTGTCCCCGATTGCCGTTACTGCTTCGTCCGATTTCTTGGCTCTAGCTATGGATGCTAGCCTCTTAGGGCAAATGTATGGCGTTCCTTGACACGCTGTTCTCCCTGCACTGACAAAGCAGATCGGCTTATGTTCCACCTCAGCCTATACAAGCCATGCTGTGATGCATAAAGCGTATTCTGATGACCCCCACGACGCGGGTACCTCACATGCCAAAGGGATTTTCATCCTCTTACGAAGCCTTTCTCGGCGGCAATAGAATTACGACTCGTGAATGGCAGCCTTTTGCAAATGCATACGTACGCTGGTTGGGAGCACCTGGATTGAAGTGAGGAGCTAACGTAATTCAGACGGTGAACATTAGGAAAATGCGGAGAACACCGGCCACGAAGGAATTCATCGTCTATTTTTGTGGTTGGTCTCAGGTGTTGCAGATACTAGTGGGCATTTGAATTGAACTCAACACTATGCATACCCCTTACGGAACACGCTTCTTCCAAGAACTCCATCGAAGCAATTCACGATCTGCATTATGTAGGCCTTGGCGATAATGCAACACGTACTTGACCAAGTACTTATGTCTTCAAGGTAATTCTTCGGTGGAAGATCGACTTTTGAATGTGCCCCAATAATAATCGGGGTGACTCGGAAATGATGCTGCCTTCAGTTTCCGGTGGCCCTGCCAAGACAAGAAATATGTAAGTACTACCGCTTCAAAAGATGCAGGGGACATAGCCCTGCCTGCCTGTGCTAATAGCTGGTGCGGTTGTCTAATTACTGACCCAGATTCAGATGTGCTTAAGACATTTGGGGCAAAGCCTACTGGCCCTGGACGGAGACCCCGAAAATTATTCTTGCAAGAAGTGCACTTTTCGAACGGTCAATACGCCCTATGTGGCCGTTCTCGTTTCAGACATGATGAGACACCATGCAAGGGGCAACAACGAGGAAGTTGCAGCCTGCCATTACGCCATTCATGGACCCCAAAAAAAGCGTAAAATGTGAGAATGCATGATTGGTCATACATAGCATCTTTCAGCTGCCCACAGGCATTACGTACGAGGCAGCATACTGCTGTCAGCCAAGCCATGGGTTGTCGCAATACTATGATCGACAACGACGCGTATAGTCATGGTCTTGGATCAATCCCTTTTATTGCATTTTGTAGAGGCTATATAATGATGCTCAGTTACCCACCATCCAACTACACGCTTGTACTCAAATTATTCTATTTCGAGTGACATTGATACTTCTAGTGAAAATGGGTCCACCGTATGTTCCACCGTTGTCGCACTTGAGGGAATGATGTGACTAATATATCAACAGGGTGAGCGGAACACCGCTTTCATGGCAAGAGCTTCAACAAGTTGCACCTATTGCTCGTCAAGGAGCCGTGGAGGTAAGTGCTTCCTCCCTTCTCGACGCATGTCGCTAACGGAGAAAGCAATTGCTATCTCTATGGAAGAGGCAGAAAGATAGAAGCGATTTGGAGCCACTTTGGGGTGACGAGGTTTGACATCACTTGCTGTAGTTGTATTGCCGGAGATGCTGACTCGACAGATTGAATATACCCTGGTCAGCCTCGATGCGGACAGATCGCGAGCAACACTGCTTCTTAACCAAGAAGATATTCTACGAAAAGAGGAGAGCCAATGCTCTAGTGCTGAAGAGGTGTAAGTATTTAGTAAGCATTCAAAGACAGGATACTGAGACATGGTAGTGAACCCTGGAACGAAGTTAAGTTACAGGCGGAATGGGCTCGACATATGGTAGAAGCAACTCCAGGAGAGCCATACGGGGGAGATGTCATGGATTTACTCAGGGTTGAAGGCAACATGAAGCGACGGTATGTTGTTCTCTCTGCAAGTAGGCCTATTATTGACTTCTTTAGACGGAAATTGATCGGACAATTCCTATCGCCCGACCAACACCCTGTACCATTATGTGTATTCCCCGGCCTAGGTGAAAAGGGACAGTTTACACTCCCAGAAAGTCCGGATGAATCCTCTCTTGAACAAATCTGCTGTCCCATACCACGCTATATAATGATGACGCAGAACTTGCTGGCACGCCGACAACGGCGTGTTGAGAGCTACATTCCAGTCTTCCGGGATGAGCAGACAGAAACACCTTTTCATGACAATTCTGTGTCATTTGAATACCCCGCAGAACATCCCCCGGGTAATGGGAAGGAGGGTCATGTACATCTGGATGGGATTGGTCTCGGGGTCGGGAATTGCTGCATTCAAGTTACGTTCCAGGCTCCTAATGAGATTGAAGCCCGATGGTTGCATGACCAAATGATTGCATTGGGGCCGGTTATGCTAGCACTTACCGCTGCGACGCCGATATACAAGGGCTACCTGGTAGATACAGAAGTGCGCTGGGGCCGAACCTCTGAATGCTTTGACGATCGCACACCGGAAGAATTAGCCACCACGGTATTATGCACACACACCCTATAGTTTCTTGGCTTAACTAACTCATGCAATGTAGCCACCACGTTATTCTTGGAACCGCACATACATCTCGCAAGAGAAGCCAGCCAATATGGAAAGCAAATACCCGCTGACTCCTATGAACGAGTCGGTTAAACAACGCTTACTAGATGGCGGCATGGATGAACCTTTGGCGATGCATTATGCCACAATTCTCTCACGGGACCCAATTGTGCTCAACCGAACAGACTTGGAAAACTTTGACCTAAATGGTACGGGCATATTTGATGTCTACTACAGCACTGTATGGCAACACGTCCGACTCAAAATCCCCTTAACCGACGACGGACCCGGCTGGCGGGTGGAGTTCCGGCCGATGGAAGTACAGTTGACCGATTTCGACAACGCTGCTTTTGCAATTTTTATGTACCTTCTCTCTCGAGCCATAACTGACCTTCACCTGAACTTTTACGTGCCTATCGACCAATTGGGAGATTCCATGGAACGTGCGCAGAAGCGTAATGCTGCCCTCGAAGAGCGCTTCTGGTTCCGTCGGACCGGATGGTCATCCGCAGAGCAGTGCGAGCGTCCACAGCGTCAGCGAAGAGGCTGTGTCAACTGCTGTTCAAAGTCGACTGCACATGCATCACCATCATGTGCTCTCCTTACCGCGGATGAGATCATCAATGGCGAGGATCCAAAGGACCCCTCCAGCTTCCCTGGACTGGTGAACATCGTGCGCGCTTATCTTCAGTACAATAACACGCCTGTGATGGAGCAAAAGAAGATCATGCCCTACCTGGATGTGATCAGTAAGCGAGCAAGCGGGGAGCTTCCGACCCCAGCTCAATGGATGCGCTCGTTCGTTACCGGACACGAGGAGTACCAGCGAGACAGCTACGTGAATGAGAAGATCCGTTATGACCTGATCCAGGAGATTGTTCGGATGGAAGATTCATGAGATGATGATTTTCAAGCGCAAGGTTTTTGGTTCATATGCATAGTTATAGAAGTGTCATAGATGACTTTGTATCTACCTTTCTAATCATGACAGTTACGATCATACCATCGTTTGTTCATTTTGGCCACGTCATAGAATAGGATGATTCTGTGGGCGGTGAAATTAGCACTGAAAACAAGGCTGAAAGATTGAAGTAGAGCACATTCCATGCTGCGTCATGTCGCAGATCATGCTTCTACCATTGCAGATCATTCATGCTAGATTAGTATGACGATGTAAGGCCGGTGGCAGGGATGACTAGGAACTTAGCACAGAGTTTAGATAAGAGAAATGCCTGCCACCCGCAACTCCAGCCCTATTTTTAAAGTTCAGGAACCGCTAAAGCCTGGCATTTCAGTGCTATGAATATATTCAAATGAAGTGATACAAAAACCGAAAAGAAATTTAATTAGATGAAATAAAAATACAAGCTGATCTACAGAGGTCGAAACCAATGAAACCCACCCTCCCCCTGCAGGTAAGGTAGTACAACACCCACTCCCCGGAGCAAGGGGGAACGGGATCGGATGATGATGTTAACGAATACGATCCATCACACCTCATTCGCAAAACTACGCTTCCTTCTAACCTCTCTCCCAAACGACCACCACATCCACGCGATCGGACACCCAATAACATTCGTCACAAACCCAATAAGCACCCAGCACGCGATATATAGTATCCGGACTGAACAACGAAAACCCGATCCCAGTTGATCCCCGCAGGGACGCCACCGTTTGCCATGGGTTGATACGTGCTCGTACAGTGGAAGATGACTGTGGTGCCTATGAGTAGGGGGGTGGTACCGATGTCTGGAACGATCTATTATGTGATCAGGAATAAGGATGCAGTTCAAAGAACCTTCGGCGCCTGAATGAATATGGAAGTCTGCGTCCATGGCATCAAGAGATCAAGCGATATCTAGATAGGTGGCATCAGAGAGTCACGGACGAGAGGATGATATATATTGGATAGCTGAGCCATTGCTGCGTATGCCCATGGAGGTCGAAATACCCTATCCTGGCACGAGGATGAGTGAGCTTGTGGCTGGACACCTGTTAGTTTCTTCGCAGATGGCCTGGACAATCCTGTCATCGTCAACTTTTACACTAACCTCGGTTTTACTGTGTATAGGTGATAACAGACTATTCGATTAGCTAAGTAAATAGCAAGATGGTAGTTAGTCAACATTACTGCTTATGTTATGTAGATCACTAGGATATAGTATGCTGTTCGGGATTTGCACTCTGCTTCCATCCGTGGTCAGCGCTACTCGTTGGCAGGATCGCAGGATCGTCGGATGGCGGATAGTGACCGGATCACGGAGGAGGGCTGGTCCGCTCGGCAAGTATACTTCCAGACAGAATGCAGAGCTCGGATTTGTAAGGGTTGGAACAAGTTCAAATTGTTTACCAGATAGTTAAATAGCCCTTGCTCTTCAACATGATATGGTATAGTTACAACATCGACTGGGAATATATTCATTCATCATTGTCACCCACACGTCGAGAGCTATACAGCTATACAATTATGACTACTACGGTTGCCGTTGCTGGTGGAACTAAAGGTCTTGGCCTGACCATTGCAGAAGCATTGGTCGTCCATGGCAAGCACAATGTGGTCATATTCGGTCGAAAGGTAAGTGTAACATCTTCTACAGAACCAGAGGAATCGCCTCGCTGATACCCATGAAGAGAACCCCTGGTCTAGACGAGAAGCTACCGGCTCGTCTGGTTGTTGTTGATTACGAAAATATCCAAAACCTAACAGAGGCTCTCGAATCCAACAAAGTGAGCGACGTGATCTGTACCGTCAACGCACATGGGAGCTCTTTATCGGAAAGGAACCTCATTCACGCGGCGGAGAACTCGTCTACGACGAAGCGATTCATCCCCAGCATCTTTGCCGGCTTCGCATATCCAGTCAAGTTAGTCAAGTCCCCCTCAAATGACTCGGGTGGTCGAAGAAAAGCGTAATATGATATTGACCTCTATGTCTATCTAGGTATCCCGAAGTCGCCAAATCCAAAACAGAGGTGCTAGAGGAGCTGGCGAAAACATCTCTAATGCACACTGCTATCTACAACGGCATGTTTATGGATTTCTACGGGTCCCCTCTGCTCAAATCCAACGTCGGCCCCTTTCCGATGTTTGTTGATATCGCCAGCAAGATGGCAGCCAAACCCGGATTAGGAGATGAAGCCATTGTGCTTACCCGTGTTCTGGACATTGCGAGATTTGTTGTCCGCATCCTGGATCTTGCCGAATGGCCCAAGGAGAGCTATATCATAGGTGACCGGGTAACCTTCCATGAGTTTGTTAATATGGCCGAAGAGGTGAGAGGTGGGTGCCGTGTCTTAGTATTGGGAATATACCATAACTTATCTAACGAGTCTCTGTCAGGTACCAAGTTCCAAGTGACCTGTGACTCTAAGGAAGAGTTAGAGGCAGGAAAGATCACGGAATTGCCTTGCTACTCGGCCACCTTTGCGGCAGTGGGTAAAGAACTGACCAAGCAACTATACGCTCAAAATGGGTTATGGATCATTGGAAAAGAGCTCGACCTCAGACCTGCCAGTACTCTCAATGAAATTTTCCGGACATTAAGCCTATGAGCTTGCGGGAGTTCCTTGAGCTCTCCTGGAAGACATAGAACTGAGGCTGGAGCAGGGAGAATTGGGACTTGGGATATGTAGGAAAGGTATCATTGGCTGGTTGGTTAGCGCCTTGGCACAGACCGAAGAAATCTGTTAACGACAACAGGAACCAAGCCTCAAGTAGAGCTATCAAGCCTCTATATGGGAATATACTGAGTGAAATACAACTTCCCTTTACACAATTAGAAGGTCAAGCTCATGTGGCCAGTATATTCTGAGCTCTCCCCTCCTTCCCGTGTATCTCATGACAGAATAGACCAATAACACCTTCAGGGCATCACTTGCAGGGGGTTTGAAATTGTAGGGTTACAACGCTAGCCTCACGAGCACCCTTAGTTGGCGGGACTGTCGGAACTAAGCGATGCAGGGAGCGGCCATAGCGAGTCAGACTAAGATCAAAACAAGCCTCACGGCCGAGTTTTCCGATTTCTATCCACTCGGAACCATCCAACCACACTCGCTTGAACACTAGGGTGTGCGGGCGCCATGAGCTTGGCTTCTTTGGTCTTAGATTGGGCATATAGTTCACTCCGAGAGCGCTCATTGTCTGTCAGCCTTGCAGGCAGACCCTTCACAAGACCCAATAGCCGGTTCTGCTTTGGGGACAGGGGATGAAGTCCTAATTTCAGAATTTGGACATAAAGGACCCCTGGGCAAGCCCGCCGTTGCGAAAATGCCCAACATTCCACTCCCTCCGCCTACGGGCTACACATGATGGCCACCTTGAACCACCCCCCTCAAGTGGCTGGAAATGGCCAAAAGAACTCAAATGCGGCAAGTCCGATACTGGAGCCCCTGCGGTATCGGACCAGGAAGTCACTGTACCTTCTTTGCTTCTATGTTGCTATTCTGCTCGCTCCTTGGATCATGACTTGTGTCATGATGGTGCGCCCTCTGGACGCCGCCTCCTATACTCGCCAGGGCTTTGGCCAGTCGGCGGCCGTGGTTCTGGATATCCTCGTCAGCCTGGAAATCATCCTCGTGCTTGAAAAGATACAGGCTGTTCTCGCCATCCCCATCGTCTCCGGTTTTCTGGCCCAAGCTGCCGTCATCTACACGCAGCGACGCTCGTCTAACCAGAAGCTGTCCCTACGACAGATTGTTACTCTAGCCGATCGTCCCTGGGCCAACGTGGTGTCATGGCTTCGCTGTCTACCACTTCATGGCAATGGATCCCCACTTGCCATTCTTGGAGGGCTGTTCGTTCTGCTGGTAGCAGCCACCCCTGCCATCCAATCACTCTTAATCAAGTACGAGGATATTAATATTGCCGCATGCTGGGAGTCACCGGTTCGGACATGCGATCCAACGAATATTGCCACAATCGTGGGTCTTGATCCGGAACCTGCTGCTCTAGAGTATATGCCCCAGAGTCTTGCTGTCCAGCAAGTAGCCAAGAAGACGCAGCTGGTAAGCGAGCTCGACGTGCAACCTTACCTATGGCCGGAGCAATGGACAACAATCAACGACGCTCAGGCTATTGAGAGGGGAACATTCTTCTGGTATGACGAGAGTTTCCCTTCGGATAAGTATTTTGTATCTGCGCTACAAAATGGGACCAATACCGGTGTCCTGCGCCAACATGCCATCCGGTTGAACTCAACGTCCGCCTGCGAGGCGGTGCATCCCTCTGCCTTTCCGCAGACATGTTCGGGTGACAGGCCTTTCGTGGCTAACTTGTCAGCACCTGATGCTCTTGACATCCGAATCTGCGCGCCCGGCGCGTTCGGCCAAACGCCTTGGACTCGCAGTCGGGACCGCCAGGATATCTCAGAGGAGCTATGGATTGATGTCGTTCAGCAAATCACAGGTTGGATTGTCGAACAATCCAACTTTACGTTGAGATGTACTACGAATACTACTCGGGGGTACTTTGAAATAAGCAACTATAAGAATGGCAATAACCCGGGACCGCTTCTTGAGAAATGGCCCAGTCCGGAGGTGCTGAAGCAGGATTTCAATGACTATTTGGGAGCAGGTGCAGGTTATGCCATTCCGTCCGTCGTGTAAGACGTCCCCCTTCCAACAACCTTCCAATTAGCTACCAGAAGATAACTGACAATATATACCAGTGACAACGACACAGACTATAGTCTCTTCGCCATAAGCCCCCCACCAATCGATCCTTTCAACTACGAAGAGCTCTACGCAGCCGGGCCACTAATGACCAGTGCAATAGCTCTATTCGGCAACCAAAGCTTCTTCAACGCCGCCAGCAACGCTACCACCAACAACACCACAAGATCTGCACTATTCTCCATATGCCGATTCAACGCCCTTCCATTCACTCGGCTCGGGGAAGTCGGCTTCAGCACCGCCGGAGATAACTGCTATGATCTTTTGTCGGAAATAGATCGCTTCAGCGACGACTACTGGTACCAATACCTGTTGTACACGATATACAACTGGGTTGTCGCGTTCAACGATACTCAATCAGCCGTTACAGCCCTGAGCATGGCAACTTACTTTGCCAACGAAGCTGTGCTCACCAACATAGCAACTCAAGGCTGGTCAGATGGCTCACGACAGATCAACTTTGACAGTGGTACCGTGATAATTAAACCTAAATGGAGCTTAGCAGGGGTGATAGTCATATCTACTCTCATTGGTCTGCAGATCTTGGGTCTATGTCTGATTGTGTTTTACTGTCGCTCGGTTCCCACCTGGACGGATAGTCTCGATGCTTTTGCGATGCTCCGCATGGGTGCGGAACTGCAGCGTGAAAAGCATGTTCGCTTTGCGGGTATCAGGGATACGGATGAGCAGGATATGGAGGACCTCGGTCGTATTGACGGGCTCGTGGGCGTTGTTGAAAGTCGTGGACTGCGGGGAGGAGACGAAGCACATAGTATGAAGGACAGTTCGCCGTTGGTTTCTCAGTCGGAGGGGGATCCCACCTCCTCGGGAATCCCATTGGCCGAGCTTCCGCCATACTCCTCCACCGTCTCGATTAATACTCACAATGATGAAGCAAGTGAGGAACGAGATGAAAGGGCAAAGAAAGAGGGTCTAGTGCCGCCGTTCCGTCTCGCAGTGGGTGCACCGGGCCTGATTACAGAGAGTATGGCGCCTAAGAAGACACGGAGGCGGAAGAAGACAGGCATAGTGATAACAGGTGCAAGTCAAGTGTGATGGAAGTGCTACAGTTTTGGGAATAATACTAATAATGATAATAATATAAGTTGGTAATCCACCACAGATGCAACTATTCTCCTTTGGTCATTCGCATACTGGAAGCATTCTCCCTGAATAAGTAGGGTAGACAAGTCCCGCAGGTCACATCAGTCATGTCAGTCCGTGAGATTATGTACTACAGGTGGCTTATTGATACGTACTCGGTGCTCCAGTATAGAAAGTATGCTTTAGGAAATCGGATCACAAAAGTAATTTTATCCATCTACTTGGAATATATATGTCACGATAGGGGATTGTGTTGATATATTTTTTATTGCATTTATCTCAAGTCGAGATAGATATGGGATGTTTCTTTTTCAATAAAAGATAACAGTAGTGAGAAAGCGTCAATGTGTAGTAGATAGCCGTTAGAAAATTTTATATGTTCAGGACCTGGAAATCATTGGTCTACTAGTAGTGCTTTCGAGTCAATAAGCCTGTTGATTACTTGGAATGCAGGTGCTGTGCATGATAAGTGAATGGTATTGATGTTGCTGTTGAAGGTAGTAACTTAGTAATAGAATATGTTCGTTTGTTGTTGGAAAATATAGGATAGCAATCTGCTATTCATTACTATATCCTAGTAATGTATAACTTCATCTGTTTAAGAGAATGCCGTGAAGCTGATTGCGTGGAATAACAGCGTACGCGATTGACAGCTCATTTTTCAATACGTGGAATAAGGTGCGATGCTCTCTTAAAGCTTAAGCTTAATACATTACAAAATTCTAGGATTATGTTAATGCAAAAGAAGATGAACGCTTCTATCAATCAACCTCGTCTGAAACAGCAGCAAAGCAGGATAGACCAAGATAACCTGACCCTCCTGTATATCATCAATAGTCATAACAGGCCACAAGCTGGCAGGGTATCGTCGATAAGCGAACAGGCAAGGCTGCAGCTCCAGTTATTGCGATTGGAACTGAGCGAACGCGACAAGAATATAACAAACACAGGGAAACAGACAGTTCAAGGAAATGATTAACGAGGGTGAATGCAATGATGATAATGACAAAGGAGAAAGGTCCAAATGAGGGCAGCCCGACAACTCAGGCTAGATACAAGATGTAGATGACGGAGAGGATGAGTATCGCACTGAAAATGTTGGCCGCGGAACGGTCAACAGAGCCGTATCCCTATTGCTCATGGTCCGGCTTCTGCTCATGCGCAGTCGTTACTTCTTTGTCAGCTTCCTCGTGCTCCTCAGCATCAAGGAACGTTTCTCTTTTATCTTCTTCTGTTTCATCCGAGTCTTCGGGTACCGGAGACTTTCCTTTGACCATAATTACTTCCTCTTCCTTTCCAACCTCTTCCTCCTCAGCATTTGCCTCTTCAGCCACGTCTGCATCAGGCTCCGCCTCTGCGGCCTCTGCGTCATCGGTCGGCTTCTCAGCCTGCTCCGCTTGGGCTGCAGCGGCTTCTGCTTCTGCCTTCTCCATTTCGGCCGCCCTGGCCTGTTGTCTCTCCCAGACCTCCTTGCGAATGCGGTCATCTTTGGCCCGACGGAGTCTCTCGGCCTCCTCCACACCACCACTCTTCTTCAACTTGCCTTCTTCGACAAAAGCTCCGAGCTCCTTTTGGAAAAGCCCAATACGGCGAGTCTCCAGCTCCTTCTGGCGTGCCTTCTCTGCCCGCTCAATCGCCTCCAAGCGAGATTCATGGTTCGGCTGCAAGGCGCGCACCTCACCCAAGACGCTGTCTTTTGCCTTCATGGGATCCACAGCCGGATCAATCACAACGTTTCGCGAGGTGTTGCGCAAGGTGGGTCCACCCGAAGAGTTCTGCATCGCCTGCTGCTTTGTGGCCTGCTCAACAAGAGCAAAAGTTTGAGCTGCCTTCTCCAGATCATCCTGAAGATCAGCTGCGAGGTCCTCTTGCATAGTAAGCTGGTCACGCTCTTCACAAACTTGCTGGAGTTCCTTCTCCCAGATCTTTGTCCAAACGGGCTTCTCCCGCTTAAGGAATTCCTGCATCTTCTTGATCTCCTTGGTAACGGCGCTGATGTCCTTACTCACAGACTCCAGCTGCCTCGGCAGCGGTCGGACACCACGAGTCACAACATCCTTGCGGAGATCCTCGACCAAATCCTGGAGGTCGTCAACCCGCGCCACAAGACGTTCTGATTCCTCTGCAAGTTCCTTCTTTCCAGAATTCACCCGCACACGGCCCGCATCGCCTTCGAACGAGGGTACTGTGACATCAGCAGCAGCCGTCTTCAGTCCACCTGCTTTGGTACGGATCGCACTCATTGAGCTCGCAATATCGGCGGTGAAATTCGAGTACGTCTGTCGTAGTACAGCAAGGTCACGTCGCAAACTCTGGAGCTCTGCGATCTGACTGTCGCTCCCCGTATAGGTCCCTTCCGGACTTCCCCAGTCTTCGCGGTAGCTGCAACAGGCACAGGAGGCGCAGCAGCCAGACGAGCCATTTCTTTCGCAGCTTCCAATTGACGGTCTGAAACACGTTGCATCATGCTTTCTTGCCCCTCGAGGGCCCCTTTAACACCTTCGATCATGCGACGGACTCCACCGAATTCATCATCAAAGTGCTTCTTGACCTCATCCAGGATATCAACATTGAGCACCAACACAGACCGATCCTTGACATCGCTCAGATCCTCCAGCTCGTGCCGGACCCCTGAAACAGGGTCCTGAATATAGATTTCCGGCAAGTCAACCCCGTTGTTGTGGGTGTTCCAAGCGAATTTCTCAATGAAAGCCAGCTGAAGTCTTCCGATAGTAAGGCCAGTATATCCTTCTGGGAGAACGTATTTCTTTATCTTGCTTCTGTATTGAAGGAATAGAGTGAGCTCCTTGCCTGGGGATTGCTGTTCAGGGGAGTATTGGGATGCTTGAGGTGGGGTAGAAGCAGACACAGCTGGCTGCTGGCCTTCAGACTTGGGCGTTCCTGGGCGGGCAGCCGCGGTAAGGGCAGCATCCTTTACGGGCTCAAATGCCTCTGCAAGGGACGGCTCTTCAGAAGGACGAGGGAGATCGGGCTGCCGTCCAATCGCCGGGTGATCAGCCGGACCACTTCCAGGGCGTTCAACAGACTTTTCTTTGGCGGCAGTAGCACCCTCCGCTGGAAGTTCTGCAGGTGACCCAACGCGAGATTTTGGGCGCTCCTCTTCAATACTGGGAACGCTCGCAGGCGCCTGTGAAGCAACCTTTGCGTCATGCAGCCGATTTGTCGATCGCTGTCGTCCATGAACTGACCCGCGTAGACGCACAGCATTTAGCGACTCACGGACATCACGCCCCCGATTCGGTATCGGAGAATTTTGGGTCGGGAGGACTGGAACACCGCTTGAAGAAGTTCCCAGATGCTTTTGTATCTGATAGGCAGAAAACCTTCGAGAGGCCCGACGTTCCAGCTCCCCGCTTCTCTGCAGAGCCCCAAGAGCATCATCTTGTTTCGGGGCTGGCGGAGGGGGCGGTGTGGGATAAGGTGGCGCGTTGGTCGAAGTCACGGAGCCCTTGGGAGTTGCCCCAGAGTCTGGTTGAGATCCTTGAGATAAGATGTTTTGTGCCTCGCGCCTCGACGCATCTCGTTCTGAAAAGCTCGCCCCTCGCGCATCAGCCGATGCCGCTGAAGACGCCCGGGCCATGGATGGGTCCTCCATAGAGCCATTACTGCCAAATCGCCGAGTCGATCGCTTCGGAGACGTCACCGTGGAGGCAGTGTCCTCATATGCTTGATTCAATGCCGCCTGCGCCGAAGTTGCACCACTTGCACTTGTGTGCCGACCGGGCAATGGCCTATTTTCCTCCTTCTGTTGTCGCGCACGTAGTCGAGCCTGCTTTTTCTTGAGGCCATGTAGAAGGTTGATGATGATGTCGCGAACTCGAGGGAGGTAGCGCTCGAGACTCTGTGGAGACGCATCTTGGCTGAGAGTATCTTCGAGGATCGTACGCAAAAGGTCGGGTACGGGGCCAAGATCTGAGGTGTCAACTCCGATGGCATTGAAGGCGCGACAAGCCAGGTTGAACTCATAGCCCAGCCGTACGTAGACGTCGGACACTTCATTCTCTGATGCTTGTCGGCGGGACCACTGTGTCAGAGTCTCTAGCAGCTGTTTCGTGGCGACCAAAAGATGGGTGACACTCTTTTCGATTTGGTTGATCTGTTTCTCGGGCTGTGGATCAGACGCACCACGAGGTCAGCCGGAGTATTTGTGGGACGGCTGGGGGGTGATTTGGGAGTGACCCAAGCAGTGGCTGCATGCCACCCATAATGGAGAGAAGCACTTACTACCACGCTCTTTGAGGACTGAGACCTCGTCGAGCTCGACGAACTGCGCGGTGCAGATGTCATGGCGGATTCCACACTGCTCCCTGAACCGGATGGGAAATGCTGGGCTGACGGACTTCGCTGGGAGCGGGAGGAAACGCTGGAGGCGGACTGCATATGTGCAAGGCGGGAATCCGGGACAATTATTCTTTTCAGTGGCAGTTGATAAGTTGTAACACGAGTATATTAGGAGCCACAAAAGGATGCAGTGTGCAAGGTCGCGAAAAGGGCTGGGGATTGAATATTGTCTCAGAAGAATGTGTAAGGGAGAAAGAGAGAGACGGAGAGAGGGAGGGAGGGAGGAGTAACGACGGCGGGATGGATCGAAATAGCCACAAATGATGAAGAGAAACGAGGGAAATCAAGCAGGAGAAAGAAAGAGGCGGCGGAGAAGAGTATGCAACAAAGAAAGCAGGAAGGTAATAATGATAAGAGAAATAAAAGTCCGCACGAGAAAGGCAGCGAGAGACAAGCGGGAATTATAGCCAAGGAACCAGCCTCTTCGAGGGGGTGGGAAGGTAGTGGTGGTAGTAGTAGTTTTGGGTGGTGGTGATGCTGTTGGACTGGCACTAAAGCAGTCTAAGGGATCTGATAGAAGACCGATTTGGGCACAAGTTTAGTCTCCCGGCCAGCAGAGCAATGAAATGCCCAGCAGAAAGACTCACTGCAACTCAATCATCGCTGCCTTCCGAGACCTGTGCCAGCCTGAGGCATCGAGAAGACAACGCCCGCCAGGTCACATGCTTCCACCAGCCTCCGGGATTTTTGGTTTCGCCGGATCCACCTCAGCCGCGCCTCAATTCAACTCTCTCTTATGCCATACAGACAGTGTATCATCCTTCAGTTCCTCTGTAGATCTACTGATTTGAAATGTCTTGAGTTCAAAGGTCCCCAGCGGTGAATGCAAGTATTGCTCACGATGATGCTGAATCTGCTCTCAACTATTGATACTCTTGAGCCTTCTCGATCTTCTCATCCCTTGGTGTGGACACCTCTATGATGACACCGATCCCTCGGCCGTCCATGTCAGACTGCAGAACCACTTGGGGTTAGAGTTTCAACGCCGGAGGGTCCCTTCCTATCAAACTTCCGGAATACCTTTCCTGTGTGACACTGCGTAAGGTTCTGTACAGTAGTCCTAACGAGGTCTCGCGCACTTTGGTCGGTTCGGTAGTGATGGCAGTACCTCTCTCGATCGATTGTTTCAACCTGCAACCAAAGGGGTTCCATGAAGTCTCTCTTGGCTGTTGACGGAGCCACTCTTACGTAACGACACTTTCTATTGATTGATTATCGCTGGTTCAACACCAACAACAATATAACAGGCCCGATTCATCGACACAAGGCATGAGTTGCTGGACGCCTGGGCAGGCGCTCAATGGAATAGACTAGCCTAACAATGCTTAGCATGGCCCGGTCAATTGCCCCGGCGCTTGCCTTAGTTCTTACTGTATTCGCTTAGTCTCTTAGTAATGTGATATCTATAGCATCATGTGGGTAGTGCGCTGAAGCGTCAATGAGATTGTCCTTCAGGCAGGGTCTTAGCGCAAGCCGGTTCGTTGATTTGCTTTGCCAGTGTTTCCCCAACAATACACAGCAAGCATGATGCAAGTATAGTTTCGGTCGATCACCGAGCTAGCTGTCTTATCTCCTTGGCCCGAAGGTCTATTTTTTTATTATCATGTTGACAGCCGCAGTAACCAACACAGATGTCTGGGGAAATACAAGTGGCACGGCGCTGCTTCTCAATTTCAAGGAAAGCACGTCTGGAGGAGTAGTATTCCTGTCAAGGACTCTATAGATCGGTTTCCTAGCCTAGTTAATCGGGAGGTGAATGGCTCCCCACATAGCGAGTGCCCAATTTTGGTGATTGCTGGGTGTGTTGGCAGGACAGCAGCCCTTGCTGGAGCGAATTTGAGCTCCGTTGCATTTACCGATCGCACCCGGATTCCAGAAGTACCGTATGGACTATTCAGACGCGGTGACAGTAAAGACATAGACATGGACCAAAGAGCTCTGCGTGAGCATGGGCTCTGGAAGTGAGCTTCCATGCAGCAAGGGATCATTCCAGACCTAGGATCAGAGATACAGACGGACCTCATATGAATTCACCATGCAGCGCGATGGTGGGCCTGCTCCGAGTGGATTCTGACAGGCCGCAAGGGCAGGAGTTCATTGAGAATTTGCAACTCGACTGATGGAAGCAGAAGCAAGTGGAGTGAGGCGACATGGTGCGTCTCAGTAGCGAGGTGGGAACACACACCTACACGCACGCACACACAATTGCAATCCCATTCATGGAGCAGGAAAGATGATGGTGATTGAGAACAACCAATTATTGTGGTCTTTTATTACTTTTTTTTTTAATCATTCGAAACTATGCCTTACGAAAGACCGTCAGAAACCCCTCAAAATGATACTTGCTCCTCATAATTTAGTAGTACTCCACCAGACTTAAAAACAAATGTTTATCGGCCAGCATAGCAAGAAATTCAGATATGGAGGTGGGAGTAGAAGTGAAACGAGGGAGAGAATGGAAGAAGAGACCTTTCTCAGGTACTCCGTACGGAGTACATCCACATAAAAAGCAGTGCACATTCCCATGGCCATCATGTTCCCCACTCGCTTGCCAACCGCCAACCAAGCCCAGAGACCCTTGGGACATCCATGGGATTTGCCCACCTAAATTCCCCTCTGACAAGCTAAACCCTCCAGCCAGACCCAGCACTAACCGCCCACTGACCTACGCTGTACGTACATAAAACTAACCTTACTTGACCTGTGGATGATGTTAGCTGTCTGGCTGGCTTGTCTCTGGCTTGTCTCCTCTTTTTGTGGCTGCTCCTCTACCAACTAACATTGAACTTCCTCTCCCTGTGTAGTAGTTTACGTTCTTCTTTCCTCCTGCGGCCCGCAGCCTGACTTGACCGGGGCTCTCCTACAATTCTCTGCGCTTTATTGTTACTACTCTGCTTCTCGCCAGTCCTTGCTGGTGTTCGTCTTCTTGCCTCATTCTCCTTCTCCTCCTTCTCCACTTCCCGTCTTTCCTCCCGGATCCGCGTCTCCCCTCCTTCCTCCCCTTTCCCCGTTTCTTGCTCTCTCTCCCTCTCTCTCGCTCTCCCTTCCCGTGGACGTTCAACTCACAAGAAGGCGGTCCCGTGACTTGTTCGGGGCTCTCGCTCTCCTACCACAGCTTCTCTTTTCCCCTTCCACCCCGCCATTCTTTTCTTTCCTTCCCCCTCCCCAATCCCTTCCTCCCACTCCATCACCGTTTCTTCGGTCCTGTTTGCGCAGGCGGTGTGTTTTGGCTTCGTGCCTTCCGTCCGTACTCTTTACGGCTTTGCGTCGTGCGACGACGTAGAGCTACGCTCGGTGACGATCCAGCCAGATGGCTTCTACCGTCAACTCGGTGTCGGCTGCCAACAGTGCGTCTGGCAATGCCGTGAATCCCCAGAATCCCGGTACTAGACCTTCATTGAGATCCAGTGCTAGTACGAAGGCATCGGAGGGCGGCCGGCGTCAGTCCGGCAGTCCTCTCGAGAGCGGACAGAGGTACGTTGCGAGGTCAACATGTAATCCCTCATTCCTCCCAGCTCGTTCAACTCGTTTGCTTCCATTGCCCTTTCCTCACCGCTTGCCGCCTCACGAAAATATGGTCGTTTACCCTGTTACCATCTCCCCTCCCTCTTATTATTATTGAGGACAAGTCTCTTCCTGACAATGCCCTCCGTGGCTGTCGGGTCTTCTTGACGACTGGTTTCGCGTCATTGTGTCCTCGCTTCCCCGTCTTCCTCTCCCAGTGTTATACAGTCAATCTCGTTCCCTGTTGAAAGGGCACCATCGTCTATCTCATACTCTTTGCTGATAGGCATGGAATTGTGTTGCGCATTAACTAACCCACCTCTTTCTTCATGATAGGCGCAGTAACTCCCAGAAAGCTTGGTCCCACGGCGCAAACCCCATCACACAGCGGGCCTCCTACTCGCAGCAGAACGGCAACATGTCTCACAAACAGTCCGCCTCTCCTCGACCGACTCCCAAGGAGTCAAACACCCCCGATAACCACGCAAATGATCGTCTTGTTTTCTTGTTTGCTAGCTTCATTGTAAGCTCGGTTTTCCACACCCGGCATATATTGACGTGAAAGGCTTACGGTTTCCAGGGTTTGAATGCTACGATTACCACGAGGAATGGGGATAAATACACGGGAATTTTTTCGTCCTCGACGCTGGAGCCTAGCGACTGTTCGTTCGTACTCAAAATGGTGCAACGGCCAACCAAGGCGGATCAGAACAAAGCGAACGGGGTTAGTGATGTCTCAAGCCCGTATATGGGGTCGGCGCCGGATCATAGCATGTCCTTCGATGTCAAGGACGTGGTCGATATTTCAGTCCCGAACGTCACCCCGGCCGATGTTACAGCAAAGAGCGCGAATGGTAAGTCACCGGGCCAGCTTGAGAAACGGAAAAATTTTCTGGCCCTTCTTGAGCTAACGAAAGTATCAGGAACTCCTGTAGGTTTCAAAACGGATACCGACATTTCCGGAAATCTTGCGATTCGCGAGCGGACTCTCAAGCGCTGGGAGCCTGCCGCCGACACCGACGTCGACCTCTCTCTCGAAAGCGCACACAATTCAACTGGGTGGGATCAATTCGAAGCAAATGCCAGGCTCTTCGGTGCTACTAGCAGTTACGATGAGAACATCTACACAACTAGAATCGATCGGTCAGACCCTACCTATAAGCAGAAGGAAGCCGATGCTGCTCGAATTGCTCGTGAAATCGAAGGCGCTACTACAGATAATGCACATGTTCGTGAGGAAAGAGGACAGGTATCGGCAGATGATCACGATGAGGAAGCTAAATACAGCGGTGTTCGTCGTGATGAGAGGAGCTTCCCGCCGCTCGTTTCGGGGCAGCCGAACAAGTACACTCCGCCAGCGCGCAGGCAAAACGCCGCTCAATCTGCCATGGCCTCGGGAGCTCCTGCAAGCTCTATCAAGCAGGCTCCTAGTACCCCGAAAGAGGCTGTTGCCGCAGGACCGCCCAAGGAGAATGGGCAGGCCCAGGCTCAGCCCGCGCCGCCCAGTATAACAGCAAGCTCCACTGCCGATACGGAGCCAAAGCCTGCATTGTCCAAGACTACATCTGGTGCCCCGGCTCCCGCAAATGCTACATCGAATGTGGAGGCCGAGGTGCTCGACTCTTTCCGGCAATTCGCCCACAGTGAAAAGGCGAAGTTGCAAGAACGCCGTCGTAACCAGGCTTCATATGATCGAACCATTAAGCTGAACGAACTTATGAAGTTCTCCAAGAACTTCAAATTGGCAACGCCTGTGCCCAAGGATTTGGTTCCCATCCTAGCTAAAGACCCGCACAAACAGGAAGAGATCATTCAAAGAGCTCAGCAGCACGCTGAGGAGAAAGTCGTGACCAAGTCCCCAGCAAGTGCTGATCCGAAGCCCGCTGCTCGCCCATCTGGAAATGCCCGCCAGGAAAGTGGAACTATGCCACCTCCTGCGCAGTCTGACCGCCCGAACTTTCCTCGGGGTCGTCAAATGTTTCCCCCAACCGGTCCGCATGCCGGACCTGGTGGGCGGCTTCCGCAGCAGCCAGTGCACCAGGGCCGTCAAGCCACTGGTATGCTCGGCCATCGTTTAGCAGACAACATACAGCAGCGGAAGGGAGCCGCGATGGGAGCTGTTCCCGCTCCCTTGCCTATCAACGAAGTTCGTATTCCCCCAACTGGCCCAGCTGGCGAGCAGCCTGCTGTTACTAGTCCGAATAAGGTGCAGACACCAACTTCGTCCATGTCGACCAAATTCAACGTGAGGGCCCTGGAGTTTAAGCCAAACCCCGCCGCAAGTACCTTTACACCCGGTGCTTCATCCACCTCATCTCCTTTCACCCGAGGACGCTCCGTCTCACGGACCACTAGCCCCTCGTTGTTCTTTGGAGCGAAGAAGCCAAGACCGATTTCTGAGAGGCCGTCCCTTAACGATCAGTTCAACCCTATCAAGCGCATGAAGAAGGAAAATGCGGAGCAGAGTGATAAGGGCTTCGCCTTCAATGGAGGCATCCCGCCCGCTTACAGGACCCCCCCTACTTGGGATGCTGCTCCCGGAAATGAAGAGAAGACATACCTGGAAATGTTCAAGCCGCCTGCTTCTGTGCCGGCTATCTCTCCTCAAAGCCGGTCTGCGTCGAATCCCCAGATGCCTCCGCCGCAGATGCCGTTCCAGTTCCCACAGAACACTCCTGGCATGCCTCCCACTACTGGTCCACCGCACGGACCTCATCTACACCCTCAGCAGCATCACAATACCGGGCCCCCACACTTTGACGATCCCCACCGCATGCAAATGTCAGCCTCGACCTCGCAAGTGTTTCCATCGCCAAGACTACAGCACGGTTATCCATCCCCCATGGCGCCACATGCACAGCTTGCATTCGGACAAGCCATGCCACAATTTTATGTCAGCCAGGCCGCCCAACAGCCTGGACATATGAGGCATTACCCGGGCGGTCCTCAATTCGTCAACCCCCAACCAACCATGGGCGCTCCAATGATGGTTCAACAGCCGTCTAGCGGACCATACATGGGTGTCCCTCAGGGCGTGGCCCCCTATACACCTCAGATGCAGATGTATTCCCCAAACCCTAGCCACGCGTATCCCCAGCATGTGCCACCGCCCCAACCTCACAGTGGCTATCCCAGTCCCAGTCGGGGTGCTCCCATGATGATGCACCAGAACTCTCAGCCGGGTCAGCCCCCGCAACCGGTGATGTTTATGTCCCCTGGGCAGCATGGCCAACCCGTGTATCCAACGCAGCAGCCAAGCCACAGTAGGTTATAACGAAATCAGAAGACAGTTGTGGGTTAGGTCGCTAACTTGGCTAGTGCCCCCGGTCCGCGGCAATTATCCTCAGCAGCAGCCCCATTTCCAGTCCAGTCCCCACCAAGTGCACCATTACCCACCTCACCAGCATCGGACGCCTAGTAGCGGCTACAACCAATTGCCACAGATGCCTCCCCAAATGCCTGCTCAACCCCCGTCTACTGTCGCATCTGGACCTCAACCGCAAGAGGCAGCAGATGAAGTGAAATGAACCATCCCCGCTTGACAAGCGTGAGACGCCATATCGCTGGCTCAGCGACCTGACCAAACCACCGCCGTTCCTCTTTGGAAATTCAGGCTTCACTTGGACGTGAACTTCAGTTGTTCACCGTTGGCGACTCAAATCGTCTCGCGTCGACCAACAACCTCACTATGTTTACCAAAGCTATCTGTACTTTGTACGTATGCGCTGCGCTATGTGCACCGGAAGACGTACAGTGTTTCCGGTTGGCGGGTTGCGATTCCCTGCTGGTAAGCCAGACTCTTTTTTTTTTTTTTTTTTTTTTTTTTTTTTTTTTTTCTTTTTTTATCTTAGCACTCTCGTTGGTTTCTACAAGCTAACCAAACGCAGGCGAGGTGGCAGCTTCGTGTGAAGTATTGCAGTCAGATCAGGTGTGTATAGGAGTAAAGCCATGGGCTATAAGTTGAGAGATCTCCGAGGATTGGTGTGTCGGCAAATAGTTCGGCATCCGATGGCCTTGTTGCCATCCTATGCAGACCTATATTATACGGCTTCTTGGAAGTGATTTACAGAACCCAACGAAGGGATTCAACTACGATAACTTTCCAAGTTACTGGGGTACTCATTGCTATATGCCAATGATGTTCTGGGATCTATCATTTTCTTTTCTTCTTTTCTTTCTTCGTTTTTGCATGTCTTTTGCGTTACCATCTCTAGCCATGGGGAATCGGACCGGAGGAAGAAGAGAGTTCGGGTGGACAGCGACGGGTGGAAGAGGCCGTGAGCGAGTGGCATAGGAGGGACGTTGCACATACGGGGGTGAGTTGTTGGCATGACATTGAGATGATATGAGAGGAAGTGTTCTAAGGCGACTTGTTTTACGCATTTTGAAGGGGATGAATGGCATTCATATAATCGAGCTTTATGCCTTATGTAGACCGGAACCAGTATAAGTAGCGTAGCAATCACGCAGGAGCTGCAAGTCAGCATGGTGGACCTTGATAGTCGCAGACTGTAGCTAGGACAACACAAAGACACGTCATTCCAACAACAATCATGGAATATTGAAAGAGCATTCTCCTCAGGTCTTTTCAGTTTCTTATTTGGTCATCATCCAACCAAGAAAGACGCCGCCACCGCGGTACTCTACCCTCTAACCCAAGCCCAACCACCAGCAAAACACCAGAGTCCACAATCCCCGAGCCCATCACAAAACCATAGTCAATCTCTGCGTCACCCTACCCATGCCCCATCCCGCAAATCTCCCATTCGGCAGTTAATCAAAGAACAAAAGGAATGTACGCCGCAGCCATTAGTTTCTGAAATTCCTCATGGAGAAAAGCGGACCAGAAACCCCAAATTGCGGCTTGGAAACAAGAAAAAAGTATGTTTTAGTTTGTTGTACACATGTCTCTCCAAGGTATAAAGCAACGTCGTGAGTCTCGCGACGAAGACCTTGTGCCTTTCACAAGAACTTGTGTCTGCCTTGATGATGGATGAATGAAGAGAAGAGCGGGAATGGGAGTATGGATTCAGGTATCCGCGAGAGATGTTTCCATGATATTTGCAATGGGGTGTTCTCGAGGAAGGAATTCTTTGTTGGATTGCTTGTGTTGGTTAGGTCGGGTTGGGTTGGAAGGTGAGCACACAGCGGGGGTTGAGGCGACGTCGTTGGTTTCGCGGTCTGACCTTTTACCAGGTGATCATCATTGGAGAATGACTTTTTCTTGTGGCTTGGAGGGAGGAGGGTGAGAGATTGGGGAAAGGCTGTCTGTGACAGAAACTGAGACTGGGACGGGGGGAAGTCAAGTAGGAAGTGATGGGACGTGCCTTGTGTTAGCTCAGCTTGGTGTGAACGGTTAGTTGGAGGTGAGTATTGATTGTTGATGGCAAGAGCGCAGAAAACATCATGTTGGTAGTGGTGTTTTAGTTGTTGTTGCTATCATTCAGCAGACGCGTCCGTTGTGGGAGATAGATATAGAACAGAAGAGCGTATGTGTTAAAGCTAAAGAGAAAGAAAGTCAAGCTTCGGCGATAAAATGGGGAGCTTTCCCACGGATGGCCCTAAACCCGATTGGGGGCGGGGTACCACGGGCAGCGCCAAAGGGGACAATCCGTGTATTATTCCATGTCCCCGATCTCTCTCCCTGTTGAACTTGGGGGCCGTTGATCTCTGTCGTTCTGCCTTGGACTAGAGGTCAGTCGCATACGTGTCGTTTCTCCAAGGCTTTCTTTCTTTTATCCGTTGATATACCCCCTTTCTCGCCCCGCCGAAAACGTTCCTCCACTATCGCCGCTGCGGTGGTATCTTAAAGACCAGCTAGTACTTATTAGCTGCCCTCCGCGAGACACCAACGACTGTCAGCAGCAACCACACCAACCATGGATTTCCTCAAATCTGCTGTCGCATCGGCGATCGCAAAGGGTAGCTCGTTCCCTTACTCGCTCGGGGACAGAGTTGACCTCTCCGACTCGATCTGGACGCTACACAATGCTACGAAACGGGTATGAGATGTCATGCGGGCCCGCGGAATCACCCCCCAAGGGGCTAATGCGATTGCTGATCGGCGCTGGGTACGTATAGGAAGACGGTTCGCCCTGCAGCGTCTTTACCTTCGATATTGCTTCCAACAAATCCCGTCTACCGTTGGCGAAGAATGCGGTGCGCAAGTCTCGGACGCTGAGGCATCCGGGTGTGATTAAGGTCTTGGATACGATAGAGGTAATTGGGCACACGCCAGCCCATGCATCATATGTTATACGGATGGAACGGCTTACGGGTTATAGACGGAAGCTAGCCTTTATATTGTCACGGAACGAGTCGTTCCCCTTTCTTGGCATGTTAAGCGGAGGAGTCTGAGCGAGGAGACGTCGAAATGGGGCTTGTATACTGTGGCGGTATGTTCTTGTCATGGTGGTTATGGTGCGACTGTTCTGACGTATGCGGTTCTACAGTCCACGCTCAAGTTCATCAATGGAGATGCGGCGTCTGTCCACGGAGTCGTCAGGGCCTCTTCGGTATTCACAAGCGAAAGTGGGGAATGGAAACTGGGCGGTTTCGATATTCTGAGTTCGATGAACGATGAGAATGCGGTCATTTATGTCAGTATATACTCTTCTGCATAACGAGATGCGCTCTTGCTGACAGCACACTTGCAGACATATGGTAGTCTCGTTCCTGACGCGGCTCGATTCACACCTCCGGAGGTCGTCAAGAGCGGATGGGACACAATCAAACGGAACCCGCTGACTGCGATTGATTCTTACGGGCTTGGAATACTGGTTTACGAGGTCTACAATGGCAATTTCACTGGCGGTGACCAGGTGGGCAAGACGACGAACATCCCGCCCAGTATGCATCAGAGCTATAAACGCTTGTGCACGGCGAATCCTAAACTGCGCCTGAGCCCTGCCCACTTTGTTGAGCAGGGGAAGAAGAGCGGTGGCTTTTTCGAGACCCCACTTATCCGGCTGACGGACGATATTGAGAGTTTGGGACTCAAGAACGACGCGGAGCGAGAGGAGTTTGTCAAGTGAGTCAATGCCTTGTTTGGAACGGGCTGCCACTTGTAGATGCTGATTGAAGTAGTGAGCTTGATGAGCTGTCTGACGACTTTCCTGAGGAGTTCTTCAAGATGAAGGTGCTTCCAGAATTGCTGAAATCGGTTGAGTTCGGTGGAGGCGGTCCCAAGGTCCTGGGGGCTATTCTGAAGATCGGAGCGAAATTATCCCAGGAAGAATTCAACTCGAAACTCACGCCAGTAGTTGTCCGACTGTTTGGAAACCCGGATCGGGCGCTGCGGGTCTGCTTGCTCGATAACCTCCCAGTGATGATCGACAACCTACCTCAAAAGATCGTCAATGACAAGATCTTCCCTCAGATTGTTAGTTACAACAGACCCCGGCTGGGCTCGATGCTAATTCCACGTTCTACAGACCTCTGGCTTCACCGATGCCGCACCCGTCGTCCGAGAGCAGACTGTCAAGGCTGTTTTGCCAATTATCAACAAGCTCAGCGACCGTGTCATCAACGGCGATCTGCTCAAGTTCCTCGCACGTACCGCCAACGATGAGCAGCCGGGAATTCGTACAAATACCACTATCTGCTTGGGCAAGATAGCGAAAAACCTCGGGCAGAGCGTGAGTGGTTTCAATTGAGAAGTAAAATTGGCAATACTGACAAATTACAGTCGAGATCCAAGGTTCTTATTGCGGCTTTCAGCAGGTCTCTTCGGGATCCCTTCGTCCACGCCCGGAGCGCTGGTCTGCTTGCTCTTGGAGCAACGTTAGAGTTCTTCACCGAGGAGGACTGTGCGACGAAGGTCCTTCCGGCTATTTGCCCTTCCCTTCTTGATAAGGAAAAGTAAGAACACCCACTTTTGCTTGTGGCTCCGGTCTAATTCTCCATATAGGATGGTCAGAGACCAGGCGAATAAGACACTCGACCTGTATCTTCAGCGTATCCGGAAGTACGGCAGCACTATGGCAGACACGGTAATTCCTCCGGCAGCCAGTGCAGATCCGGCAAAGGATACAGCCCGTATTGGCACGTCTAACGATAAGTCGTGGGCCGGATGGGCAATCTCCTCGTTCACAAATAAGCTCACGGCTGCCAATGGCGAAATTCAGCCCACCGCCAACGGTGCCAAGCCGGTCGAGCCTGAACCAGCTCGTCCAGCGTCTGTTCCCCGCCCAACGAGGGCGTCGTCGTCGGTGCAGAAAGAGACGCTACGGCCTGCAGCTCAGTCTCTGAACCGGTCCATGTCGGAGCAACCACCGACTTTGGCTAAAGCAGAGGACGATGCAGAAGATGTTTACGACGCATGGGGTGCAATGGACGATGATGAAGACGAGCAGCAAGCGGACGAGGATCCATTCAGTGCGACAGCAACTAGCAGTCCGACCGTTTCTGCTCCTGCTCCTGCTCCTGCTCCTAAAACAGCCCCGGTCCCGTACGATGATGGCGGCGAGCCAGACTTTGCGGGTTGGCTGGCCGCCCAGTCCAAGACAAAGAAGCCATTGCCAAAGGGGTTGAATAAATCCAGTCCCACCTCTGTATCTCGGCCATCGAGCCGCAGTAGCACGGTTAAGCCCAGGACCGTTGTCGCACCAGCGAAGAAGATCGATACAACACCTAAGGACACTGAGGAGGACGACGGTTGGGGTGATGCTTGGGATTAGCAGTATAAATTCTTAATACCCGATTCTTTATGTTCATCAGGGTACATATTCCCTTGCGCTATATTGTGATTATATCTCTCATCTTGCGACATATCCAAGGCATGAAGGCAGGGGAGTTTGGGCGCCATGCAGTATATAGTCTGGTTAATTATTCTTGTTTGTTTGTTTGTTGCTGCTGCTGCTGCTGCTGCTGCATGAGTTGCGATAGGATAGAATCAATTAGTGCAGACATGGTTACATACAACTTGAGTGAAGGTTAATTATCTGGGGCAGCCCACTAGAAGTAAATATGAAACGCCGGGTAGCGGTAGGGGGGCAACACCGTTAGATAAATCGATAGTTGAGTGGAGGAGAGATAAAATACTACTAGTCAGTCTGGCTTGAGGATCGACTCGATAAGGCGGAGGGGCGGCGCCAATCAAGCGCCGGCTGCCCCGTGATCACATCCGCCGCTGATCCTCCGCCGCCCGAGACAGTTCCAAGTCATCTTGTCTCTCCCTCCACCTGCCAACCATCCCGTTCTCTGCCTTGGGGGATCTCTTGTCATCTTACTCCAGGGTAGGACTTGACTCTCCTACTTCTGCCGTGCGGTTTGCTCCCTCGCGTGCACAGTGCCAGGTCTGATTATCCTGCTCAGAATCTAGATAATCCTGCTGCCTTCCAGCGTCTCCGTGCCTGAGTGTGTCCGGGAAGGCTGGTGGGTGTTGCATATCTCCTCATGCGCGATGGGTGACGGGTTACGAACTTGAAGGTTAACTCGGTCCGTGATATCTATTCCGCACATCTACAGCATTATTCGTCCTCGCTACAATGGAATCCGACGAAGCTCCTCCTCCGCCATACTCTGCGGTCGACCCGTTACTCGCACAAGCAAACAGCCGAAATGCCGCTGCAACTGCGGAAGTGAATCGTGTCCTGCTACGTCTGCGTGGGGGGGAGACAGCCCCCGGCACCACGCCCTCGAGTCCTGCGTCCAGCTCCGCCAGTCATGATCTTCTAGCATCCTCCTCCAGCCTGCCTACCCACTTCACATCTGCCGCGGAATACTTTGTGGAGCGACCGCCTCCGACTTCGAGCCGTCAGGGGGACATTGTGGAACATTGTGTAACGATCTTTCCGCGCAGTCAATCAAAGGACATCCGACGTCGTCCTCGTTGTTGGACCGCGCAGAAGACGGAAGACATCACCCAGCAGGACTGGGACGTTTTTCTGAGATACTTGTTTCCTCCACATTTGGGTCTAGCGTCTACTTCGGCACAATTGCCCCGTCAAGTGAGAGCGGAGATTCAGCGTGACCGCAAGGATCGGCCCCAGGAAACGGATGAGGAACGCAAGAGACGGATTGCTGCCGTGATCATGGAGTGGAACCAATACTTCTTCGAACCCCGCTCGGCTCGTGTCATATATGTCTACGTGATGGATCCTCAGAGTGCGCCGCGATCATCTTTGTGTCCTAAGTGCTGGCCTGCTGCGACAACACGAGAGAATCGAGTCGCCCAGGCATCCGACGCTGGTCGAGATCGCTTGCAACAGTCGCCTGCGACACCTACAGCTGCTGAGCAGCCTGGTGCGTCTCCAGTCAATGCTGTTTATGCGCCAGGACCATATGCCTACCCACATTACCCTGCCCCTCCTACCCCTTACGCACCTTATGGGCATCCTGCGCCATACAGCCCTACTGTGTATCCGCCTCATCCCGCATATCATTACCCTCCTCCACCGCCGCCGCCGCCGCCGCCAGGACACTACCCCCCTCAACCTCCTTGGGGCTGGAATGCTCCTCCATATGGGGCCCCGTACCAGGACCCAAGCATGTCGAAGGGAGGAGGGCCCTTGGATTGGATAGCGTCCTTGGCCTCACAGGCTCAAAAGTATGGAGAGCGCTTCACGGAGCAAGCACAACATTATGGAAGACAGGTGGAGGAACAGGCTCTTGCTCACACTCGCTGGATCGAGGAGCAGGCCGGACTCCAGGGACGAAAGGTGGAAGATGCCTTTACAGGCTTTGTCAGTCCGTCTCGCGATGATTGGATTGCGAACCAACCCCCTAAGCCTGGGTACGTGCAAAATAACATTACACATACACCTGCGGCCACGACCACGACTACAACAGCTACGCCTCAACGTGCTACCCCAGCCCAGCCTGAACGGACTCGCCGGGTTTCAATCGACTCGGAGGCATCCGACCTGTCTTTCTCTTCCATCGATTCCTTGTCGACAACGTCCGAGCTCAGCGCCTCTGATCTGGCCACTGTCCGCGCACAGCTTCTGTCTCTTAACGACCATCATGACCGTGAGCTGTACGAAGCCGCCGTGGGCCTGCGCCGTCAGCTTGACGTTTTACAGCAATCGCGACGCCAGAACCGCACATCTGGACGAAGCGGCTGGCGCCACGGCTGGAGACGATGGGACTCGCCAAGCGAGCAGCACCAGAAGCAGTCAGACAAGCGAGCGGTCAAAGAAGAGACCCGAGCTACGCGGAAAGCATTCCGGGATGTCTTGCGTCGGGCGCGAGAAGAACAACGCGAGAAGCGGCGGCTCAAGCGCACCCGCCGGCGTCAGGAGCAGCGGGTTCGTGAGATGCAGAGGGACGGTGGTGAGATGCCACTCGAGCAGCACATGCAGCGGTTGGAGCTTGACACTAATCGCGAGAGCCGCTCAACAGTGCAGTCTTTCACGTCCATTCCATCCCCGGCGCGGTCCTTGGCCGAATCGGATAGTGATATCAGCTCCATCAGCACGCCGAGCACATCAAGTAACGAGAAGATGCCGGTCAAGGGGAAGAGCGAGAAGTCGGCACTCGAAAAGAAGCCGAACAAAGAAGCAGAGAATTCATGTGAAAAAGACAACAAGGGCTCCGGTCAATATAATCGGGGGGCGTCACGGCGCAATTAGTGGGCCATAGCCAGGACAAATCATTATTTGGAAGTTTTATGGAACGATGCATGATCATAGCGGTGTTTATATTCATGGAAGAGACTGGAATTGGGATTCTCTTGTGTATTTATTACTTTCTTTTTTTATTTTCCCCTACATCATACCGGCGTCAACCCGTGGTAATTAGCATGCTTGTTCAACACGAAATCTAGAGCCATGCACCAACCAATCCCATAACCAATACCAGGATCTACCAAAAACCGTCGTATAATATCTATTTTATACAAGAAAGGCAACCCCACTCTTTTTTCCCCGATACCTAGAATTAAGCAAGAGCAATTACTGAGAAGAACCCTGCGCCTCATTCTTCTCAACCAAATCCCCCACTCCCAACCCACGCCCAACCTTCACCTTAACCATCTTCTCACTACTCTCCTTCTCCTCCTTCTTCCCCAAATCACCCACCTCGTCTCCCTCGTCCGCATCCTTCTCATCTTTCTCCGCCCGCTCGCGATCCTTCCGCTCAATCTCCGCCCAATCGATAAACATCCCCGACAGATCCATGCGCATCGCGTACGCATCCTCCCCATCCGCATAGTACTTGCTCTCGACACTGTCGACCTGGAATCCCAGCGTATCGCGGTAAAGATGCAGTGCCGCCTTGTTGGATACGCGCACGTGCAGGGACACGTATTGTGCGCGGTGGCATTCGGCCATTGCGCGTTCTACAACACATCCCCAGGATAAAATTAGCATGCGACTCTCTCTCTCCCACAAAACAAACAAACATAAACCACCCATCCACAGAAGGAAAAATGGAAGGTATATTAAAATAAAATGGGAAAGAATGAACATACGAGACATCCTCATCAACCTCTCCGCAATACCCAACCGTCTATGCGTCCTCATCACAGAAATACTCGTGATATGACCATGCGGCACCCCATCCGTCGGCTCCTCCTCCATCTTCGCCAACACGTACCCCACTACCTTGGGGTATTGTTCTGCGGCGCTGCCGGCGCCCTTTTCCGAGGTATACTTGCTGTAGCCGTTCTTGGGCCGCACCACGGCCACGAAGGATAGTTGGGGCCAGGTCAGAGCATGGTACAGGTAGTATTTTAGGAAGTAGTTCTCGGGCAGGTTCGTGATGTTGCAGGTTTGGATCGATGGGAGGAGGTCGATGTAGGAGGGGTAGCTGCTGAGGGGGAGGATGTCGACCATTTTGGTGAGTTTCCCGGAGGAGGGGGGGAGGGATTGGTTGGTGGGGTGTGTAGGGAGAGCGGGCGATGAAGGAAATGAGGGATTGGGGTAGGTAATTGGACCCCGAGTGTGGTTGAAATCAGTAGCTTGTTGTAGTTGTCTACTGTGTAAAGTGTGGTGATGATATTGAGGGCGGAGTTGGTTGGTGGTGGTGGTGGTCAGCTGAGTGGGCGCTAGCTGGTTTGGGTTAGGGGCATCGGAGTACTACTTTGTCGACGGAGTATATCATGGTTGACTTCCGAGGATGGCTACCAGCTACGCAGGGTCAGAGAAATCTGTTTATGACTTTAGTAAGGAATTGGGTTCCCTTTCTAACTGTACAGTCGTCAATCATAATATAAGTTAGTCCATCAACTCCGAACACCCACTATATACGCTCGGAACAACACTAGAATATCGATGCCATATACTGCACACCCGCAATCAGGAGCAGCGTACTCATCACACTCACTCCAGGCATCACGCTCGACGCTGCAGATGCTGCGCCGCAGCATTTCCCATCCCAAGTCACGTTGTTCATTTCCGCCGCCACCTCGAACACGGAGCCGTTGATGTTGCCGTAATTATAGTAATCCACGAGGAGGAAGTTAGGCGGCCGGTCCCACATAGCTAAGAGGCAAATATATTAGCTTGTTACACAGACCACTGTCAGCTGTTACTTACCCGTGCAGTTGCGGGCCATCTTTCCCAGACTACCGTAGCCAGAGACCGCGTTGGTCTGGTTGAGCGAGGCCGTGTTGGGGATCAGCAGACTAATGCTGGCAATGTTGATGTCGAGATTCAGGTTGTGGTTGGCCATGTACATCCGGTCTTTGGCGTCCTGCGCGGACAAGTCGGGCGGGCGCTGCTCCGTGCAAGGGAAAGCCGCATCTGTAGGCGAAAACGGCGTCTCCCACATCTGCGAAAACTCGTCCATGAGCCACGGGTAGGCCGTCTGATTGGCCTGGTAGTCCATGAAGACGACGGCTCGCTTGCCAGAGAGAATCATACTGGACATCGTAGGCCAATCGTCCAGCGCCATGGGGATCTTCGAGGGGGTGAACACATAGTCCATGAGCCCAGAGTTTTGCATCGGACCCGTGAAGTTGCCGGGGTCAACATAGTCATAATTGCCTATCAAGATGGTGACCACGTCATATGGATGGGTTTTGACCCACTTCGTGACCGTCGTCAGATAGTCTTCCAGAGGGCCCATGTTCAGAAGATCGCAGCTGGTGTGACAGAGGTAGAGGGTGTTGTTGACCAGGTGCGTTTGAAATTGCACTGTCCGGGGTGTCAGCAAGATTTCAACCCGCGAGCTAAGCTTCGTCGATCGGACAACTTACGCATCCGAATTCCATCGTCCAGCTGAGCGGTAACCTTCAACGCCTGGTTGGCTGCCGCATTGCCTGGCTTGACAAACGGACTGTTGTGGGCAGCAACCATGGTGATGTTGGAATACTTGCGAGCGCAAAACTCCGCGTGGCCATTGCAAGGCTGTGTGTTGACGACCGGGGTCGACGATGCGGTCGACGTCGCTGTTGTGGTAGCGTTGGTGCCATTGACCCCGCCGGTCTGTCCGCCCACCAGCAATGTGAGGGACTGCGACGAAGAAGTCACCGTCGTGGTGAAATTACCGGATGTTGTTGTAGAGTTGGAAGTGGTTGTCGCGGAGTGCGCCCCGGTGCTCGTGACAGTATGTCCATCGTCGAGAGTCATAGTGGTAGTGTAGGAGAGGTAGTGACCTGTGGGCAGCGTCGCTTCACTGATGGACGACGTGACGGTCCCCTCGAGAGTCAGGCCGCCATTGTTGCCGGTAGTCGTGGTGGTGGTGGTGCTATCATCCTTTGCCAGAGAAGGCCAAACGCCCACTGCCAGGAGCGGCAGAAGGTGAGCGATCAACCGCATGACAAGAGGTGGTCTGGAGTCAAGAGGCCGGTCTGCGGAGGCTCGGAAGTTTTGGATATATATACAGCGGTGTATCTGTCCGAGGAGGACCACACGATGCGATCAGATGCACCAGATAAGCCACCAGATGGATCAAGACCCTGAAGAAACAGAAAAATCACCGGGCGCGGAATGATGTCTTACGATGAAGTCAACCATGGATGCTGGGCTGGTAAGGTATTTTTAGGTAGGTAAGGTAGGTAAGGTATTGTTACCACGCAGGGTTTCCCGCCTTCAGGGTACTGGCTTTACTTTAGGGGGGGCCGATCCCGGCAGCCATTGGTTGCCAACCCCCCCTGACTGTCCGCCCCGCTGTCCCGGAGAGGAAAGCTCGAAGCTGGCCAGCAGCCGATCTTAGCCTGGATTTCACTGGCAGATCGCCCGCATGGAAAATCCTCTCAATCCTTCCGGCCAATCGTATTGTCTCCTCAGCCCAGGCAGCCAGAATTGAAAAAGACACCAAGAGTGGGGCTCACCTGTCGATGACGTTGTTTGAGCCAGTCTTGGCCAAACAGTCACAGACAGAAACAGAGTTGGTTGTGCCGAAACGCCAGAATAGGCAGTGACTTTTAATTCCAGGCCCTATGAGGGTCATTGCTAGTGGCTCTTGGCGAGTGGCTCCTGAATGTCGTGAGGATTGCCAGATCAGCCACGATCCACACTGCATTGGGTAATCGGAAAAGCCATCAGCGGCTAACTCATGCCTATCATCACTGTATTCCAGCCCATCACCAGCCACGAACTGGGGAGGTTTGGCGTTAGTCAACGGCCTTAACACAGTAAGAGGCTAAGAGCCCCTCGATCAACGGGGGGGTATTGCTGCACTTGCTTCAGAAGCAAGAATTACATAGTAATCTGCTCACGATCGGCCTTCTCCACCACATTGCCCACAGTCAGATTGCCGCCCAAGAGGGAAAAAGAGGCAGGACAAGGAAAAGTTCCTGCCACCATCGCAAAAATGTTCCCATCAGGGTCTAGACCAGTGGCGCTGCTAAGAATACCTGCTGCGGCCCTAAGACTGAGACTTTCTCCCTGAGTAAGATTATTGAAGCCGCCAGCGTTACGGCTCGTGTGAAATTCTCATTGTTGTTTTTATTTATATTTATATTTTTATTGTTATTATTCTTTTAGTTTGAATTTTTAAACCTCTTACTTATAATTCAATTCCACATTTCCTCCTTCTGGTTGGCTGCCAAGGCGTCTAACTTTTTTCAACCTTAAAGCCCAATTTAATTCCCACGGCGGATCAGATCAGTCGGTAATATTCAGTCACCCATCCTGTGTACGGTGTATACGTTGCCCTCGCCATCCACTTTGCTTGCCCTTTCCCTACTATCCTTTTCCTCCCATTCCCGCCATCTCTTCCTGTTCCTCGCTCCCCTTTTTTTCTTTCTTCCTACTTTACGGTTCTCTTCTCCTGGATGTATCCCCGACTTCCTCTCCTGATCCCGTCAACCTAATCCCGTGGTTGCCGGTGTTTCCCTCCCCACTGGTCCCTTTCTCTCTTTCCCCCATCAGAATCCTGGCACGTGGTTCACGGGGGACGTAAACGTCATCCAGTCGATGTCTTCCCAGATCTCTTCTATACTATTAGAACTTAACTAGGCGCCCTGCTCTTGTCCTGAGCTGGGTCTTTTCTCCATCCTTCGCTACCCATTCTCTCCTCTACCCTCTTCGTCTATTCTCCGAATCTATTATCCGCAGATTCCGGGCTTGTCCTCTCCACCACCACGTGCTTGACAGCGGTCCATGGCAAAGCTGCCCCTGTTCAGGAAAGCTCCTGCACGTCCGCAGGCCGGCCGGAGCAGGTCGAAGGTGCTCTGGCATCGCATCCTTCGTTCCTTCTGCTATCTAATCGCTTGGATATTCCTGATCTTGGTCTGCATTGGCAATGTCGCCGATAAGCCCGTTCTCCGCCAGACCTACTTCCTCGAGATCAACCTTGCGAATATCATCCCACTGTCCACCCCCAATGCGGTCCTGATCGATACCATTGCTCGCACCATCGGTCTACACGACTTTTACCAGGTGGGACTATGGAATTTCTGCGAGGGTTATTTGGACCAGGGCATCACCCATTGCTCCTCGCCCAAACCCCTCTACTGGTTCAATCCCGTCGAGATCATTCTCAGTGAACTGCTATCCGGCGCTACGAGTACGATCCTCCTTCTACCGTGAAAACGAACCCATCACTAACAAACCTGCAGTTGCTCTTCCTGCCGACATCACGTCAGCTCTGCACATCGCTCGCATAGCTTCTCACTGGATGTTTGGTCTCTTCATCACCGCCACCGTCCTAACCTTCATTCTCATCTTTCTATCCCCACTCGCTGTCTCTTCACGGCCTCCTCAGGCCCTTTCCTCCGACCCAGTCGTCAATCAAACCCACCCACAACATCGCCGTCGTACTTTTGTGCTTCTCCGTTCTCTTCCATTCCTCATCCTAACCTTCCTGACCGCTCTCTTCACCGTTGTCGCCTCCGTCGTCGCAACAGTCATGTTCATCATCTTCCGCAACGTCTTCACCTCCGCCAGCGAAGACCTCAACATTGACGCCTGGATCGGCACTCGCATGATGGTGTTCATGTGGATTGCCTCCGCCTTTAACCTGATTGCCTTTATCCTCCAACTCGGCTCCTGCTGTGCCTCCTGCTGTGGTGGCCGCAAAGCCCGCAAGCAGCTCAAGCGGAATAGTGCCGGTACTACGAGCCCTAGCAGCACTGCTTCCCCTGATGTGCGTGAGAAAGAGCATCCACACAGTCCCGCGACTACGGAGTGAGCTGTTCTCTTCCTTTTCCAGACCACATATGCTCTCTCACATTGTGATCTCCTCCCTCCTCTTATATCAATACCCCGCGGTTCATAAATCGAATGAGGAAAATCGCCTGTACGACGATGATAAATAGAACATACAAGGTGTGAGCATTGCAGGGGCCCGCCAATATATACTGATCTGGATATGTATACTGTACGTCTTTCTTGTTTGGCCATTCTGGTTCGGGTTATGCTGTATAGAACGCGATGGATATAGACTGGGGCATATTCAACTTAGACGGGATTCGGTTTTGGGTCTGAGTTGAGCTTGTGGCTGCCTTGCTTCCACTGATACATTGGGAGGGCGCTCTACACATGCCGCCCAGCTTGCATAGGTTACGATCTTTACGACTCTATTATGATATTACGAGCGTGCGTATTTCAAGAAGTTCATTCCAAAGAAGAGGAGGTTATATCCCAGATGAGAATTGTGTTTCATGTTCAACGAGATACTAAGTGAGACTGCCTTGGTACCGTAGGACTGTAGTGTCGTAATTCGATGACTTTAGAAAGGGTACTGATCGCCATGATATAATCATTATCAGGCCACGTCAACAGTACTCAGCCCTGTTACCTACAACTGACGTGGAAATCCAATTCACCGCTGGATCAGAAAATCCCCCACTAAGGTGGGCCCTAGATAAGTGGGGTGTGGGTTCGAATACTAAGCATGCAAGTAAGACTAGAAGCAGCTGCACTAGAAGGGCAGCGATAGCTAGGCCAACTTGGACAATGATGGTCACCTCTGATACTGCCACTATAAGATATCAGTGGCAAGGAGTGCACATTTTCCCTTACGTGCCATTTTTCGGACATTATGTCTTTAATAGGGAAAAGAAAATCAAGAATGCTCTATTGTCATGAGTTACAGCTCTAGTCAAACGTAGCTATCAGCACCTCGAAAGCATCCTGTCATTGTCTTCTATAAACACATAGAATAAACACCGCAATATAACCCCCGTTCTTGTTATCACCTAGCTCAATGTTTGAACCATTGGATCAAACGAAAGGTTTATAGGTTCGACTAGGGAAGGATGTTGCCAAATGGAGCTAATCGAGGCGAATGTCCGCTATTCCAACTCCATGTAAGTACAATACAAAGTAGATGGTTATCCCTAGCTGTTTTCGGACTAGTCCTATAAACTTTAGCAGGACTATAACTGGCTATTCACCCTTGGTGCAGAACTAGGATATCATCAATGAATGGCCTTAGAAGTATGTAGTTTTAGAGGTGGTCTTGGGGTGAGTCTAGGACATGGGCCTTGAGGATGGTCTTATGATATAAGGAGTATACTGTCAAGCGGTCACATGGCAAAGACAGCCAGCCAGCCAGCCATATGTATATTCCCTACTAGTAGGTACTAGGTACAACCTATAACTTAATAAGTATTGAGTCCTTGGGTTACGTGTCTACTAAAGACCAATCTATACGCCATACCCACATCGGCCATCTGATTACTGTATATGAACTATGCTATTGCGTGCGGCTTTCAATTTTGGCTCCTTTGGGTTGTGTCAATGCATCAACATATCACCAGCCTGCGTATTACTACTTCCAATGATTATTTATATATCTTGGGCGGAGCAATACCCTACTATCCTAATGCAACGCCAGACGCGTGCCACCCTATACTTAGTACAGGAAGTACTCCATAATAATTAGTGATACTACAATCTAGTTAAAAGACGTCAACCAACAAGAAATATGAATGTAAATAATACCTCCCAACCAAAAATCACTCATTTACGGCTGCTCTGCGCGCAAACCCAGATCTTCATGGTCAAGGAACAACCAGTATATTCGCTGGAGCAGAAAGAAAGAAAAAGCCCCTGGTTGGGGTCATCCATTTACCTTAAAATGACCTTGTAGAAGTCTTATCCGCTACTGATTGCGGCACAAGGGCTTCCTTTGATGAATGTCAGCCCTACTTTTATGTATTTTAGCTCGCATTCGTTGTAATCAGTGCCAGAGATTGGAATAGAGAAGCATGTGAGAGAAGTCCCTCATGTGAAGAAAGACCTAAAATAGATGTAAAACAATTGAGATGTTCTAGTGAAGGGAAAATAAGATATATCATTGAAAGTCCATGGCGGAGATACCCACACTTTGAGATTAACTATTTGATTGTTAGTAGACTGTTTGAAAGTTGCATTCTGTTTATTCAGGAATACTGATTGCGCCACAAGGGCCGACCTATCAGGTAGATACGACATGAGCATAATTTCTTTGCAAGGCTGGCCTGCCTCTTTCTCGACAGTTATCCATCGCATCTACTCTCCGCTTCTTTAATATGACTTTACTGTGAACCTATTTTGCTTGATTGCAGACTCTTGAAGTAAAATACAGCTCTAAGAGCGAGAGAGCCGCACAGCACAGCCTCTTATTATTTGGGTATTGATCATTTAGAAACATTCTTCGGGCTATCCCCAACCCGGGCTATAAATACATCACAATCACCCGGTTTGGACGTGGCAATCGGCGAAGCTAACTCTTGCTCCATCATTCGTGCCAAGTCATCATCGTTGTCCTCCACCCGATCGTCTGACGCAATCTCGCAGGGGTCCCTTGCTGGTACGTGGCCGTCCCGGCACCGCTCGGAGTCGTGAGGCCCACCCGCGGGTTTTAGAGAACCTTGTCGAGGTGCTGGGGTTACACTGAAGCGGAAGTTCTGATTGCCGACATCCCCGTCTGCATCCCCAAGCCAACTGTATTTCTTGTTCCGCAGTGACTGGAGCATCTCCACGCGTCGTTGAGATTCCTCCTGTTCTTCTGGGGTGGGATTCGCTGCTGATCCGTCATCGCCCGTTTCTTCGGTCAGGTCGATTGTGATTGGCTCCCCAGCAGATGCATTTGGTGTAGAAGCCATGGATTGTGGCTGTGAGGTCGATGGTTGTAGAGAGGTCGCGTTTGAGCTAGCATGGCGTGCCCGGGGAGGCTTGTATCCAGTCGGTATCGGAGCAACTGCGGGCATTTGCTTCTGAACTTGAATCTCATATAGCAGATTGTTATAGACCGTGCCAAGATCATGAAGCTTATTCTTCCACTCGATAGCCTCTTGCTTGTACTGCTCAACTCTTTGTTGATGTCGGGAGCACACACGTCGCAGCATGGCATTCTGCTCAAGTAATGTCTGTTGTCTTGTTTTACCCGTCGCCGGATCCATGGCCGTCAGGTCCGACGCCAGTGCCCACTCCTGTTTGTACTTGTTGCGTTCCAGCGTCAGCTGCTGTACCTTATTCCGCAGAGTCGCAAGGCGCAAGTTTGTCCGATCATCCGACACTTCGATGCACCTGACATGGATATTCGGAGCTGACGGCATATATCCCAATGGGCCCCCATAAACCGGATACGGCGAGACATACTCTGGCTCGGCAAACACTCGCTGCAGAGCTTCGCGATTTGTGCTGTCGACGATTTCTTGGTGATCAAGAGAGAACCGTTCCTTGGTAATCTCGCTGACGGAGGGTAGATCGAAGGGCTGGTCAAACACACTGCAATTCGCTGCCATGTCCTCCTTGCCTCCATCTCCATTACCCACGCCCTGGAAGTCAAAACCAAAAGAAACCTCGCCATCAGGGATGTTCAACGAGATATCGCCCGGAGGGTCTTCAAACAGAAGGTCTATAGGGTCGAAGACGGCATCGGACTGTTGTTTCTCAACATCGCTTGGCGTATGAGGGCCCGTGCCTCCTTGTTCAGGTTGTCCAGAATCTAGGGATAATAACGAGGGTGTTTTATCCGGAGACTCTGTGGTCAAATCTTGCGACATCTCTGTGGCTTGCCTTTTTCTAGGCTGGTCCCAGGAGATACATTCTTCAGAAAACGCCTCGTCGCCATCTCGCTTCCGGGGCTGCAAGACCGCATCAATCTCCTGCAGGACAAGTTCGGAATCGAAGAGGGGGTCGTACAAATCTTCCACGGCGTTATTGGAATCGTCAAATGCTGAGAAATCGATTTCTAACTGTGGAGAACGGGTCGCGATATCTGCCCACGGCTGTCGGGACTCGGCTACCTCTGAGCCGGCCGGGGGTTGTTTTTCTGAGGATGCACCCTCGGCTTCCACCTTTTCCCCGTCACTGTGATCTCTTCCTGTATTTCCAAGCTGTCGTGTGCAGTGTCGCGCATCGGTTGTTGGGTTTTCTGACGTCGAGTTCACATCTCTGGTCGGCAAAATCCGTTTGTCATGTTGGGAGGACTTGGTGGAGAGCTGCAGCTGGGACCCAGGGGGAGGTGTAAGCCCCAGATCATTCACGTGCAGATGAGGTAGTGATGGGGGAGATGGAAGGCCCTCAAGATCATGAAGACCATGGGGGTCTGGAGGACAGGTCTGGAAAGAGGTAGAAATACCTTCAGCCATGCTTCCATTCATCCCAGCGAAAAATTCAGGCCCAATTCGGAGACGGCCAAAATGAATGTGTACCCTGCTATGCCGTTCGATATTTCCGAGAGGGAGCGGCGATGGCACTTAGGAGGTGAAGGAGCGCTCCATCTACTCATTACCCAGCTCTGCAGACGGTAAGAATGAGGATATCCCTCGCTTCGAGACTGTGAAGCGTACCTCTTGAGAGCAAGTGTTCAGATCTCAAAACGACTGTGATTTGAGACTTGTCCCGCGGGGAATATGGACGCCAGGCAGGTAAAAGGAAGAGCCAGCAGGTGCCTCAGGTGAATGGCCTGTCAGCAGGCTCAGGCTAGCCACTGGATACGCGCCCTATTGCATAATCCGGTTTAAGTGCAACAAAATGTACAGTTTGGCCAATCCTGTGAGAGAACGAGATGCCACACGTGTCCAGCGTGCTCGATATAATCCCCTAACGAGTGAGAATGATCAGAAAAGGCCAGGTCAGGTCAGCCACGCAGAAGTAAAGAAGCAAAGAAGTACATCGCAGTAGAAAAGATTCCCATTCCGTCCAAATTTAATCCGAGATGATGCTCGCCGCCCTTGACACCGCCCTGTGCACCGCTCACGTGCCCCACATAGTGTCCGCCGCCAAGCTGGGCGGCCGTGGCTTTAAGGCCGGCAGGAAGCTGACCGGCACCGCATCTTCTTTACTTTAGTAACTGGCGACTCCCCCAGTTCCCCGTCCCTCCTCGCCTCTTCAGCGTCCTTGCTTCTGGGCTCGTCTACAACCTTCAACATGAGCGTTATACTTTGCACTGGTATGCAATTCCCTCGGCGCTAGCTGGTCTCTAACATCTTCTGTCTGTCCCAGTGGGAATTGACTGACCAATGTTCTATAACTCGTGATGTCCAGCGGGCTACGACCACACCATTCGGTATGTCAGACTGTGTTACTTGCGCCCCGAAAAGTAGACGTCGCTAACTTGGCCCAGGTTTTGGGAGGCCTTGTCGGGAATTTGCTCGCGCACTATACAGCATCCCGATTCCCAAGTTAATCGATTATGCATCACCCCCGACAAACGGTACTTGGCAGCCGCCGGTCACAACAATGTCAAGCTGTATGACATCAAATCTACCAATCCCAATCCAGTCATGACCTTCGACGGCCATACAAACAACATCACTGGCGTCGCGTTTCACTGCGAGGGGAAGTGGATGGTTACCAGCTCGGAGGATGGTACGGTTAAAGTCTGGGATACCCGTACAGGCAGCCTGCAGCGCAATTACGCGCATAAAGCTCCAGTCAACGATGTTGTAATCCACCCCAACCAAGGCGAACTTATTAGTGGGGATCGCGCTGGTATCGTCCGGGTTTGGGACCTGGGTGAAAGCGTCTGCACCCACCAGCTAATTCCCGAGGACGACGTTGCGGTTCACAGTGTTAGTGTCGCAAGCGATGGGTCTTTGCTTTGCGCTGGAAACAAGAAGGTAGAAAGGATGATTATTCTTTACTCGTCTTCAGCGCTGACTTTGAGCGACCGATTTATAGGGTAATGTCTACATCTGGCGCATGATTCAAGACGCCGAAATAACGCGCATCGTTCCGATATGTACCTTCCAGGCGCACAAGGACTACCTCACCCGCGTTCTTCTCTCCCCAGATGTCAAGCATCTCGCGACGTGCTCTGCCGACCACACGGCCAAAGTATGGAACCTTGATCTTGATTACCCGCCGGCCAAGATTGCCGCCGCCAACGCCGCCAAAGCTAAGGCCAGAGCCATTTCTTCGCCCGAATCGAATGACACCCCTTCTTCCCCAGAATCGACGCAACACGTGAACAACGCATCTCCCAACGGCACCGACTTTGAAGCCAACCCATTCAGTCTCTTCCAAGCAGCGACACCTCCTGTCAATAACGAACCGCAGCAGACCTTCCCTGTACAACCGGACGGACCCCCCATGGACTCCGCAACAGGGACACTCTTCCTAGAGACCACGCTTGCCAATCACCAACGGTGGGTCTGGGATTGCGCTTTCTCCGCCGACTCTGCGTATCTCGTCACAGTATCCAGCGACCACTACGCCCGCTTATGGGAGCTGGCTTCGGGCCAGATCATCCGTCAATACAGTGGCCATCACCGCGGGGCGGTATGCGTAGCGCTGAACGATTATTCCGAGCCGCGTTGAGTGTTGTGTCTTCCATCATAAAGCTGCCTGGCGGCAGATGTATGCGTCTTTAACCTTTCTTTTTTCCTTCCCTTTCTTCTAATGTTCTTGTCTAAGTATGGTTCAGGGCTAATGGTCAGCATGGTGCCTGGTTTGGGGCTGGAGGCACGAAGGCGAGTCGCCTTCTGCATTGGAGTTCAGGTTTTGCTTGATTCCCAGTGATGCGTCATTGGATGTTAGCGAGTTATGCTGGTTTGATATCCGTATATGCATGAGTTTATTGTATTGGCCGGTTTCATGGCTGTAATTATTCCCAACGTAGCCATTGATAACCATTCATTCCCTACTTATGATACCATACCGCAGGAAAATAAACCAAAAGATCAACCCAATGACGGATTCCACCCATACCATACACACATCATGACACCAGAGCTACTACACATAAGATAAAAGCAAGAAAAAGCCGAAACAAAAAGCCGCCCATCAAATCGTATCATCAACAAATCGGGGCCCTCCCTCATAAACCAACCACACATAAACACAAATTAACGAAAATACTTCAAGAAGCTCCCTTCATTCATTACTCTATATAGAAAAGAAAGATTCCCCCAAATCAACCATCCCCACCAAAAAAACAGAGAAAACAACCCACCTAACCCAGCGCAAACCACGTCACACTAACAACAACATCCAGACCCCGTTCCTCAGCACCCGGATACTTGAACGTCCACATACCATCGCGGTTCACATCCCAGAAAGCACCAGACGCAGAGTGCATCCCGCGCTTGCCGGTGTTGCTGGTCGCGCCGTCAGCGGCAGCGGACTTGTCGATGAGGCCTTGTTGCACGATGGTGCTGTTCACGGTGAAGCGGTAAGGAGGGGCAGTCGAGGGGGTGGAGGGGGCGGTGGCGGTGATGAGGGCTTTCAGGATAGTGTTCTGTTGGATTTGATTTAGTGGTTAGCTTGATCAAGGAGGGGTTGTTGTTGTGGGGTAGATACAATAATTTGGGAGTTCCAGTCGCCGACTTTGGTGTGTTCGTATTCGGTCACTTCTTTGAGGGCAGTGTCGCAGGCCTATATTGGGGTGAGGGGTCGGTGGTTAGCTGGGGTAAAGAAGGTGTAGTTGTACTTTGTCGGTGGAAGTGAGGGTATGAGTGAACGCACCTCGGTGGCGATCTTGGTCAATTCGGGGATCGGAACGGGCTATGCGAGTCGAAAAGTAAGTATATTGTCACGAGTAGTCCGTCTGGATAGGTACGCGAGAGGAGTCGGATGACGTTCGGATTGCGGGCTATCCAGGTACGATCATTGCACGGGGATGGTGGTGACACACCGAAGAGGGGGTAGCAGCGTCGACAGCCATTGTGAATGAAAGGGTTGGGTAATTTTTTCAGAAGGTGTTTTGTGTGAGACTTGGAGGCTAACGGTTAGTGATATTCGCGCGTGTGTCTGGCTGTAGATAGGGGATGTTCGTCGGGGGGAGAGTTGATAACCATGGGTTGCTGGAGATGCGATTGTGGGGGAAGGACAGGCAATGCGGCTCCGGGGCCGGCGAACCAAGCAACGCGGGCTGATGGAATTAGCGGATAAGATGGTCACTCACTCAATGCAAGGTGCTATGCTATGCTGGTATGCGCGGAAGTGTCAAGGAGAGTGCGACAGCAGCGAGAGAACAGCTAGCGGGCATGTGCTGAAGAATGAATGTTTGGGGGCTCGCCGTCGACTGGCATCATGGCTGTCGCTTTGCGCTTCATGATTGGACAGGATGAATATCAGGCTAGGCTGAGAGGGGTTAGTGTCCGGTCCAAGATCGGACTAGCTGATTACTTGGTTGGGACTAGCGCTGTCATCAGCTGCCATCACATACTATGCATTTAATACATGGCATATTCAGTATATATTCACCCTGCAGACACCCTTGCTGTACGAGGCGACTGTTTCAAACCCACTTTTGGCTATATACTGATACGCTATTACAGATGCTGCAGATTCGCTTCTGCTTCTTATATAGTATGGATTCTATCTATCAGATCAACTGTTTGATTCCGCTTCATCTGCATAATTTATAAAGTATAAGAAGAATATTCAACAGGGCTTCGCATACAATTCATGAAATACTTTCTCATATTAGTTCTCCAAGCGATCATACCATTGCAACGTGCGCAGGTCCTTCCAGAATTTTTTGGCATCTTCATGGCTATCAAGACGTTGTCGCAACAACTCTCTCCATTCAGCGTCCTTGCCAATAGAATCACAGGCAATTCCGAGATACTCATACCATATGGGATAATACGCCGCAAATTCCCAGTCAATTATCCCCATCAGCTGCCCATCTTTGACCATGATATTGGAAATATTAAGGTCACCGTGTGTGAGAACATAAGGGCCGCATTCGGGGAAGCGCTGCATAAATCTATCCGTTTTATTTGAGAACGCTGGAAACGATAGCTCACGACTGATGGCATCTCGAAACTCAGAGTCAGAGTGGAAAGGCCCATGGAGATTACCATCATCAAACACCATGTCTAAACGGCAGGCTCCTCCATTAATGCCTTGTATACTTGGCGATGTGATGGACTGTAGTTGCTTGCACACGTCAGCCACCTGGTCTGCGATAGTGGCCTTCTGGTCATTTGATAATGATGGCCAGGCACTCTCGAGTGTCTCACCGTCCATCCGTGTCTGCAGCGCGAAATAATTCCCGTTTTGATCGACCCAGTCATAAACAGCCTTCGGCGCTGGGATATGGGGATGAGCTGCAAGTAGCTTCAGCGCTCGGATTTCGTTCCTCAGATATTCTTCGAATTGGGGGTGCCCTTTAAAAATAAAGTCGGTGCTGATTGACCATACGCCTCCCGCTCGCGAGCCGCGGATGAATCTGATGGGGTTGAAATGCCGACGTAGCGATTGCTCCTCCAAACTGCATCCACACTCGTCGAAACCAGTATATGTATCGGACATGTTGTAAATTGATCGAGATTTTTCAGGGGTAGAAAAGGAGTGGAGAAGCCCTAGCTCAGTGTCAGGCAGACTGGATACGAGACAACAAGTCCCTATTTATGTGAGATGGTCAATCAAGTCACACAGGGGATTCCAATTGATAGTTTGTTTCCTGGCATCAAAGAAGCATTGCACTGGATTTTAAGCGGAGGTTTCCTATGGATAACTGTGACCTGGCTTTGAAATGTGGCTCGTATATTGGGTGCCAGGGGTTGTATATAAAATATGCCGTGGTTAGTATCATTGAGCAAAGTGACTTCCCCTATACAAACATGATAAACTTACTACAGTGTCGTTCCTGCATTCAGAATCACAATGTGTACCCGGATAACACACTGATATTATCTTTGTTTCCCTAGATGGAATTGTATAAATTCCATGTCATTCTCAAAGACTTCTTTAAGTCCTGAATACCTTTGTTCAACTCAACCATAGACCAACAGTGTTGTGGTGTTCTATGGAGGATGTAGTCATGAAAGCTGTCCAAAATGCTTGGAACAACCCGAGAAATACAGCCAATTTCCATTTCTGCTATACATATATATTGAGATGAGTACATTCACTTTTCAGATGGCTCCGTGAATCTCCATTAAAAATATTTAACGCTCTATATTACTTTTCTTATCAGCTGCAGTAAGTTGCCTTGAATATCTATATTGTTGTGAAGGCAACTAGTACTTCCAATACAGCAACCACAACTGAATCCTATCAAAGATAGACACGAATCTGAATACAGATAGATTCACCCTACATCCCATCAAACAGCCCATCGGCCTCCTAAAATCTTCAACATGTCATCGAGGTTAACTAAGGAACAAGTCACCCGCAGGGAGAGCTATCTCAGACAGCGAAACAAGATTGATTCGATTGAGAAAGAAGAGCTTCTTCCGCTTCTCGAGCAGCGATGGGATATGTGCTACAAGGTCTGCGACAGATCCGAAATCGACAATCTTCTAGAACTTTACCGAGATGCATATCGACCAAACACCTCTCCACAGAAGATCTCGGAGATAATCCAGCATATCGAACTGACCATCAAACTCTCCCTTTTACAGCGGCTCCCGATGGGTTCTAGGGATTATTATAAGGATTTCAGCCTTGAAAGGCTATATGAGGATGTTACACGTCTGTATGGTGTTGTTGACTTTCTGGATGTGGTATGATGGGGGATTGAAAGTTTTTGAGTACTGCATTGTTCGAGGCGTATATTTACTCGATGCTGAACATCATTATATACTAGAAAGCACTAGGTCGGTTATGTGACTGATATTACGTCTACAGTGTTGTAACTAGAAAAAGCTTGTCCCCTGACTTAACGCATCTCTCTACCTATGAATAAGACAGCCAACTACTCTGCCATGAATTTACTCTGGGCCCTTCCCCTTGATCTCCACATAAGCTCTCTTCACCTCCTCCCGGCCAGCCATCCCAGCCAGCCAACGCTGAATGAGGGGGTAGGAATCCAAAGACAGCCCCGCAAAAGAATACTGCCTCACCCAAGGCTCCGAATGATAATCCACAGCGGTAATTTTTCCAGGCAGAACACTCTCTCCATTCGATTTCTTCAACTGCCCTTCCAACACCCCGAAGCAGCGATAAGCCTGCTCCGTATATCTATTCAGCGCATCCTGGTTCTTCACCGCATGGTAGTTCCTTAGTGTTACGTTAGCACGATTCGCTCGTCAACCAACTAGGCGACAAGGAGGGCAGAAATACCTAAACCAGTTAACCTGGCCCAGCATAGGCGCCAGATTGGTGAGCAGGAAATACTCCCATTTCTCCAAGTCGACGATATCCTGCTCTGTCTTACCAACTGGACCTAACTGTCCGTCGCGGTCATACACTCGGCGGACGTAATTCATGCATGCGCCAGATTCCCAGGCCACGACGCCCGTGTTCGGGTCCTGGAGAGAGGGAAGCCGACCATTCTCGTTGATCTTTAAGTAAGCCTCGCCTTTGACGCCTTTTTGGGGGTCGTCGCCAAACTCCCACTGTTGGACTTCGTAGGGGACTTGGAGGGCTTCGAGAGCGATGGCGATCTTGATGGGGTTAGGGCCCGTAGCGTGGGCATGGAGGAGTAGTGGTTTGGTCATTTTCGATAAAGCCCGTCCTAGAGTTGTCTGCATGTTGGTGAATTCCTGGATAGAGATTATCTGCCTTTTATAACCTAGATATCATATTGCCGGAATGAATATTTGGTTATTTGAATAATGTAACTTATTTACTACTATGGTAGGACTTAATTATGCCCTTGGTGTTCTCCACTGTCTTGTTGCTGAAAACGTTGATGGAGCCACGACTTTGAATCCCGCGGAGTTGCAGTTGGAGACATTCCGGAGCCGGAGCCGGTGATAGTACTACTTCATGGACTCGTAATTTCCTACAGTCGGGTCCCCTGGTACTCAATGGCATCAGTCGGAGTAACTATATAACAATATATTATTGTTGGCAACTAGTAAAAGAAAGCCCTTTTTATAGATAAGAAATGACGCAAAGAACAAGTGCTTTGTTGAATGTGTTGTCCCCAACTTGGACACTGATTCCAGTCACTTTGGCAACACTTCCCTAGCTCCATTAGTAGCTCTCTCATCTTGCTCTTTTGCTTTGGAATTAATATTGCCAGAAACCATGGAGTCCATGCTGCTGTACGAATGGATACAGATCCTGGCAATCAATGAATCCAACCCCTCCCCCCTCCAACAACTCTAGATAATCTCTGTAATCTAAATGCGCATTTTTTTCATGCAAACCCGAGATGAATAATATATTCAGACGGAAGCAGAGGTAGGTAGGTGTATTGCTTGCATGCAGCATAACATTTTACTCCAACCACTCAAGCTTCAACCTTCTCCAACTAACGGACCTTATCGACAGCCCTACTCCAACTCGACCTTCCTACTCCAATTACGTCGACTCATGCTCGAGGTACTTCATTTACATCGAACCTTTGAAATAGAGCTAAATTGCAGTGTTAGTCTATACTAGATTCTACAAGGTCGCTCCCCAAATATGGTCATCCTCATCTAGGAGGCATACAAGCCAGCACCATTCGATATGTCCAGCACCTACATTCGTCCTCTACCCACACCTGGGGCACCAGTGTAGATCTATACAGATACCAGTACCAGAATGTGGAACGGAAATGAAGAGCCTAGTCATATATTTTTAGACCATCGATCTCCTCGGCCACGGGCCAGAATGCCGAAATAGTGCCATTATGAAGTTGCAGGTGCTTTACGAATATAACGGGGAAAATTCCTGTGCTGGTACATTCCCAGGGTGGTTTTGGTAGACTGTGTAGATGGCTCTGCTCCGCTTGCACCAGAAAGGGTGAGTAATAATTTCATTCACTTCCTTACTCACGTAGAAGGGGTTATTAATACGTAGGTGGTTAAGCATAGATGAGCAGGTTGCTGGTATAATTACGACTGCCACGTCGCTAAATGTAGAGTCTTGCTTATCGGTCGAGCTCGGTTGTTACACCTCTGTTATACTACCGGATGTACTGGCAGAGCTTATCTTCAAAACGGGATATATGATAGTAGTGCGCGCAATGTTGAGTAGATGAAGCTCTTTGTTGATAGCCCGAATTCGAAGTTGCAGATTGTTGAAGGGGGACCGCATTCTCAACTATATTCGTGCCATGCAGCGCATGATGTACTTGTGCAGTTTCTGAGGCGATATATCGAGTGAAGCAATCCGTGTGATGATATATTAGCTAGCCCTACTAAACCCCAGTAACATACACAGACAGTGCTTTGGTTTGGGCAGATAAACAGACTTTTCATCTATCATCCTTTCAGAGTATCTCCATGGTTCTCAAGCACTGTGTGCGAATCTCCGAAAATAGCCTATCTTAGACGCGCTCAGGGCCCTCAGCAAATCTCTTATTTGCTACTAGATATCCCTAGTTTCTCATAGATGCTGAAGATCTCGCGCGTTCACCTTTCAGGTCATCGTTACCAACAAGTTCAATAACGCCATCAGCACCCGCAGCTACTGCTAACTCCCAGAAACCCTCATAAGCTCAGATACACTCAGAAAAAGGCAAGTCTTCCACTGATAAAGCACACACACCATTCAGTTCCTTAGAGCTGGAATAGCCAAGAGGGACCACTCGCATTAGAAACGGTTCCTGACCGCTACACACTCCACCGCACTAGATGCTGACAACCCACCGCATCAGGCTGAACAAATCGAGAAAGCTGCAGGAAATGAATTCCGCTGCACGGTAGATCCATCTATTCCTCTTGTTTGTGTCACCGGCCACTAACTCAGTCCCCTCGCCTTCTTAACCGCAGGCTATCATCGGTGATAGCTGAAACGAGGGTACTCCTAGTCCAAAAAGTAGTCAAATAGTACCCCAGACCAATCGGCACCGGCGGGTCCAACCGGGCAATCACAACAACAGGAAGCGGCACGTGCGCGCTACCCGGCGGTGAAGCGTGGCAGAAACAGCCGCGGCGCGTGGCACTAAACCCGAAGCGGGCAAAGTGTCGGGCGACAAGCGGGGAAAGCGAGCAGCTCGTCTCGATCCAGCTTCTGTTCTGACTGTCCAGTACCAATCATAGCCCATTACATCAATCCCCCGAGCTTAAATCTTCTCTTCCCTCTTGTCTCTTCTCTCCCGCGAGAATTAACTAACTAATCTAACGTTAGTTTGGCGTCTTATCACCACCACTGCAATTAGTTACTCTGAAGCCCGTGCAGAATTCTCTTCTCTTTTTGCCTCTCTCTCTCTTTTTTTTTTTTTTCTTTCTCCTCTCTTCACCTTCCCTCTCTCTATCCTCTAACTATCATCTCCTCCTTAACTCTCTTATCTTTCTCAGACAAGAAAAGAAACCAGTCACACGACCTGCTGCAGCTCTCCAGCTTAGTACCTACCTACCTGCACTACAACCATCCCCTCCCCTCCTCCTCCTCATTCTCCTCCCTTGCTATCCTCTCCAAACCACACCACACCACACCACTTCACATTCACAATGTCCTCCCAACCTCTCCTCCAAACCGCCCCAGGTAATTCCACTCCCCCTCCCTTCAATTCCCCCACCCCATCCGAAGGGAATTAACAAAAAACCAGGAAAAAGAATCGCCCTCCCCACGCGCGTCGAACCGAAAGTCTTCTTCGCCAACGAGCGCACCTTCCTCTCATGGCTTAACTTCACCGTCATCCTAGGCGGTCTAGCCGTCGGACTCCTGAACTTCGGTGACCGCATCGGCCGCATCTCCGCCGGTCTGTTCACCGTCATCGCCATGGCCGCCATGATCTATGCGCTGGTCACATTCCACTGGCGCGCGCAGAGTATTCGCAAACGCGGCCAGAGTGGCATTGATGATCGCTTCGGACCGACCATTCTCGCTATGGCGCTTTTGGCGGCCGTCGTGGTGAATTTTGTGTTGAGGATGGTGGAGTAATTCATCTTTTTCTCTCTCTCTTTCACTTTGGGTGTGTATTGAGTTTGGGTGTGGAGGTCGAAATGTATTGATTGAATCGGGAGTGGGCATTGATCGGTGCTGGTCGCTGGTTTTATGTATCTTGGGTATTGAGGATGGATGGTAGTGGGTATAAGTGAAGCAATTGTTGGGAATGGAAGTGGAGGAAACGGATAGTGTACTTGTTTCATGCTGTTTGTTAGTAGTATTGAGCATTCTATTTCCTACGAGTCTAGACTGTGTTTCATTTTGTTTTAAAAAGTCATCAATAGTACCCATGAGTTCATTCCATCCATCATATATACACACATCGCAAATCCTACACAAAACAAGCAACTAAACTGAACCGCAGAGTTGCAGTTGCTCAATTGAAATACCCCTCGTCAATAAACGTCTCATAACACCAATAATCCTTCTGCTCCCCCTGTCCAGCGACACTCGTATTCCCCGTAAACTTCGCCGTCCAATACGAACTCCCCTGCGAAAAACTGCTCCAAGTCTTCAACCCCGCCAACACATTCCTCTTCCTCAACGCCAACGTATTATTATACGTCGCCTGGATTGCCCATTCGCCCACAAACACGGGGAACTTGCCCGTGCCCGACTTCTCCCGCGCATCCGCAAGAATATACTCGGGCAGATTCTCCGACGAGGAATCCATATGCTCGTAGTAATAATGATGCGTGTCGAAGACGAGGTTCGTACTCGCGGGGAAGTCACCTTCCCAGTACTGCGGGTACTTGAAACTACCCTGGAACATGACGGGGATGTTGGGGTTCACCGATTCGACCCGTTGAACCACAGCCCGGATGTACTTGAGGACCCAGGCGGCGCCGTGGTCCGTCAGGGCGAGGGGCGTGCCGAAGACGACCATGTTGGTGTTGTTGTCGGCGGGTTCGTTGATGGGCTCGAGGGTGTAGGATTGCGGGGATCCCGAGGTTTGGATGAAGTTGATGACTTGATCGATCACTTGCATGGAGTAGTTGAAGTTGGTCTCGTTGTAGAACCAGTACCAGTGGCCGGTGGCTTCGCCGATGGTCAGGCCGTTGACGCCGCCGGGGAGGGAGTGCGTGTCGATGATGATGTGCATGTTGTAAGTCTTGATGGCGTAGTCGGCGATTTCTTTGAGGTAGGCCGTTTGGTTTCCCGAGTAGAGCTGCGAGCTGGGGAGATCGATCCATGCGGCATAGGTGGTGGGGATGCGCAGGACTGTGATACCGCCGGAGGCGAGCTTGTCAATGTCGGCCTTGGTGATCCAGGTTGCGTAGCGGTGCTCGAGGACGGGGCCGCATTGTGAGCCTAGATGTTCGCAGAGGCCCCATTCGTCTGAGGCGCCGCCAGAATATTTATCCCAGAATAGACTGTCTATTGTCGATTCTTGCTCGAGCCAGCCGCCGAGGTTGACGCCGTTGCCTTTGAAGGTGCGCCAGTCGATGTAGGAAGAGTTTGGGGGGCTGGCTAGGGGGGCTGCGAGGGCGGACTGCGCGCAGCCCAGCGCAGCGAGGAGCCCTAGGAGACTGTACATTGGGAGCGAGTTCGGAGAGCAGATGAGATGGGCGTGGACCACTGCTATAACTTCATTCTATCGGACTAGTTCCAGCACTTCTTATATCTCGTCCATTCTTGGGTTGCCGGCATATGGCCTTGGTCCCGGACCGAGACATCTGGATATCCCGACAGGCATTTCTTTAGCTAGCTCAGAGTTGAAGGATGCTTAGCACTGAGCCAAAAGGCTATTCGACGGCGAGGGAGGCCAAGGTCCCAAGTCGGGCTATCCGAGGAGCTCAGCATGGCCAAGCTCATCAGTCATTTGATCAAAAGACCGAATGCAGCAATCACAACGAGCGCCGGTTAAATTAGCCATGAAAATTGTCTTCACTAGCTACACACAGTAGAGAACGGCACGCAAAAATTCCCGCATGACGAATTAGTCCCTGTGTAGTGCGGGGTGTGGGGAAATAGGCGTAGGGCATCTTTCTGCAGTCGGAGCCTGAGCAACATCCGAATAACGGCCTCTCCTCCCGCTCAGATGAGGATCAACACGCTCAAACCCGTCCTCTTTATCGTGACTCGGAAATTCCATGCCTCGGGATAATGAGGCCCGATGAGATGGGTGAGATTCTCGGGTGTCCCGACGGCAGAGGCACCTGAGGCCAAGAGATTACCGTGGTTATAAACCGGGAGCACCCAACGCCTCTCAGCCGTCAGCATGGATCTCATTGAAAGCAGACATGAGGCGCACTGTCAACCACTGCCAGCCACTGCCAGCACACATCCTAGCACAGTCGACTGCTTGAGTGGTTTGCAAGCCGTGTTTGACCAGTCAGCTTCCGTTGTCGGTCATTGCGCCGCTGGTGAACGGCAACTCAGCAATGAAAATGAAGCCACGGGCGATGCTGGATGCGAGACGAGGGTTGGAATCTGTCGGCCTCAGGCATAAACCGCTGGCCAGTGTGATAAACCCCTTATTGTGGAAGTGACTCGTTCGTATTGCCCCCTCCTCTGGCAGGATTCCCTTAGGGGGGCGTCTGGGGGTGGAGACCAACGAGCAAGCGTGCCATGAAGCAGTGTTGGCGTGAACTCAATCGCAAGCTATGCTGTGGCTGGTGGAGATGATAGGCAGACGAGGACGCGAGTGGATGATGTAACGAGCCTTTGGTCAACCGCCGATCCCGGGTCTGATCTGCTGGCGCAAGAGAAGGAAAGGAAGACAGACGGTGCGAGAACGAGAGTCAGATAGTGGGAAGGGAACAATGCCCATGTGTAGTGAACCTAAAACCGGGTGGTTGAGGAACAAGCTCCATGGAACTACGAGTTATTTGAGCGAATTGGCATCCTTGGGCAGAGCAGAGTGGTTGGTGGTAGCCTAAATGTCTGACTGGGAGTGTCACAGGGTTTTATATGGATCTTCTATCATGGCAAGCATAGCAAGCAGATTGGGGGGAAGGGAAGAAAGAATCCATGTTATAACTGGGGCAGTTGGGGGAGTACAGTAATGTGTGTCTAGTCTACCTGGGACTGTCTCAACTTTCAGACAAGAGTACTTGAGCGGGTAGATGCAGCATTGTAACGAGACGGGGAATTTCATACCAGTACGGGTATGGGTAGGAACTGGAAAGAATCGAAACCCGGCCGGGTGGGTGTATGTACGTTATGTACGTATGGCTGTATGGCGGTATGGCTGTATGGCTGTAATGGTACTTTGTGGGCGGCAAAAGACCCCTGCGAGAAGCGGTTGTTAGCGCGGACAATACCCCGGCCATCCATGGCCCAGTCCAGGCCCGGCATCACATCATGGCTCCACTCCTTCAGGCAGTGATTCGACGTGTCATCCTCTTCCATCAATAATAGCAGCAGCTGGAGCAGCACCACCAGCAGTAGTACTACTTACTACTAGACTAGTACTGTAAGTTAGCAAGCATCTCGCTATGGATGGTCCTTTTGTCGCCCGGTTTATGAATGGTCCATCACTTTCCTCCCCTGTCACAAGTAGTCACTCACATTGTAATCATGATGAGAGAATAATCCCATCCCATCTCTCTTCTGACTGACTGACTGACTGACTAAACCCAGCACATCTCTTTCTTTGCTGCCTCTCCCTTGAATACTACTTCCCACTCCCGTATCCCGGGTTCTTCCTTCTTCTCCCAACTTCTTTTCCCTACTTACCCTTTCCACTCAACCAAAATCCTTCGTCTTCCCAATTAACCTTTTTTCGCCTCTCAAACCGGTTTGGTCCCTGGTCGGATCCCCGTAAGTATTGAAATTCCCCTCCCATCGGGTTCCTAATTATCTCCCAATAGTCGTCTTTTTCTTAACGGTATTTTCCCCTCCAGGTTGACCTGAACAACTACTACAACCTCAACATCACCATCAACATCAACATAATTATTCATGATTATGATTATTATTCGTGCTGCTATTACCACAACCGTTTTCTAACCCGACAACGTCCGCCCTCCTTCGTCTCCCTTGGTACTCTCCTCTTCTCACACCCTCCCATCCTTTCTCCCTCTCTCTCTCTCTCTCTCCCAACCCGTACTCTCCCTCCCTCCCTCTTTCTCTCTCTCCCCCTCTACAACACCCTCTCTCTCTCTCTCTCTCTCTCTCTCGATCCCCCTCTCTTGGGCTTTGTTTTCTACTAGCTTCGGGTGCTATTCTTCTTCACTCGAACTACTACCACCATCCATACCCACTAGATAACTAGTATCTACCACTGGTTATTATTAATAGATTACGCCACCGCCCAACCTACCATTCCGTGGGAACTGGGAAGGGTTGCCTGCCCTCTCTTACTACCACCAACCATCACTACTGCTACTGTTCAACCCAGCATTGCCTAGCCGTGGATCCGCTTCAGCTGGCCTCCCCTTCCCGGCGTGCATGTGACCTGCCTGGGAAGGAGGTTCCTCTTTAGGTTCTGCTTGATAGTTTGACGCGGTGTCTTCTAGATCTCCGACCGGCCTTTATTATACTCGGCTGGTCTTTGTTCACAGCTTTTTGGTCGCTCCCTCCTGTCCTGTCCTGTCCTGTTCCTTCCACCCCCAACTTAATCTGTTCAAACTTGGGTCCCAGAAAGCCCGGACTCTTATCATCGATAACTATCCTCATACCTTTTTCGACCAATCCTAGTTGCCCTTCCAACTTCCTTCCCCCCAGTCTGATCCAATAATCTTACTTCCTCGCGCAGCAGCCTTGTTGCATGCTTGCACTGTCGGAGCTCCGGCTATCCGTTTCTTGTTGGGGCTTCCCCCCCGTGTTTCCTTTCCTCCCCCTTGCTGGGTTCCCACCGGTCGCAAACGACGACGTCTGACCGATCGGCGGCAACCTTCATTCCCTCGTTGCCTGCTCTTCATTTTCCTTCATTTCAACCCCCATCGTTCTCCCCCGGATTTAGATCGCATTTGCATGCACAGGTGCATGGGGTCTGCGTGGCAAACAAATTTGGACTGTACCGTGCCTCTTACGTGGCGCCTCTAACTTGTCGCATTCCCGTCGCATCGCGCAGATCCGACTCTCTCTCTACATTCTTCCGCGCTCAACCTCGCATGGCATGTTTCGCCTGCTTCCTTGGTCCTCTGCTATCGGGGGCAACAAGGTGATGGCCGAGGAGCTTAAAATGCTCTCGACCTCGCCGCACTGCGCCGCGTCGGGCGTCGGTGGCCTGCCATTACCGCAGTTGAAGCGCAAACGCTCTGATTCTAGCGATTCCGCCTCCGCTCGAGATGCCCCGGTCGCAACCAAGCTGCGCGCCGACGATGCGCCCTCAAAACCCGTCAGCTTTCAGCAAGACCCTTCGCTACCTGCTACCAGCGCCGTGACGGTGTCGCACCCAGCTGGGACGGACGGGACGGACGGTCGCGCCCAGCCGATCTCGGAGTTGTCGCATTCGTCGCATTCTGGTCAAAGCGCGATTACAAATACCTCGGAGATAACGAAGCAGAATGGCACTTCCCCAAAGATCGACGCGGACTCGCTGCGCGAGACCCTTGAAGCGCAGCTGAGTCTGGAGGTGTTGTTGAAACACAATGAGCTGAGGCTGATTGATCAAGAGATTGCCAAGTGCCAGGTTGCACTGGAGCAACTCCGTCGATGTGCCGAAATACCATATCCGGGATCCAGTGTGGCAGGCTATTCGCAGTCGGTCAGCAATGGTACGGGTGCTGCGGTCTGGGCTCCTGAAAATGGGCCTGCGCCGCAGTCGCCCGCGCCATGGGGTGTCGTGGAGGGTCCTTACTCTCGCCACTACTCTAGATGGCTACTACCTGATCCTCGATTCGACGGTGGCGAAGTTGAGCCCGAGACCTCTCTAAGTGGGCTGCCTCTGATGGAAGGCCGCACGACGCGGGGGAGTTCGGGCGATTTGGGCTCGCTGGCTGGCAAGACACGACCTCAGCGTGGCTCGGCAAGTGCTAAGCTCCAGGCTCTGCCTAACGGTTACCCAGCGCCTAAAGACAAGGCGGGTCCCATGCTTATTCGACGAAAGTCGGATAATGTACTCGTCAAGCTGGTATGTCTGGACTGCGGTCGGGACAATTTCTCCAGCACTCAAGGATTCATCAACCATTGTCGCATTGCACATAGTCGGAATTACACCAGCCATGATGCAGCGGCAATGGAGTCTGGCAAGCCCGTTGAAGTCGACGAGGCTGGTGCCGTCGTTGGCGGCCGGGTGGAGAGCGTCAGTGCAGCAGGCACAGGCGGGTTCGTCCACCCGCTGATCCGGACTGCACATGGCATTGAGCCGTCATCCAAGACACCGTCCTCTGCGTCTGAAGCGGCGGGCGATAACGCAACTCCCCGGAAGCGATCCTGCCCGAGCCGACGGGCATCGACCGGGGTGGAAACTCCTCGTGCGGCTGCCCGTCCCCAGTTGGAAAATCGCCGCGGCACACCTGCTGCCGCTGCCGCTGCCGCTTCAAGTCATACTTCGTTCCTGGGCTCGCCCGCCACCCCTCACCTGTCGTCTCTCATGCAGTCCCGGGGCGTGGGGCTCGACCTTGATCGGTTGGTCGGGGAGGCAAAGACGACGGTGGATCTCGACGAGTACTCTTCGGACGAGGGCGAGTCAGACAGCGAGTCTGTGGCACCACCGGAAGCGATGAGTCACGAGCAGAAGGCGGCTGCAGTCCGTGCGGGCAGGCAACCCATGCGGACCACGGCCTCGCAGACTGCGCCCCAGCGCCCGGGTAGCCGCAAGGGGCTCGATAAAACGAGTCACAAACCTTTTTCCCTTGAGTCATTAACCCCGACCAAACCTGTTCCCTACCAATCCCCCTATGGAGCGGTGTCCCGGCTGCCGCAGCTGGACGGGCTGCGAGAGATGGACGGGACGGAGCCTTCGTCCAACCTCAGCCCAAACACAATCGAATCGAACCAGGCGCCGAGTCTCGTCAGCGATGACGACGATTATGAAGCGGCTTCGGATTCGGAGAGTCCTGGGCCGAGCTCGTCGGAGGCGGGCGATGCGGAGGAGGATTTTGGTCATATTGGAGTGGAGGACGACGAGGACAGCACGACGTCCACGACGGCGCCGGAGGCCAAGTCGGACATGGGCATGTTCCGGCGCCGGAATAAGAAGAAGAAAGAAGGGGTCATGTCGGCCTCACTTGGACCATTGAGTCGCAGCCGGGATGAGAAGCGAGTGAGCTTTGCGAGCCCGGATGCGAGCCCTGCTAAGGGCAAGAAGGATAGTCCGCGCCGGCCTAGCGGACGATAAACGATAGAATTGCACGTGTTTAATGTATGAGGATACTCTCCTTTCTTTCAATGTATGGAATTTAGGTACTTGATAAATTGCGGTCAGGAATTTTGCGAGCGGCCGGGGTTTAAGGATGATTTTAGTTAGCGATGGCGGATTACGATGATGATTAGTAGACGCCTGTATTAATTTTTTGATTCTGATTATAGCCTATTTTGTAGTTCGGAATTCTGGAAACTGAGATAGCAAAGTAGACAGAAGTATGGAAGTACCCTACCCGCTCGGAATCGGCCAGACCCTCCCGCAGCTCCTCTTCCATTTTGAGTTATCCCAAACAATCAATCACAACCATTCATTCATTCATCCATCATCCATCTATCCATCTTATCTCCCAACCAACCACCAAATAAACTCTACAATGGACCTCCACCCCCAATCCATATCTTCCCAAACCTTCCAGCATTTGCTAGAAGCCTACCCGCAAACAGTGAAATCTCTCGCCCGCCGCAAAGCCAGCGCCAGGATCAAGCGCAAACCAGCAGCGGCAGCAACCCCAAAAACGAAGCAGAAATCATCCTGGACATCCACAGGCGCGCTATCAGCAGCACAAGAAGAGTATATCCGCACTGAAGCGGATGAGTTCATGTCGCTTGATGGGTTCCGGTATGAGGGGTTACCGGGGGTAGTGGCTGCGAGGGCGAAGGGGAAGACGGATGATGGGTATGAATGTGGGTATTTGGAGAAGGAGGAGTTAGTGAGGTTGGTGGAGTGGAAGATGTATGTATATTCATTTCCCCTTCTCTTTGTATTTATTGTACTTTATGGGATATGATGTACTGATTGGGAATAGGAAACATGGTACTTTCCGCCCCGCATTACTGGGCTTGATACGTTCGAATTCGGAGGCTGTAGTCAAAAGTGCTACGGGGGAGGCGTTTAGAGCACTTAATAAGGAAGGTGATGAGTTTCCAAAAGAAGCATTAGATATTCTCACGAAAGCGTTACGAGGCGTGGGAGTGGCTACGGCTTCTTTGGTGTTGTCGCTTGCTTCGACTGCTGATGTACCGTTCTATAGCGATGATGTGTATTTGTGGGTTTGTATGGAGGAGGTTCCTACTTCTGTTGACACTGGTTCTGGAGATGGTGAGGCTGAGGCTGAGGCAGAAGCAGCAGATAGACTCAAAAGAGGGGTTTATAAACGGTTGAATGGCGAGTTGAATGTCAAGTATACGATGGGGGAGTATCGGGGGTTATGGGAGGGGGTGAAGAAGTTGAGGGAGAGATTGGGTCATCAGTCAGAAGGAACAGTGAAGGGAGTGTCCGGGTTGGAGGTGGAAAAGGTGGCGTTGGTGGTGAGGCATTATACTTTGTTGGGAGGTGGTCATAGTGATGATGTTGATAAGAAGCTATCTGAGGGAATGAAGGTGGAGGAAGAGGAAGGAGAGGAAACGAAGAGGGAAAAGAGAAAATTGGAGGATGAACAGCCAACAGGAGAGGGAAGACGGAGAAGCAAGAGATTGGACAGTCGCAGGATCAATCCTGCTTGATTAACGGAGTATCATTGAATGAGATTGAAATGATGGTGGTGATAGTGGGAGATTAGGATCCAGTCGCCATCAGCTGCTCCATTGACGTGCATGAGATACGTCGTCTAGTTCGGGCTTGGCACAAATCGCCATTTTGGGTCATTTATGCCAAAACTATATGAGCTGGGGAATCTATATTTACTTCTTGGTAGATGAAATCGTTCAAGCAAGAATTGATGAGCCAAATTGCATAGCACTATGTTTATGACCTACTTTGTAGTGGCCCCCGCAAATATGTAACTTGAAGCGGGTCTAAGCTCCTTACTGGATGAATACGAATACGTGCTTCGCATCATGCCAAAGGTTCCCCCGACAATTGATGAATCCACAGAACGACCCACAGCCAGGATTTTGGCCGCGGAGGAACGAAGTCCCCTAGAACAACTAGGGGAGATGTAGATACATACCAGACTTCAACGGGCCAAGGAAGCTGCAGAAGGACTACATTATACCCATGGTGAAGATGTCATGCATGCAGATGACTGCCATGATTTGATCTTGGATTGATCTGGTCATATTGAATTGATTCAATACTTTCGGTGTAGCTACCGGTCGGGGCATTCTGAGCCTGACATTAACAACTACTGAAGAAGTCTCTGCATTTACATCACTTTGTTAGAAATCAAGTCAGGGGATATCTAGTAGCAATGACCCTGAGACGGAGAGAGTGTGTTGATCTGTGGTCACGTGAGTATGATCAGCCAAGACGCATTCAGCAGTTCAGTATTCAGGGGTTTAGATTTAAACTGGATTCATTCTCGGCACTGAAACATCCCATTAATTGCTTCAACTATACGATCATTCTTGGCATCATATGCATTCCGTTTTCGGTTGGCATTTTGAATCCCCCTCCCCTCTGTCTCCCCGATGGCAAACCGATCCTTGGATGCAGCAACAGGTGGGAAGCAAAGAGATTGCGCGGTCTCCAGATTAATGCTGCCTGATAACTGGTATATTATTATCCATGATCCATTTCGCCATCTGCGACTCCAGTGGCGTGCATAGCATACGTATCCTACTGTCACCTGTCCTGCAGTTGGCAAACACACACACACACACCTCTGCTCCATACTATCTCTGAGGATCGCTGCATTCGCAACGCCATCCGTTTTCAGAACTTAACATTCATTCAACTCACTTTCTATCTATTCCGTGCTTCTCATTATGACCGACGCGATAAGGTTCTCCGACTCCGAATCCTTGGATGCTCCTCATCGCATCCCACTATAATTGGCTTTTTCCACTGTCCGTCCGCGTGGTTCTCCACTACTAGCGCTGCCACCAGTGGATCCGCCTTCACCAATTTATCCTGAAATGCCAACATGCCTACGAATCTGTCATCCGACTCCAGTCTAGCGCTGCATCCACACGAACGTCTGGGGCCCGGCTAACTTCTCTCCCGTCGCTCGTTGGGTGGCTTCGGTCCATGATTTGCGACTATCCGCGTCATGCTCTGTCCCACCTCCTAACTGCCCGCCCACTCGCTCTCTCCGTTTGCAGCGTATCGCTTTTTCTCCGTCACCATGCACGACTTTCTCTTCCTCTGGCAGGCTAGTCTTCCTCCATCGACTACTACCTGCCCTGTCGTGCTTCTCAATTTGCCGTAGATGGCCGTGCTGCTGGTTCTCTGGGCCCTGTGGCCCATACTGGCATCGGCCTTCTCATGGCATGGCCTCTGGTATGACCTGGGCTTTCTGGGACCTCATCCCACGCTGAAATATGAGTCCTTTGACCAGGAGTCTCCCGAGGTCAATGTCCTGCGCTGGGACCCGCGATGTGAAGAGGGCTACGTCTTTCTCAGCCCTCGCGGTCATTCATACCCAGACCCGGGGCCGTTGGTCTACGACAACCAGGGCAATCTGGTGTGGATTGAACGGGAATTCGGCCAGATCATGGACCTCAAGGTCCAACACTACATGGGGGAGGATTATCTGACATTTTGGGCGGGAGACGACGATGGCACGCGGGGACTCGGCCAATACTACATGGTGGGTAGCTATCTGCATGACTGGCATCGATCGAAGCTTATCCGTGACAGCTGAATTCCTCCTACGACGTCGTTTACATCGTATCCCCCGCCAACGGCCTCACCGGCGACGTGCACGAATTCAAAATCACCGACCAGGGCACCGCGCTCATGACCATCTATGACATCTGCGAGGCGGACCTTAGCTCCGTGGACGGACCCCAAGACGGCTGGATCTACGACGGACTCTTCCAAGAGATAGACATTGCGACGGGCGAGCTGCTATTCGAATGGCGAGCGAGCGATTACTACGACATCGACGAATCCTACTACCCCCTCGGCGAAAAGGGCTCCGCCCCAACAGCCCATGACGCCTACGACTTCTTCCACATCAACAGCGTCGACAAACACCCCAACGGAAATTACCTTGTGTCGTCCCGCTACATGCACACCGTCACCTGCATCAGCCCCTGGGGCGAGATCCTCTGGGTGCTGGGCGGGAAACGCAACACCTTCAAGGACATATCCCCAGACAAGTCCGCCACCGGCATCACCTGGCAGCACGACGCACGCTGGCAGTCCGACACGATCATCACGCTGCTTGACAACGGAGCGCACGAGCATTTAAGTACTAGAGACCACACACGCGGGTTCATGATCGAATTAAACTTCGACGACTGGACAGCCAATACACTGCATGTCTACGACAGTCCCGGCTCCTTTAGCAGCCACTCCCAGGGCAGCCTGCAGGTGCTTCCCCGGACGGGCCATGTCTTCATCGGCTGGGGCAAGCCGTCAGCGTACACCGAGTTCACCGTGGACGGCGAAGTGCTGTGCGACTTTCACTGGGGGCCGCGCGTCTTCTTCTGGCTGGGATGGATCAAGTCGTACCGCGCGCAAAAGTTCCACTGGGTGGGCAGGCCGCGAGTGCCACCGGATGTGGCGGTCGACGAGGCGGGTGACACGGCATATGTGAGCTGGAACGGGGCGACGGATATTGCAGGATGGGTGCTGCAGCGGGCTAGTAACTCCAGCGCGGGAGAGGATGAGTTTGAGAGTGTTGCGTATACGCCGAAAGAGGGATTCGAGACGCAGGTGGATTTGATAGGAGAGGGATATTTCCGCTTGATGGCGGTGGATTTGGAGGGGAATGAGATGGGAGTGACGAGGGTGTTTGAGGGATGCGTAAGTTACCGCTACCCTGGTGACATAAGTACAGTACAGGATGATGCTAACCTGATATGAACAGGAGATAACTGATATCGACGACGACGGCTCAAGCTCATTCTTTGTATTTTCCGAACGAGCATTCCAATGGATGCTCGTAGGGACATTTACAGCAGGAGCAGTGGTAGTAGGAGCATGGAGGGCGAGGAAACGCATACAGTCGATTTTTGTGAGATATTTTCGTTATTGATTGAATACTAGATACCCATATAGCAATACACATATTCTTTCTATCTTTAATACATAACCCTAATATACTCTATATCACACACACATACTACCACAACATATTAACTCCTCCACCACCTTCCTTCCCCACTAGTATATAATTCTAACATACATCACACTCTCCATCAAACCCAACCCAACTAATAGTACCCACCCACCCCATCTTATACTACCAAGTAGTAAATAGATATACACTCTAAAACAAAGCACCAACCAACCCCGCCAACCCCAACCCCAACCCCATCCACACCTCAGAAACCAATCCTCCCACAGCAACAACACCCCCCGAAGAAGAAGAAGTACTAGCCGCCGCCGCCACCGCCGTCCTACTACTCGTCGCCGACGCGGTACTCCTAACCGAGCTGGACGAGGTCACCCTGGTAGAAGTCGAATACAGCGAGTTGGCCTCCGCCGCATTACAATACTCCATTTTCTGTTGGTCTGCGGAGGTGTGGTTCGGGTCGGAGGGGCAGTCATTGTAGCATCTTCATACACATACATTAGTTATCACACTGTATTTCCTTCAAGGTATAGAAGAAAGAGAAAGGGTAGTAGGTTTAGGGTTCATACGTAAGCATATTCTTGCTCTGCGTACACAGACATGACCAGTCATTCTGCGAACATTTGTCCATTTGGGGTTTCATTTGGGAGAGGCAGGCGTCGAGGATACTGTCATTGTTTCATTAGTATATATGTGGGGGTGGGTGGTTATTTGGGGGAGAGGGGGGCATAGGCATACTTCTTCGCGCATTGCTGGTATGCGCTGGAGCTATCGCTGTCGCTATCACTGCTGCTGCTGCCGGTGGAAGTCGGGGCTGGGGGTTGTGCGCCTGTCCCTGCTGCTGCTACTGCTGCTGCTGCGCCTGTTTCTGCGGCGGGCGTGGCGGCGGAGAGGTAGGCTAGGGTGAGGGTTAGGAGGTAGAAGATGTTGAGTTGCATTTTTGTTTTCTTTCTCTCTTTTTCTCTGATTCAACACTCTTGTTGGTAGTTGGTAGAATGTAAGGGGTAGGATGAAGGGTATAAGGGTATAGTAGTATAGTATATTTGGAGCGAAAGAGTGATTAAAGAATACTACTCTGTGTCGTGGAGATGGTATCAGTCTTATATCTTCCATCTACATAGTAATATGGGCATAAGTACTACAGTAAGTAGATACTAAAGCAGGTGGTAGGTATTGACCCGCCCATTATTGGTGGCGTATGATATATCACATACGACTCTCTTTCCAGGTACATGACTTAGGAGTTTTCCAGACCTCCAGACCGGTTCTCTTGACCAAATTGGTTCCGTAGCGAGTGTTGAGAATGGGAAGAATACTGTGCTTCTTGGCTGCCTACCAACCTAAATATCGGTGAACATCTGAACATCTGAACATCTAAACATCCGAACATGGTGAATAGTATTCGACATTCTACTCCATACACCTCGCCCAATGGCTGCGGGCGCCGCAATAATACACTATATACAGTTCACTAAGCCCACTGCCGCCCTGCCTGCTAACCGAACAATATATCGACGAAAAGAGATAGTCCACCCTCGGATCGTCTCCTCGCAGGCATAGTCCGTAACGTTGTTCGAACACCATGTCTTGCCTTGCGTCGATGATAGAGGTCATATGCAATATCACCCATCACCTGTCTACTCTTGTCCAAAACCTAATGTCTCCTCCACAGCAATGGACAGCTTGTGCTCCAAAACGTCGTGCGTCTTGTACGGCGGCAGATCCAGTCGGTTGAAACTAAGTAAGCAGTATTAGTATGACGCTGTATTCATGAGGATGTGTCGAGACTTACCAGGTGTGCGATTTGGGCAGCGCGATCGGATCGCCCGACTTCTCAATGGTGAACCGTCTCGGTCCGTCCGAGCCCTGCAGATCCTTGAATCCATTGACCGGAATACGAGACGTTCCCGTGGTGAACTGCAGCAGACGCGACTTCTGCTCCGCATCCCAGGTGCGCACGATCTTCCAGAAGTTCTGGATCACCTCGTCCTGTTCCTGGTATCCGCGGTAATCCGTGTGCTTCTTCCAGTCATCCACATCAATGTCCGCAATACCGCCGATCAGCAGCTCTAGCTCGCGCTCGTCGAACACGTTGACCAGATCCGCCGGAATCAGCTCGTTGAAACCCGACATGAATGCGTTGAACTGCTCCTCCACCCGCTTCACAATCTTCCACTCCGTGACCAATCTATTACCGTTAGCTTTGCCAACAACTGTAGCAGACAATACTCACTCTACATATTCGCCCTTGTTCTCGTTGGTAACGGGAATGTCCCGGCCGCCGGGCTTCAGATCAATCGTAGTGCGCTCACCGAACTTTTCGTCGTCAACCGAAAAGGTCAGCTCGATGATGCCCTCAATGTCGTTCTCCCTGCGCAGCATTAGAATTGATCCATGTTATCGTTGGGGAGAAACATACAAAGTCCACGCCAAATTGCGGTGCAGATCTTCATCCACACCCTCCATGTCCTGTAGCGACACCTTCTTCCGGAGCATCATCTTGTAGAACGCTCCGATGAAGAACGAATCGAGGAAGCGCCGGTGGAAAATAGCCAGCCCGACCACGCGTCCAATGAACTTGAAGTAGTTCAAGTGCTCGGGGTTCACACCCGAGTGAGGATTAATTTGCAGGGTATAATTATCGTGTGCGGAATACTCGAAAAGACAATAGAACGGGTTAAACATTTCGTGCGAGAGGAGGAAGAAAAATTCACTATTCAGTCAGTATTTCAGCCATTCTCACAGCTAGAAGGAAGGGGACAAAAGCCTACCGGGAAAGACCACCGTAATCGAGACCGTCTTCACCATCAAACTTGATCATCAACCGCTTCTTCAGATCCGAAGCGCTCTGCCGCATGATCTCGGCGTACGAATCCTCAAAGATGTTGTTACGCCGCACCTTCACGTGGCACTGGCCGGACATGATGCGCAGCGCGGGCTGCGACCGGAAGTAAATCAGCTTGCGGCGGAAGTCACGCTTGTACTGCGGCACACCCTGATCCAACGACGACGGCAGCCGGGGGTCATCCCACGTGGTGGTCTTGGTGTTGTGGTCCACAAAGTACACTCGGGCCGTATTCGTCAACCGCATTTCCCATCCACTGGGCAGAGGGCCCAGCTGAGACACTGGCTGCTGCTGGATCGTCGTGTTGCCCCCGTTGGCATTGTGTCCGTACATGCGGATGTACTGCTGTCGCCGAGGATCAACCCACGTAGTTGTCCGGGTGTTGTGGTCGACAAAGTAGGGCCGTCCCTCGGGTGTCGTCCGCTGCTCCCATCCGGGTGGGAGCTCACCAGTGCCTGCAGTGGTAGCTCCCGTGGCCATCATGGACACAGCACTGGCGCTGCCACCGGCCGGCGGGGTATGGGCCTGCTGCGGTTGCGGTTGCGGGCTTTCCTGCAGATTTGGCGAATTGGCCCCTGTCCGGTCTTCCGGCAGCATCCGGCTCTGGTGAGCGCGGCGCTCCAGTTGCATGTTGGCCTCGCGCTGTGTGCGTTGCGTTTGCTCATTGTAGTTCGATGACGGCCGGGTCCAGGTGGTAGTCCGCGTGTTGTGATCCACATAATAGGTACGTCCCAAGTTATCCTCCCGTCGCTCCCAGCCAGCTGGCAGCCGACCCTGGCTGTCCTCGAAGGAACTGAGATTGGTGCGAGAACCTTGAGGGCCGTTTGGAGGGGGAGCGGGGCCGCCATTGACGGGGCCTACCGTGCTGGTCGGTCGGGTGGTTGAGGGGACACGTTGAGGATGGAGCGACACGTTCGACGCGGCGGCGGACGGCTCGGCTTGACCTGGGCTGACGGAAGGATGCGAAGCAGACGAAACCTGGGGAACGAGCCCACTGGAGGTCGACGACTGAGCATGTGAACGATGCAGGCCATTGGCCTGGTTCGGGATCGGGGTGCTGAGGTTGGTGGACAGGTTGATAATAAGCTTTCCGTGCACCACAAGATTATCGTTGGACTTCTTCAGATCTCGGGTGAGCATTTCTACAAGGCGCGAGACCGCTGTCAGTATCAACGACCGGGAGATGGGGTGGACCATCAAGCAGATCACTCACCATCGCCACCCATTTGTAGATCTATAACATCGCCAATCCGCACATTAATCACCCCGAGGAAACCTTGGTCCTTCTTCTTGAACTTCTTCTGGTCAAAGATCTGGATTGCGAGGATACTGTCTTCATTGACTCGGCTGATGGGACCGGTGATTAGTGTCGGCCCACGAAGACAGACAATCCAGCGGGTCCTTACAGGTCAAACATCTCATTCCAGTAGGGGTTCAGCGTCTTCTTGATCACTGACGTCGTGTGGGTTTGTTCACCCCCGACGGTGGCCACAGCGAAGGGATCGGGAAAGCCTATCGACAACGCAGATAGTCAGCTGGTAGTTATCCATAAATTCAAGTGCGGGGACGTACGGAAAACATCGCGCTTGTATAACCCATCCGCTGCGATAACTATTGAACATGCCAGTCAGTCTCGAATCGTCCCAACCATATCCCATCGAGACCCTTGAGGATCCGCCGCCGAATCAAGCTTACTTGTGACCCGAAGATTTGGTTGCCTGCAAGTCATCGATGGTTAGCATCCTGCCAGTAGCACCACGCACGCACACAGAAACGACTCTGATGTTCAAGACATCACGCAAGGGGAGAATCCGAGGTATGCACATACGCTGGCAGGTTGGAACCCATCCTGGAGGAAGGGAACAGGCAGACAGTGACGCGCCTCTAAGTGCAGCAAACGGCCGATCCGGATAAGCCTCAAAAGGTAAATCGCGGCGTGCGCATCCACCGCCGTCGACAGGCACGGACACCGAACAGCAGCGGGAGGAAAGTGGCGTCAGGCGAAAGTCGTGGGGGGAGGAGAGGAGGGGGGGTTGAAGGGAAAAGCGAACGGTGGAGGGTGGAGAGCGAGGGGAGAGGAGAGAGGTGGGCACGGGGGAAGAGAGAGAGAAGGACGATAAAAGTTGAGAGTGACGATAACCAACGGGCCGAGTAATGGCGTTTAGATGGAGGAGGCGCGGGCAGTAAGTCGTAGTTTAGTGTCTTCCAGTCAGTCAGTCAGACTGCCAGTTTGGGGCTGAGCAGGGCAGTCCTGACGTTGCGCTTTGGGAGCCAATCACGGGGCCGCGAGGGGTTCGACCGGGAGGTGCAGCCACCAAGCAAGTAAGTTACTTAAGTAAGTCACTTCACTAGCCTAACTCACTCAAGTTAAGTCAAGTAGTACTTCTTAGTCAAGCAGGCCAGGCAGAGAGAAAGTCGTGGGACTTTGACCCGGGGCACAGGGAGGGGAGCCAGAGAGGTTGGCGCGGGCAAAGGCGGATCTTCTTCCTCTAGAACGGGTTCCCGGTTGTGTGCTAGTCAAGTTAGTTGGGAACGAAGCCCGTCTGGAAGAGTCCACGAAATGCTCCAGCAACAATCAGAGGGAAGAACTGTGGGTTTTGTTCTGGTGCTTGTTCCGATGGTCGTGGCGAGAAAGGGAAAGGAGGGGGAGGGAAAGAGAAGGAGAGCGACTAACGAGTAGTAACTAACTAACTAACTAACTAGAGACGTCAAAGCAGCTAAGCACAACTTGTCTAGTCTCTGTATGTACTAGAGGCAAGTAGTAAGTAGTCGTGATGATAGTAGGAGAGTAGCACGACTCTCTTCTCTTTCTTCACCGGCAGAAAGATGTAAATTGACTCTCTACTGGTACAAACCGTGAAGAGTGCTTGTTCATTGCTTCAATCTGATATTTAATTCGTAATCTAGTAAATGTGCTACCATCACTACAGAGTCCAGACTTAGTCTAGATATTGATGATTTCCCTCCGATCGCTTTTGGGCTGCCCGGAATTCCGCCCAAAAAACGCAGCCCCGCGTCACTTTTCAATACTGATACTCTGAATGGAAAATAGTTAAGTAGATGCCTACTTTGCATTTTCACAACTCTGCACATACTGTAGTCGATAATATTGTATATCCCTCCCCTCAAGGCAGCCAGATTCTTCCCATCCCATTCCCACTTTCTCCTATCTCCCTCCATGGAAAATCACACTTCCGCTTCCCCTTCTGCTGCCTCTTCTTCATTCTCTTCCAACTTAAAACTTACCAATCAATGAATGATATTTCACACCATTACAGTCCATTACACAAGCACAGTGGGGCGCAATACCCAAGGGAGGAAAGAAGAAAAAGAGAAATAAAAAGTAGGGGAAAAAAATAAAATAAAATAAAAGAAGCGATATGATTCCCTCTTCTCTCTTCGCTTTGCTCCGCTTTGAGGAATAAACTCGTCAGCGCCTCGCATGGGTCGGCCTTCTAGACTCTCCCAACTTGCTGACGGAGATTGGATGCACCTCCCCTTTCCCGCTTACGATTTGATGGTTGATTTCCCTCTCAAAATGCGACATCATGCCGGCCTTGCCGATAGTGACTTTAAAGTACTAAGTGATTTAGTTTTAGTGTAGGGCTGTTTTGGATGGTCATCCGTCCTTCATTGGTGTGGATTTCTTTTACTTTTTATTATTTTGGTTTTCATGACGTTATTCCCTGTTTTCCTTCCCGTCCTTACTCCCTACTTACACTAATAATATTGGGATGGCTAATTCCAGTGCCTTGCTGCCTTTACTGCATATTTTTATAGACCACATCTTTTGTTGTGCTGAACTAACTCACAGCAGCTCCATTATGCTGTCTGTTCCAAGACGTAATTCCCAAATGTCCCGTCCTCTTGACTAGTTCTTTTCTTGACGGTTCCTGTCGCAAAGCAAATTCTCTGTAGGCTTTATGATATCACAACAAGAAACAAGCGACTTCAGTGCTCCACCCATCTGGCGTAGTCCGAGATTGCCGGATGGTTATCATACAAAGTACATCCCAGTCCATAAACTCCAGAGGATTCTCACTAGATCAAGAGAGATGTGTGCATTTCAGTTCCCGACCTGCGCTTCGCACCGGATGTCTCCATCGCGATGCCGCGTCGAGTCTGCACCTAACTTCGCTCGCATGCCTCGCCTCCAAGCAGTTCAGGCCCTTAGTAGGGCGCATAGCCGCGACCCCGGCCACGGTAGCCACCGCGATACCCTCCACGGGGCGCAAATCCACCACGGTACCCCCGGCCACCACCGCGGAATCCACCTCGTCCACGACCGCGGCTCATGCCCGGCAGGTTGGTACGCTTTGGAACGACCTGTAAAGCATCGAGCATTAGTATCATTCAGTCGATCAATGGCCTCTATCATGCGATCTACCTTCAGGTTCCGGCCGCGGAAGACACTCTCGTTCAAGACAAGGGCCTGAGCCACTAAACTGGGTTCCGCAAATTCTACATAGGCGTATCTGTAAATCATATCAGCATATGATGCCCCCCAGCCTGTCAAATGAATGCGCTGCAACATACCCCTTGGGCTGGCCGGTGAACTTGTCCAGCAGGATAGTGACACGGTTTATTGAGCCGCAACTTTGAAAGTGTGCCTGAATCTCCTCGGGAGAGGCACCGTAGTCCACGTTGCCGACGAAGACACTCCGAGCGTCGATCTCCTCTTTGTCCTCACGCAGGTTCTCCGATTGCTGATCAAGCGTGGCTTGCATCTCGCGTAGCTTCGCTGCCTCGGATTCCATTTCGGCTACCCGTTTCTTCATCGCCGCAATCTCCTCCTATAAGTCATGAAAAAAGAAGGTCACGTTAGCTAGATTCAGTGAAAGACAAATCGCCAAGTCAAATAGAAGCAAGCCAAGAAACAAGCAAAAGAAAGCATCAAGCTTTGGGTTTTCAGCGCAAGCAGTCAAAACGTACCTCATCATCACCGGCCTCCTCCTGGTGTTGCAGGCGCTCATCCTTGATCTCGTTCTCTTCCGTAGCCATTATGATTATAGGTGTAGAGAAAGTCGCGTCTCTTTTTTTTTTTTTTACCACGTCGCTGGGTCGCAATGAAAGCTCAAGCGGCAATGATAGCTTCCGCGGAACTGGTCTAGTGGGCGGGGGGAGGGAAAGCTGCAGGAAAAATAAAAGGTCCGAGAAGGACAGAAAGGACTGGCACCTAGAACTAAACTAGGACCTGTTCAAGTAGAGAAAGTAAGATAGGTGATAGGTGACTGGAGGGTGCAGAAACCAAATGTGATGCTTGCGTTGATCGACGCCGAAGTCACTGCTTGCTCTTTCCGGCCTAGCAGGTTTGTCATTGGACCAACTCCCGTCGGTACCGCTCTACATCATCCTGAGCCCCTAGGATTCGGCAAGTTCCTGTCGCATTTACAGATGTTGATCATTCAGACCATCCTCGCGTACTTATTTCTCAGGATTTGCAGACTTTTAACTATCTGATTCTTCATTTAATAGTACGGGGACATCAGCGTTATCCCAAAATAGCCACTGTCTAGTAACGAGGTCTGTCAATCTCCATAGCAATTACCGCGACCTCAGTATCAATGCCGATGGAACCTATCATTTCCTTGGGTAGGATATCTTCTTGCACAGTTAGACCATGACATATGTTAGTTACTGCCATACATGACATGGTATGTTCAGGGCAGATAAAAGATTGCAACCGTACATCACTATCAACTAATATAACATGAACAACAGCCGCATAGGTTAGAAGAACATCATTATCGTGCCTGGTTCTATGTATGTACAATAAGAAATTATAAAGCGTCAACTCATGAAGAAGGGATATTGTTCTTGCGGTAAGATACTTTCTCGACCGCGACCGTCTCAGCCCCGTCGGCGTCCGTCTTCAGTTGGTAAACATACAACACGAGGACATCGCCTTGGATCTATAATCCTGTGTTAGCATAGAGCACGTACCGAGTCTTGCAGCGAACCCCGTGGAGTTGCGCGACTTACATCCATCAAACAGAAACTAGGTGTCGGCTCTTCCCCTTCCGGCCAGTACCCCGTGCTCATGGCACCGGTGGCACTTCCCGGGTTGATAAAGAACCTTCCCTCCAGTTCAAAAGCTTCAAAGCGGTGGGTTCCACCCCATAGCAGTATGTCAACATCCATCTGGCGGGCAGCGATCAGAAGGGCATCGGCGTCCCCCGGCGGGATGATGGTGTGGCCATGAGTAAATCCGATGCGGAGACTCCCGTGAGTCACCACTTTAGAGAGGGGTAGGTTGGGGGAATCGACATCGAAGTCGCCTTTGACCAATTGCAAGTCTGGAGCGACCTGTCGGAGGAATTCGAAAGTGCTCCGATCGGTGAGATTGCCGAGACAGAGGATCTGGCCGATCTTGCCTGGCGTCAGGAGTTTCCGGAACTGTGCGCGGGTCAATCGAGAACGGGGGATTGAAAGACAGAGAGGAGGATCAAGAGGGATGGAGCAATAGTGCGCACCTTGGCTGGGAGGTCCTAGCGAGTACAAGTCAGCAGACAGGTCAACCTGCGAGGATGCGATAAGGGATGAGGGGATGCGTACGGGGGCTCTGTCGGGGATGAAGAGGTCACCAATGACCAGAACCAGGCGGGAAGTCATCCTAGAAGAAGCAAGCAAGCAAGTACTCAAGGCCCATTCCAAGTGGGCGTGATCTTGGGAGTGTGATTGGCGAGAAGTATAGTAGTAGGCGGGCAGCAGACAGCGACGGTGATGGAAACGGAAATGGGAAATTAAGCTACGTATGACTATCAGTTGCTCCTCCGGCGCGATGGAGCTCCGCGGGGAAAGCTTATGGACGCCCGCCGATGGATGCCTGCCACCCTCAACTGCCCTAAGCCCTATCCTACAGTCCCTTTGGGATTAGCCTCTGCAGGTCACTTGGTTTGACAACTATTCATGGTTCGTTCTATTATAGGAGCCTCCATGCGACGATTCTAGTACTCATGACTATACAGTTTAGAGTGTCGCGGTGCCAGGTTATATCGTGTACGCTGGTAGAGAAATTGCTGAGTACCCGGCTAGGAACAGCCGCTTATTCTTGCCCCCAGTTCAACGCCATACGGTCACTGCTGATCTGATACTCCCTCAACATCTTTAGAACCTCCTCGGCCTTCGTAGCCTCCGCAATAATACGAGCATTCTCAGGGCTCACCAGGCCCTCTTTGACAGCGGTCTGGATCCACTGTAGAATTCCGTTCCAGTAGCCGTTGATGTTCAATAGGACAATGCCCGCCTTGTGGATCCCAAGCTGGTTCCAGGTAGTCATTTCCATGAGTTCCTCCATGGTGCCAAATCCGCCAGCAAGGGCAACGAATCCTGACCCAGGACCACCTTCAAGGACCTTCTGGGCCATCAATCTTTTGCGGGTATGCATGTCGGGGACGATCGTCACCATGCCGAAGTTGGATTCTTGTACGGACTGGTTCACAATACGCTCAGCAGCCTTGCCTTCCTTGCTTTGCGCGTCCGATGCCGAGGCCTTGTAGCCTTCTTCGACTTCAACCAAAGCTTGCGGGATAATTCCCTGGACCGACTTCGGTCCTGATAATGCCACCAGGGTTTTTGCGAGCTCTCCCATGATACCAACGGTACCGCCACCGTAAACCAGTTGCACATTGTGCTTGTGGAAATCTTGCGCAAGCGCACGAGCTGCTTCCAGATGGCTGGTAGAGTTGCCCGGATAGGAGCCACAGCTGGTTGCGAATTAGTACTATCATTTTGAGAGAGTACTGATGTATCCGGGGGGAGGATAGCCTACAAAACGCAGACCACTGCGGGTTTGGCCTCTTGGGTTGCCATTGTGATGTTCCGATGGAGGGGTAAAAGAGTGGGGTAGAAGATTTGGGAGATTCCAAACAGTGAACCGAGAAGTATTCCCGCTTAATTGTTCCAAGCCAGGGACGTTGAAGAGGACAGCTATTTATTTCTTTCGATGATCCAAAAAAGAACAAGGACAAGCTGCATGGAATGGATGGCACGTCGTCGCCCAGCTGGAGGCTCAGACCCACTTAAGAAAGAACCAAGGCTCCCCGAACCTCAGCATCGAATCGAAGACCAACAGCACCCCTCCACGACAGCATGTGGGCGCCGTAAGCAACCAGGATATTGTCTATCCAGCAGATCCGGACAGATATGTTTGCACCTTCCTACAGACATCTGCGCGGCCAAAAATCAAGAAAATCTCATCTTTGCTGCTATGAGACGAAGAATCATTTGTTGTGAAGTCCTTAGCCCTGGACTGCTCCGGGTGTTCACTAATTCCTGATGAAAGGACAAAACCCTGCGAACCATGCTGACTGATGGTACATCTGAGTATCTAGTTAATCACCAGGATGAAACTTGAGAAAACTGGCCGAGATCGCCCACATGTGCATTGCAGTGAAGAAGGACAGCGAAGTATGGGTCACTGCGCCGGTTGTGGCTGTCGCTGAGATGCTCTGATTGATCTCATTTGTAGAGAGACAACATCTAACTTCCAACTTGCCCAGAAGTATGCAAAGTAAATCAACAATGGCACATCGCGCAGTTGAACCACCACAATCGACTACACTAGTTAACTAGTGAACTAGTTAATTGACTGACTTACTCACTTATTCATGTCATTTGTATGAGTCAAGACAGCCATGGCTGATCGCGGAGAAAATCGTGGGACGGAAGGGTCCGCCCGGTTGGAGAACAATGGCGTCTTCCGGCCGATAGAATGCAAGGGAAAAAGGGGAATGGAAATGGAAAGGGGGATGGAAAAATTTTTGAACGTGAGGAAATACATCGATTTCCCCCCAAAACCCGAATTCTTTTTAAAAACCGATTCCCATAAAACCTCTCCAATCTCACCATCGCATAAAATCACCCGGAATCAACCATTGCACTAAGGAAGGAAGAAGGCCATAGGGAGTGCCTGGAATTAACTGACACACACTAAGTACTTACACAGCATTACTGCATCCAAGCCCGGCGATCCCCGAGGGAAACCCACGGTTGTTCCACCCTCCATCACAGGCAAAAGAGAGTTATCGTTATCCTTTTCCCTTTACCCCGCAGGCTCTCTCCCGTCGAGAGCCGATTCACTCTGCAACCCTGGCGGCCAAACGCACTCCCCAGCAGCGATTGAGCCTGATTTCCAGGCACCTGGATCAGCGACTCCCGCTGCCGGAGCTTAACACCCCCTTCTCGACCGAGAGGAACTCGCTGGCTCCCGACGATATCGAATATAAACCCCTCGATCGCACGGCTTCCACTCCTACTACCTCCCCTTCTACTCCTTCGACTCCTTCGACTCCTTCCTCTCCCACTGACTCCCCACCCCCCGCCGCCAAAATGTCCTCCCAAGCCCCTCACCCCACCCTGTTGATTCCAGGGCCCATTGAATTCGACGATGCTGTCCTCCAGTCTATGGCTCACTACGCGTAAGTAAATACCCCTCGTCCTCGTCCCCGTCCTCGTCCTTTTTCCTCCGATCAGCCCCTCATTGACCAATTTCTTGGCTTCCAGTGAGAGCCATGTCGCCCCCGGTTTCGTCAAGACCTTCGGAGAGACCCTGTCCATGGTCCGGAAACTCTTCCAGTCCTCCAACCCTGCTGCTCAGCCCTTCGTTATCTCCGGTAGCGGTACTCTCGGATGGGATATCGTGGCCTCCAACCTGATTGAGAAGGGTGAGAATGCGCTGGTCCTGCACACCGGTTACTTTGCCGACTCCTTCGCTACCTGCCTGGAAACCTACGGCGCCAATGCCACCCAGCTCAAGGCCCCCATCGGTGAACGCCCCTCTTTCGAGGAAATCGAGCAGGCCCTCAAGGAGAAGCCCTACAAGATCATTACCATCACCCACGTCGACACCTCGACCGGTGTCCTCAGCGACATCAAGCGCGTGGCCGAGGTCGTCCGTCGCGTCAGCCCCCAGACCCTGGTCGTCGTCGACGGTGTCTGCAGTGTCGGCTGTGAAGAGATTGCCTTCGACGAATGGGACATTGATGTCGTCCTCACGGCCAGCCAGAAGGCCATCGGCTGCCCGCCCGGCCTCAGCATCCTGATGCTGTCCGGCCGCGCCATCAACACCTTCAAGACCCGCCAGACCCCCCCGTCCTCCTACTACGCCTCCATCGCCAACTGGCTCCCTATCATGCAGAACTACGAGAACTTCAAGCCCTCTTACTTCGCCACCCCTCCCACCCAGCTCGTCCATGCTCTGCACACCACTCTTTCCCAGATCACTGCCCGTCCCATGTCGGAGCGCTACGCCATCCACGCCCAGGCCTCCGACCGCGTCAAGGCTGCTGTCGCTGATCTCGGTCTGCAGCAGGTCGCTTCCAAGCCCGAGAACCAGGCCCACGCCATGACGGCCATCTGGCTGCCGGAGGGTCTGGCTCCTCCGGATGTCCTGCCGGGTCTGCTGAAGCGCGGCGTCATCTTTGCAGCGGGTCTGCACAAGCAGGTTGCCACCAAGTACATCCGCTTCGGACACATGGGCGTCAGCGTCACGGATCCCAACCGTTCGGACGTCGACAAGGCCATTGCTGCCTTGAAGGAAGCCTTGACGGAGGCGAAGCAGGCCAAGGGACTGTAAAGGGGCTACGAAAATCAATTAGTACCATAACGATCTCATAGACGAACAATTGCAAATAACAAAAAAAAATAGCGAAATGAAATAAAAATTGGATAAAAATATGTCATATGAAATCTAGATACAACAGTAAACTGGAGCAATGTTCTTACTTAGTATCAACCCGATTTCCCCGATGTCGGACACGCAGCGATAACGATAAAATGAAATGGAATGGAAACAGCGATATGCCATAGTTAGTTAATACCCTATCGGCTTACCCATCTTCGATTCCGTCTCCACTTGGCCTGCAGAATAACTAGCCTTAAGTCTCTCGTAATTAATTCTGCTCACAACTATAGCACACATAGCTATGAATAGTAATTAGAGCACTCAGTTAAGCTACCGTCATATAGTAGTAGTCCAGCAGACGTCTACGTAGTATGGATTACGTGATATCCTGACAGTCATGCCATCATTACCTTGGTTAGTTCATCGTTACTCCATATCCAATGGTGAAAAGTCCCCACTACAGCATATACTTAGTAGTATATTTACCCATATCTAGCATAATGGAAGGCTGCTATAATAACCGTTGGTAGATTACTAAGAACTCGATATCGTAAGTTTCAGAGTCGCACTATATCTACTAGCAGCCTTTTAGTACGACTCGGGAGATCTTACCCGATGTCTCAATTCGAACCAACAGGCTGATGGAATGATCTATCCCAGGCTAACTGACATGACAGACGTACAATGAAGCAGTAGAGACCTACCCACAAACCAATTCCAGTTGATTCATTCATCCAGAAAAAAAAAGTGGAACAGAGTGGTAAAATAGTACCAACGCTGTCTTTGCAAAACCCGGACAGGGACGTAGTATAATATATTTTGGGTGGGGGGTTAAAGGATGATGAGTCCTGACTCGTGAGACAAGCAGACAAGGTGGAACAGAATGACAACAGGAATAGGAAGAGGAAATGCAAATATAAGGATAAAGAATATAGAAGAATGATGATAATAAAAAAGAAAAAAAAAAAAAAAAAAAAAAAAAAAAAAAAAGAAAAATAAGGAATTACAAGAATCTGTAGGGTGACAAAGTATAAGGCAAAAGGATAAACAGGAGAGGGGGTATGGTATGGTAATGGAATGGTGGAACAAACAATATGCTTCAATGAACACTCGTCATGCTTTCCCTTCAGCCTCTTCTTTACATGAGCTGAGCTGAGCTATGAATGCATTATAAGGCTTCCGTTAACATCAAACTGTGCTTTCTCTTTCTTTCTTTCTTTTTTTTCTTCCTTTTTCTGATTTTCGTTTCTATGGTCTGGTAAAACCTCCCCTCGTCCCCCTCCGCCAGATCAAGCTTCCGCTTCCCCTCTACGCAAGGCCAAAAAAGCCCGCACATCGGTCACATACTGCAAAGCTTCTAACATGGGGACGAGGTGAAGAAGACCATTATCCGTGGGATCATTAATCCAGCCCTCAATTGGGATAGCATTATCTATCATTGGTGTTAGAGCAGGCTGGAGTATGGTAGCAGAGTCACGTCAAACTCGAGACATACCTTCGTGAAAAATATAACTCATAGGACTGTTGTCCAGGATCATCACCTTACTCAAATCAGGCTCCACAGAGCTGAGGTCCTTGATATATGCACCATTCCGGAAAGTACAGTGTTGACGGTAGTACCGCGCCTGGAAGTATTTCCGCTCTTGCTCGAGCCAGTCAATGACTGGATCCGCATACTCTTGCACACTGGCAGTGAAGATGACCAGCTTGTACCACTTGGAAATCTTGCGCAAGAACTCATCACAGTGGGGTCGCTTGTGTACGTAATACAGGATGGGATGCTGCGGACCCAGAGTCGTGGGTGGTCCGCCGGGTGTGAGTGCAGTCGTCATCGGCGTGGACAGTTTGACCTCAACCATGTGGCCACTGGACATGCGGCCGCCCTTGGCCAGGGAATGGATGAGCGTCTCATCCAGATCAAGGACCAGAGTCTTTTGCGGGCTCTTAGGAAGGCGGAGGTTGGCCGTGTAAGACGGCACACGGGGTGGAATCAGCGGGCGAGGAGGGACGGGAGAATGCGGATACCTGGTGACCCTATGTACCGACGGAGATGTGGGAGATTTGAGACTGTCCAGATTGAGAGTACCCTGAACGCCATTTTCCGGTGTCTGGCGCAGATCAGCACTTTGCGACCGGCGTTGCCTCTGTCGCTTGAGCGCCTCTTCGCTATGAAGCTTGATCCGGATCGAGCGTCTAGGGGCGGTCTCGTCTGGCGTTGGTTCCGGACTGGATGACTTTGCCTTGGAGGTTCGTGACCGACTATTGCCGAGTGCCTTGGCGCTCCGACGATCTCCTTCCGACTCGGACGTGCTCGAGGCGATGGAATCCCGGGATACGTTGCTTTTAGATCTTCGCGAAGTACCTGTTCGTCGTTTGCTTTCCGCTTGTCGACTACCTCTACCCGCCGTCGTGGAGCCAGTCGACTTGGATGGGCGGCTAGACACGGACCGTCGTAGCTTCCTCACGGGTGCCAGAAAAGAGTAATGGCCGTTATCGTCCTCAAAACATTGGGCAACATAGAAACCGGGCGCAGCTAAAGTGGATAGGATGAACTTGATCGTTTCCGCAATCGCATCAAAGAACCGTTGGGCAACGAATCCTAAGGTGCTTTTCGTAGCAAAGGAACCATCTTTCTGTATACTTCGTAATAGGGGCGATTTCTCATCAAACGTAATTTCGTGGGAGTAATTTATATTCTCGTCGGGCGCATCATGGCTATTCTCGTGAGCCTCGGTCGTGTGAAAGTTGCTTTCGCTGTACGACCGAAGTTTGGCAAGGTCGCCGGGCTCATTCGCTCTGGCGACGTCTCCCTGGGACCGGGAACGCTGACGGCTCCGAGCTGGGAGGGACGACTGGCCAATGACTCGAGACGAGAGGATGTTGAGCGAGTTCATCTTCCCACAAGGCCCACGGGTGTCCGGGCTGGCGCAGGTGACTAGAGGGAGAACGAGCGTAGGTCAGCAATCATTTGAATACTGCAAGCTAAGTAGTCGAGACCGGTGATGGGACCGGGGATGCTGGAGCATGATGCGATGATATGGAGAGCCGAAACTGTTGGGGTCTACGGACCTCAATGCGCCAGTCGACAACCCGTGCTTTTTCGGATTCACCGTTACCCGACCTGGTGGATGGCGGAATGACGACAGGTAGATCCGAGAAAAGGACGGGCGGAAAGGAGAGCCCGAACGTGCGGAATTCAAGGCGACAACGAGAGGAAGGCCTCACGGAGGGAAGAGGAGGAATGAGGAGGAGGAGG